AAGGAGAACAGACATGTACTGCTTTTAATGGACAATGCTCCCTATCATAAAAGGGGGAAACGCTTAAGCAATGTACAAATTGAGTTCCTGCCACCATATTGCACAGGAATGCTGCAACCCCTCGATGCAGGAATAATAAATATATTCAAGTCAAACTACAAGCAGAATGAAGTTGCTCACATTGTCAAGTGTTTGAATAATGAAGATGCAGCAAGTATATCATTCAAGGATGCGCAACGTTTGATTTACAAATCTTGGAATGAAGTTACGCCTGCTGTTATACGCAAGTCTTGGGAAGAAACCTGTCCAATCCAAGAATTTATCAAAAAGAAAGCAAGCCCAGTTATGTCTGAAGAAGCTAAGACCTGCATTTCTCAATTACAAATTTTTTTGAAAAATGAGTGTACAGACTCTTCAATAATGGATAATGTTAATGCCATTAGTATGTGGGTTCACAAATGTGCGGAACAGAAGAAAAACCAATCATTAATAACTGATTATTTTCGACCACTTGTGAGTATATATTCAAAAAGAATTTTAATAGTTATGTTGATACCATCATGTCATTGTTGACAGGATAACCATTGACGGGGAAAATCAATTTCACAAATGTTAACATAAATTTGTTAACATTGCTTTTGGAACACAGTGCATTGGTGTGATTCAACATAAAAATGGCATTACACGGTGAGAAACAGGTGTTGCAGGTGGTTAATTATAATTCATAAAACATTAATTTCACTTGCAGGTGTGCTCAAGAGGATTGATATGGGAATGAAGGTGTCTACGGGTAATTTGAAAAAAGGTTGTGGACATGAATTTCTGATTGTTTCCTTTTGTTACTGTATTATGTTCTTAATTATTTATTTTTGTAATTGTTAATAAATCATGTTCAATAAATCATGTCTGTAAACATTTTTGTCTTGTTAATACATCATGTTCAATAAATCATGTCTGTAAACATTTTTCTATGTATTTCTTCTAAATACTTGAATCAAGTAACATGCACATACATTTATAGTTACGTTTATATGTTTTAAATCATATAATATAATCACTGAATACGTTTCAAAATATAATATAAATTATTCAAGTTAACATAAAATAATGTAATTATATTAGATAATATATGTGAAAAGGGAAAACCCCCCCCCTTTAATATTACCGTTAGTAATTCGTACTTTGTTAGTATACATTTGTTCAAAGAATATTTGCAAAAATTTCTAACTGTAATTTAAAGAAAATCAGCGTTTGAGAACATCGGGTACATTTCAGTATAGGATATCGTAACCGATGTGTCGTCGGATTATTTCATGTACTGGGTATTTCATGTATGTATTCTGTTATGTTGTTTGTTGATTTCAGTATTCCTAAAATCATTAATACTATTACACATTACCCAACCCAACCCCCTCGTCCATTCACCTTTATTATTCATTAATTTGACAGTATTTCGTTCATTATAGACCATCGGCAAAAATTTGGAATGTAATTTTGACAACATCGGCGTTTTACAGCGGTACAAATAAGGGCGGGTATGTTTAAGCCTTTGATTTTGTAACCGACGAGCCATCAGTTTATAGACCGTTCATTATAGACCATCGGCAAAAATTCGGAATGTAATTTTGACAACATTGGCGCTTTACAGCTGTACAAATAATAGAAGCGGGTATGTTTCAGCATCGATTTTGTAACTGATGAGCCGTCGGATTAATTTACACACACTATAAATAATGTACTCATGATACGGACTTGTTACATTACTACGGCAAATGCATGCTAACGTGACTGTATGCTGTCACTCAATATTTCACGAAAATGTGAATAATGGGAATTAATACTAATGGATACATGAAGTATAACAATTTTTTCATTAATGCATTACGGTTTAAATGCAATTAACAGAACTCACTTTTTCATCAGGAACATTCTCTTGCTCCTTCATCTTTGAAATTCGCCTTTTCACAACTTCCTCAGGTTCCTTGATGTGTAGTTCTGTTACATAAGGCAATTCCTCCGTTACACCTTCTGCTTCAAGTTGTAGTAGCTTCTCCCAGAAATCATTCCTGTACTTCTCAATTTCATTCGGTGTCGACTTCACAGAAGTGCATTGCGCTTGAACAGGAGGAAGTACGGGAGGATCACCAGCATTATTAAACTGCTCTCCCGAATTCTTCGGATGCATGGCGTTCATCTCCTTCACTTTCATAAAATGTTGTAAAGGAGTCGCCACGTCCTTCGTCGCATTTCTTGCTTTATTCACAACGCCGAATACACCACTACTTTTCAGCTTTGTAACTTGCTGATCACTCACACTTTGTAATTTAACTTTACTAAACTTTGCCCACAGTGTATCGTCACTGACAGACCAAGTCACTTTTCCTTCTCCATTCAGCCGAATACACCACTACTTTTCAGCTTTGTAACTTGCTGATCACTCACACTTTGTAATTTAACTTTACTAAACTTTGCCCACAGTGTATCGTCACTGACAGACCAAGTAACTTTTCCTTCTCCATTCGGATCAAGGAGACGAATGAGGTCAGGCTGGCATTGCAGTTTTACAATACCAGCCTTCCATCCTGCCTTCTTCAAGTAAATGTACTTTATGTACTCATCGAAATTATTCCACATGCTAGCATCCAATGGGTAAGTTGGACAATAGCGATATGGATAATTCGTCTGAGACATAATGTCCACTTTCAGCAGTTTGTATGCGCCTGCAATTTTAAAAATATATATATACATATATATTCATCAACAGTTTCTTAATAACGTTCGGAACATATATAGGAAACACATCACACACACATATAGTATCATTGAAAACGCTTTCATATATTAACTAATACGCAGCACACAGCAGTCATGCTGAAAAAAAAGAAGGGAATGCGCTGATTGACAAGCGCCAGGAGAATGTGAAGAACTTCACCCACATGAGAAATTCCATGGTCAAAGCTCTCCAAATTCAATGGCACGAAGTCACACACATATACTACAAATTATACAAGTACAAATCAACATATGCTGTCTGCTGAAACACCAGCACACTATAATATTACATTGCACAGAACTTTCACTTATAACTCCAACACCACAGGAGACAAACCATGGGAGAAGCAGCAGCAGCACTGCGCTGATTGACAAACGCCAGGAGAACGTGAAGAACTTCGCCCACATGAGAAATTCCATGGTGAAAGCTCTCCAAGTTCAATGGCACAAAGTCACACACGCATACTACAAATACAAGTACAAATCAACATGTCTGAAACACCACACACGTTCTTATAACAAGATCATTGTGCTAATATACATATATTGAACAAAACTTTCACTTATAACTCCAACACCAACGGCAGCGAATCACATATGATGAGAAAAGCAGGAGCAGCACTGCGCTGTTTGACAATAAGCGCCAGGAGAACGTGAAGAACTTTGCCCACATGAGAAATTCCATGGCCAAAGCTCTCCAAGTTCCATGGCACGAAGTCACACACACACGTATACAACTCAATATCCACATAACAATTTCTATTAAATCATACTTTTAAACTCAACAATGAAAATGCACTGTATATGCAATACAAATACGGCGGACCCGCGCGCCCAGGAAAATGCCAAAGGAAATCCTTTGTGCGCTGAATTCAGGCGCGGCGCCATCTTACATTAAGAGGTACAATCCTCAGTCACAGATGAAACACATTTCTGATGCAGTTTACAGTATATATTGGCAAGTAATAATGACATTTTCCTTTTCATTACTTATATATACGCGCTGTATGTCATTACTATAATTCCTTTCTTTTGTCCATTTCCTTATGTCATTAACTAAAAGGATTTGGGTGTTAACAGAAAGTGGGTGTTACCAGTGTTACCGACAAGGATTCGGCAATAAATTATTTACAGGATCAAACTTCGGCAATAACAAAATATACTACCTACACAAAAACATTATTTTCCACTCAATATGCGTTTGGCCGTGTATTACATGAATCTGTACTATAAGAATCTTTTCAGTAGTGGAATGACAAACTTGGACTATTCCCCATGGGCCTGTCAAATTAACAATATATACCGCCGTTGTACATCGGCTAAACAAGATGCATCAACATTGTCCATCGGCATAACATACTAAATCGCCGTTGTACAACTTAAATATCACACAAAATCAATAATTTAATTAGAATAACATACTAAATCGCCGTTGTACAACTGAAAAGTCACACAAATTCAATAATTTAATTAGAATAACAGAATAATTTCAAGAGGACTTGACTATGATCAATCTGCATACATAAATGATTATAATATAACAATACACACAATTCTTCCGATTTTGATTCAGCTCAAAAGTAGATAGAAATGCCCTATCAAAAGGAAAATTACCGTGACGACTCCATCGCCACATCAGCACATTATCACCCAACGGCAGAAGCATCCAAGTATCTAACTACCAGCCAGTTGCCATTGTGCATCGGCTAAACTACAATCTTCAACATTGTCCATCGGCGTAACTTACTGCATCGCCGTTGTACATCGGCAAACATACTGAATCGCTGTTGTACATCGGCAAATCGGCACACAAATTCAAAAATTGAATAAGAATTACATATCAATGACAAGTGGTCTCAAATATTACACATCTTTGTTTGCGTTACCTTATATATCTACCTTGTTACCTTATATATCTCTATGCAGTACCAAAACAACGATGGGATGTTTTATTCATTTGACTCACATCAGCACGAATATCACCAAACTGAGGCAGCTCAAAAGTATCTAGCTAACAGCCAGTTGGAGCCAACTCAAAAATAAATAAATCACAAAAATAATACATAATATTTTTAAAATTCATCACGCACAGCACAGCGCAGCAGTCAACAGAGCGTCTCCCAATAACTAACTAGCAGCCACTTGGAGCTGACACCCGTGCCCACATGTGACTCACCCAACAACAGCGACTCCCACACATCTAGCTAACAGCCAGTTCGAACCTACGCCCAAATGACTCCCAATCTGAACAGTCAACGGCAGCTCCTGAGTATCTAGTTAACAGCCAGTTGGAGCCGACTCCCAAACAACACCCGTGCCACATGTGATCCCACCCAACAACAGCAACTCCCAAGTGTCTAGCTATCAGCCAGTCACAACCGACTCCTAAAAGACTCCCAAAAATTGCTCCGACCCAGATGCGCCCCCTATGAAAAAGTGGCGCCTCATAGAAGACTATCGCAAAGTCAACAAGTTGCTCAAACCAGATAATTATCCCATGCCTGTCATTCACGACCTTCAGATAACAACTCCTATGCTTAGGGCGTCGGAGGTTTTCCAGGGAGTTGTGGAAATCTAGAAAATGACTACTTGTATAACTACCTAGTGCCAGCGCCCCAGCTTCCAACTCCTAACATTTTTGCTGGGTGTGGAAGACATTTTTCTGTGGACCCTCGGCTGGGGAACACTGGTATGGCCCACTCCTCAGATCCAGCCTTTTCCAGCACAGTTGGTTATGTGGCCTATAATTGAGTATGTGGGGTAACTCGGAACTGTTCATCTTCTGAAGTGGATGAATCAAATGCTAAAACTTGCCCGGTTTTATAGTCATCACTTCAATAAGGGGCATGCTGTTGGCTGTTCGCGCTTCACTAAGTCAGGGACAGTTATACTGTATACCACCGCTTTCTATACAGCTGTTCTTATTCTCTCACCCATTGCAGCGATATAATCTGTCCATCCTGTGAAGGAATTTCCGTGGGACTGATGGTTATACACACTACAACGGATTTGATGAATTTAGAGGTTTGTAAAATTTACAGGATGACTGTGATGCATACTGTACTGCTGTACATTGATTACTCTTTGACACCATTACTCTCTTCCATCTTACAACAGAGCCTAGACTTTTTGCATGCACGCAGGTGCATTTAAGTTTGGCCAGCAAAAATGTCACCGAAATGAAGCCTGGACAGAGCAGTTGTTGAAGTTCAAGATTTTTCTGAGGACAAAACCATTTTTGTTTCTAATTTCTTGAATTTTAATTTCATAGTTGGAATGCACACAGCAAGGTGCCATTCAGTATAAGACCTTATTTTTTCAGTATCATAAACCTTCTGCCTTATATAAGAGCAAGACAAAATTTGAATCTATGTGGACTTTTGCTTGTTCAGTCTATGTTTTTATTGTATTCATGCACTCATATATGGGTATGCACAATTTTTCAACTTCCAACAGGTGAGTTTTGAAAGTTTCATAAAAAAATATAGAGCCTTTTGTTTTTAAAAATAAAGTCGCTGATTATTATAATTGGTCCTTGTTTTCAGATGATGCCTTATAAATTCAACATTTGGGCCCAATACCTGTACTGTACTTTTATCTCCAATATTCAGATGCATATCTGCCTGTGTTGATGCTGGTTATATACAGGTATATGTATATCAGCTTTCTAATGGGAAAATAACCTGACTTCTCAGCCCCAAAATGTTGAAGATAAATTTCAATTTGTGAATTTTTCAAGTGAAATTAATATAGATATCGACGAAATAATGAGAAGCTTTTTATATATGAATGAGGTGCTGGTCTAATATATGGAAATGATGGTTTCATCTTTGCCCTGCACCATTTATTTAAGCTGTCCTTCGCGCCTCAGCTCAACTTGGCATATTTTCCCCAGCAGGTCAATCCCCCTCCGGCGGGTCGACCATCAGCAGCACGTTCCAGATTCTGCCTATGTAGTGAAGCTCCAGCATTATGGAGTGTGGTCGAAATGTCCCGGAATCACGAGCACAGACCCCAGCGCTGCTGCATGGTGGCTTGCCCACCATCTTATCTTCCTTCTTGTATTTCTTTTCTTAGATACGGTAATACTTCACATATGTATCCATGTGGAAGTAAGTAATGCGTATAGAGTAATAAGCGATGGAAAATGGTCAAAAAAAAGGGAAACGAAAGGCCGAAGTGTTTCAATAATAAGGAGAATTGACGTCGATTTATATTAGACATATTACTGCTGTTTTATTGCATTTGAATGATTTCATGTCCTCGGGTATATATATAGCTGACACCACGTGTTCGAATCAGAAGCAATTCGTCAGATGACGCTTCGTCCTCTGTACAGCAGCTAGATGAAGTACAGATAAATATTTTTGCTGGTGACATTTTTCGCACATAAATGCAAGAAAAATAAAATGTTATCCTCAGCTTCGCATAATAACGAAGTGCACGGCATCCGGGATGGTGATGCTGACCGTCTCTTATTATTGTGTGAAGACAGAACGTATACTAACTTCGCATTTCGTATCTTTATGCTGTTATGTGGGAAGAAATGTACAATAAGTTACTGTACTGCTATATGTATACTGCTATATACTGTACCCACGAGCATGCAGTGTCTTTGAAATGTATAAAGCCAATGAAATTGAGTCAAATAAGCAGGAAAACCCGATTTCCTTGAACTGGCTCGTTGGTCTAGGGGTATGATTCTCGCTTCGGGTGCGAGAGGTCCCGGGTTCAATTCCCGGACGAGCCCGAACATTTTTACATGGCTTGAGTTTGGATTGACTTTTCTGCCCTGTTACCAGCAAGCATTACTCGAGTACTGTACATTTGCATATATCAAAATACCATATATCATGGTCAATACCATTGAGACATTCACACCGTGGAGCGGAAGCAGGGACATCTTTCCCTTGATCATTTCAGAAGATTTAAGGTTGACCAAGATGACACGTATCCTCATTCGACTTATTCCGTACTCCGCAGTATTGAGCTAGCAAGTATTTATTGATACATATCTCAACAAATTTTCATGCAGCGCTAAGTGTAAAGATATGATTCGGTTCTTCCAATAAGTAGAGATACAAATTTCTTGTAAAATTGAAATTCTTCCAGATGGCAATAATGTGCTGTTTTTTCCACAGTCACCGCAAGTACTGTACTCAAAAATGCTCGATCAGTGAGCATTATTCGAAGATTGAAAGAATTAAAGCTACCTGTCCTCAAGGAAAGTCATCGCTGTTGAAGGAAGAAAATAAAAAGAGCATACTTCGCACACTGCTGTATTTCCAACAACCCACCTCATGCCATCAAATTTAAACGAACTAACATATTAGATTCGGAACTTTCGGAATTCGGCTTTATTTCTGTAAGTAACTCCAATTACGGAAAGTCACGGATGTACGTATTTAGGGAGAAACTAACGGATTGCTAGGAATTTATTACGAACTAAAACATCGAGACATTTGCTAAATTGCAACAGGAGTTTCAAGATTCAGCCCTGAAAAAAGCCTTTAGAATACTGTACAAAAAAGAAGGAAGGTCTAACACAAAAAGTTCAAGTTAGGGAGGCTAAAATTTCATCGGGGTTAAGGGAATTAGCAAAGATCAACTGAAAATTCGGAGTAGATATACAGTACTGTACTGTGTAATTTTCCAACTCTTCAAGGCCCAATTTTATAATACACAAATATTAAATTTACCAAGTTTTAGTGTACTTTGTTGGAAACAGTATACATGCTTCTTGCATTCAAACAATTGACAAAAATGAACAGGCAGAAACATTTCGCTTGTATTTCACTTCTGGGGATAACATCACTGCGATTCATGCAGCCAAGTACAACGCAGGGCATAATTAAACCGGCTAACGTGAAAGAACCACCCGACACTGAACTAAACCCAGACATTCTACCACTTTTCGAACACAAAATGAAAAATTCGCCCATGGATTTTCTATTTGCGAAGGCAGCTGAAGAAACGCCTGATTCTCCCATAAACTTCGATTATCACACTTTTGTCTTGAACGCGCGTTTCCTGGGGATTAACAAATGTCCCTCTCTTGAAAAAAAAGAGAGGATCAGAAGAAAAAACAGAGTAGTACTCCAAATTTTGGAACCCAGTATTTGACTCAACGCGATTTCAGAATTCAGCAAAGATTGTCCAAATAAATGAATTTCAAGCTTCGAAACAATAAGGGAAAACCAAAAATCAGTACTAAATCATTCGAAAAAAAAAAAGTGCTCCGGAGTCAATTTCATAAAATTCATAGCAGCCCAACTCGACCCAAGGCTCGTGAAAGACAAACATTCACTCTTTTGAGTATCTCCGTATGGCGTGCTTTTTATTCGAGTATGAAAATAAAGTTCTTCAAGAGCCAAAATTCATGACGGAGACCCATGATTTGGCCGTCAACTCACGAAAAGGAACAGAAACAAAACAAGAGCCTCACAAAATTTCCTAGGAAATCCTGTGCAACAACCAAAACCAAAATCTAGTTCCATCCTCAAATAATCCCAATGAAAACAGTGAATAGAAGAGGAAAAAAGCGGCTTCATGCGTCGAAAAAAACATGGCACCAGCGAGACGATCGACGAGAAGACCCAATTTTTCGCGGAAAAAAAAAAAAAAATCCACGAATTTTGTAAAAAGTAGCGCCTCCAAGTCAAGGAACCGAAATGCCTTCAACGAAACCACAGGCTTATCACCACCTGCTCTTCGAAAACTACAAGTTACGCACATGAAAGATCGGATGACTTCATATTTGATTTCCGCTTTGTTCTCATTACAAGTCCTCCGCGGACTAGAAAAAAACACTTGTGCTGGTCTCACATTCACAACCGGGACGATTACGGTATCGGAAATGACCAACATATCTAACAGACTAGTTTTAAGTCACAGAGTTCTTCTCCCCGAAAGCCCATCAACACGATTAAATAATCATCTGAAGCATGTTTTTTTTTTTTAAATTTAGGCATTCAGAACTTTCAGGAGTACGGAAGATCGAGTTTCGACAAGAAAAAATATATCATATTGTATTTCAGTACAGGTAGAACAGGTCCAGCTGAGGGTGTTTCACACAGTTTTGATACATGATACGTGTCGGACATGCATTAATCAATAGTGCTAATACTGTATACTGTACTGCAGAATGTGATCAAACCATAACTCCTGATAAGTACGAACAGTCAAGGGTTTCAGCGTATACAGTATTTGGTTCCTCAGCATTTGAAGCTTTTCAACGTTTAAAATGGGAAAAACATTTCTCAATCCTCCCGAAGATTTGAAGAACATGACGAAAAAATAGGAATTGATGAACATTTTCCTTCAAAGAAAATTTGCAAGACCTGTTCTATTTTCGGAAACAAACTCTCGACCATGCTTACGACATAAATTCATACCAGCACAAAATCACGTTCCAAGAAAAAAATTATCAAAAAAGGATTCTGCACTACACCGCTGAGATATTGTTGATTAAGCTTTGGCTAAATACTGTCGGGAACAGCTAAGCAATCGATATTTCCAACCGCAACGGAAACTACTAAGCCGACACGCATCTCTCTTCAACATAAGTTATCACACGAACTTTGGAGCATCCGTTGAATGTGGAACTTGTGTCTAGAACAGCTAGGTAGAAGAACCCACAGAAGCTTCTTTTTTTCTTTAAAGCTCATTTGCTTGCGTGGAAACCGTTTTTACTACCAATCGGAGGAAGATCAGGGGAAATGGATTCAAGGGTAGCTTGCATATCGGCACGGACTTTCTCCGTAAGCTTCGTTACATCTTCCGTGCCGTCAACGATGACAGCGGGGAGAATCTTGATGGTCACTTTTCCCGGTTCGAGTCGCATCTCGCGACTATCGAAGAAAGGACCGTACCAACTCATGACCACAGGGATGATGGGGAGTTTCCCACGCAGGGCTAAATGAAATCCGCCTTTCTTGAACGGCAACAGGTTCCCGTCGCTCGAACGCGTTCCTTCGGCGAAGACCCAGAGCTTGATGCCTTTCTCCTTGATCAAACGCTCGGTTGAATTGACGACATCGCGGGACTCGGCCGCATGACGACGATCGATGAAGACAGTGCCACTCAGCCAAGCGATTAGACCGAAAGGCCAAATGAACAGGATTTCACGCTTGGCCACTGCAGCAAGCTTGCCGGCTATGGGCCAGAGTTTGCACATGCCCAAGAAGTCCAGCAGGCTTTGGTGATTGCAAATGACCACTGCTGCTCGATCCTCGGCGAGATGCTCCGCACCGATCACCTCGTGTGAGATCCCCAGCAGCGGTGCGATCCAATAGACCATCCACGTCGAAACACTGCGATGGAAACAGAGAAAAAAAAAGAAAACCACTTTCATCGAGCCATACAAAATCAAAATGTTTGAAGTCACGGCTGCCACTACAGTTCTTCACATATTGCAAAAGCTATCGAGATTCGCCGGATAATTCCGATTCAGTGATGTTAGGTAATGTGACTTCAGGTTAGCTAGATACGGTAATAAGTAATAGTACTGAAGTACAGTACTACTGTATTAACTTGAGTACCACGCGCACTTTCTTTTCGAAATTGAGAAGAAAAAAAAGACAAGATCATAGGAGGGTATTTAATTTGAAAAAAAAAAAAAGTCGACCAGCTTTGATGCACCTCATACCTGATTCGAACAGGAATTTTTTAACCGGTTTCGTTAGACAATCAAAAAATTAAATTTATGGCAAATTATTCTTCAATTTGACTACAATTCAAGTCAAAATTTAAATTCTGATTCATTTTATTTTCGAAACACAGTACAGTATTTCAATTTCTAATCTCTCAAAAAAGGGTTATGCGTCTTTCTCAAGGAAACATTTTAAGATAACCATGTGATTAGATATCAGCATTACAGGAAATTTAGACTACTGTATAGAAGAACAAATAATGAATGATAAACTCAATCGTCAAGTGCTACATCGTCATCATCCACATTGTAAATTACTTATGATAAAGACGCTCTTCACTTACCACATCATGAACAAATAATGAAGCGCTGTTAAAGAATTAACTCTTACATATATCACGACATTCAACTACACTACTACAGTAATTCATATCATACTACTGCATATAAAATTATACTAGAGTAAAATGATTTCAGTAAGAAAGGCGAGATAAAAAAAATAGCGAAATCAACCCTTACTCGAAAAAAAAGGAACTCACTTGGCATTTCTCACGTTGCATGGCCGTAGAGCAGAGAAAGGCAACAAAATGGTCGCGATCGAGCTCACGTACACGATATAGATGACGAACTTGGTTACGTATCGTACTCTTCGGTTCGCAACGAACAACACCACCCACAAACCCAACACATAGCAAATGAACAAAAGCACACTCATTGCTCCGCGACCGAAAAGATATTACCACCATGCATCCCTTGAAAGGAGAACAACTTTCGTTTCGTGAGTAATCGAAAAATTCATCGCACGATCCCGACACTGCACTGATAACATCCGGTGGGCGTCTCGTGTGTCCAAATTATTCTCGAAATTCTAGTGAACTTTTCACCTCACAAGCGAAAATCGACAGATAACGAACGAGACGCACGGTAACTGAAGCATGGACTGTTTTCACACAAAGTTGAGAGAAAATCAGAATTATCACCATGCGTCCTTTTTCTCAAGAGATTTTCCGACGTACGCTTGATAACATTTGCTTTAGTTTTCAATATCCTTATTTATTTTCCATGAACATAGAAAAAATGCGAACATTCATACGAAGACGAATTACAGTATTCCGATTTCGAGTCATAGAAGTAAAGCGTTTCAAAGTTGATAATTCTCAAGGCTCAAACGCAAAATTGTAGTTGACGTGGAGATTCTGGTGAGAGAAGAATATCAAATCACGTCACAGCGATTCATTTAACATGTGAAAAAAGGTTACAGCATCATTTTGAATGAATTATGCATAAAAACACTTGAATTCCAAAATCAAATAAAAGAAAACACCAAAACTTTATTTTTACCCCTATTAGTACAGTATTTTTCCACGTTCCGTTATCGTGAAAACGTTGCTTGCAGGGTTACACTCGCAAGAAATAGAAACTGAGCCTCCGTTGGAATTACTTAATTGGAATGAATTTTGTTTCATGAAATACAGCAAACAAACTGTCATTCTACAACTTGGACACTAACAGTTCCGTTCTCTGACAGAGTTTCCAGCGCATTGTGAAGCAAGTTCCAATTCATCTCAGATTCAATACTGTAGTAGACTTTTTATCTGCCACGTCTTTCATGGCTGAAGGAGTGGCATGTCTTCGAATTGCATTTTTACTCATAATGACATTATCCGCGTTCGAACAAAACGAGCATTATTTTGGTCACACGAGTCTACCTTCAGGAAATTTAGATACATAAATGAAGAAGTGCCTCATACACGACGAACACTACAATTTATTACAATTAAACAATCAAATTCTGTGCTCGCAACCTTGAAAAGATTGACAATCATTTCGAAAACGCAATGCGTGCAAACACAAGTCCCAAGATATTTCTTCCAACTTGCAACAATTATAAATTTACAATTCCCTCGTAAGGATGCAAAAAACCGAATCGTGACCCTAATCCGAGCAATGGAATTGTTTTCCATTACGACCTCACACGGAATGACAAGCAATGAATGAAACCGCGACTAGTCGCATAAGGGGTGCGTAAATCGACTTGAACATATCCAATGATCAAAAGATGGTAAACTAAAATCAAAAAAATCCCGACTAGCTTCACGCGATGCAACACCTCCACGGTGGGTAACACGAATTCGCTACTCGACCTCCAGAATTTTCAGAACAGTAATCTTACAATATCCGATGTATCTGGAAACAGTTGGGAACTAATCTGCTGGCTGCCCGCGATTTGATTTGCGCACAGGGCTCGTCAGAAACACTGACTTTTTAGTAGAAGAGCAGCAGACGCTGACGAGACGAGCGAGACATGATGTGCCACTGACGCTTGATGTGAATGTATTGAAAAATCGCGTGAACGCAAATCAGCATTCCTGAAAAAAAAGATGGATGCGATATTCAGCGTGCACTATACAATTGGGAAATTCAGAAATTTTATCAATAGCCTCAAGCTGGACTGGTTTTTACAAGCTGAACAAGCCCGTATATTGAAATATTTCAGTCTCGCTAGTGCTGTAGAGTATTAGAGATAGTAATGCACAACCAGTTCACAGGACATACTATCTTCTATGAATTTCACGGCAAGGTCAAGAGATTTGAGAAACATGTTTACGGTAAATATTTTTTTCAAAATTCGTTTTGATAGTTACATCGGGAATCCACCGAAAATTTGACGGCAAAGAAATATTGTCAGATAATTTATCAATCAAATAATCAGTTATGCCAACATTTAAACATTTACAAATATAGTGAAGCAAACGAACCAAATCCAAGCGGGAGCCACCAGAGCCACGAATCGTCGTCCAACTCGTCTGCTTGGATTCGCGTTCCGTCATGTGCTCCTGTTGTCATTTCATCCGAGAGACGACCACCCTTCCCGATCAAAAACCGCGATCCTGCCGCGTGCGTCAACATGGAATGCTTGATGATCACCGTCCATTTCGCCAGAGAAAGGCCAAATCCAGCAAGAGCCCCGTATCTCCCAGCAACGGTTTGGCAGAAGCAGAGAAGTAACAGGAAACCAATCCAGTTCAAGAGAAAGGCCGCTAGAACATTCAAAAACATCCAACAAGACAGTTAGTATGCTTACTTAAGTTGTAGAATGATAACTTTTGAAAAAAGTCGTCCGCCTCGAAAATCCAAGAGGATAGTTTGTTTTACACACTAACTAAAAACTGATTTACGAAAAACTGGAGGAGATTGAGTAATACAAACTGTATTTCACGTAATGTTGAGCATTCACATTCTCAATGAAATAAAGTCTCAGGTGGATTCTCCAAGTGAAAAGAAGACTTCCTGATTTGAAGCACCCCCGTATCACCAGATATTACAGAAATAATAAAATCACAGAAAATATGAATCAAACACAGATTCACAAAAGCGTCGTGGCCCTCATCCCTCACCGTTCAAAATTTTACGAGCAAGCAATTTCAACTTATTGGACATACATACCGAAAAATGCAGCAAAAAAGACGAAATCAGTGCCAAGACGTGAATCCTGGTCCGGAGCATCCACATCAACGTGAAATAATGGATGAACCCAATGATCGTCCTCATCAAGATTTATGCGCTGTTAAAAACAACAACGTTATTTGCAATCGGGAATACCGGTGGTCACTCTTCCAACGAACATTATTCGGCAAGGGTCCCTCAGCGCGGAATTCAACAAGCTTCTGCCGCTCGACCTCTTCATATGTAGGCAATGCAGAACCCACAGCAACATCATAAGCTGGAGGGGCATTCAAATCCACTTTCGGTGGAGCTATGAAATCGTCAGATCCAGCTTCTCCTTCAGAAGCAGACTGGACACCTTCCCTTCCAGGATTCTCGAAGTGACCCTAAATAGGAAAATCATTCGAACCTTATAATCGCTCTTAGAAAATATCGCTCCGCACTGTACTTTCATCCTCAGCATGAAGACATACCTCCATCGATTGTTGGGCATTCGGGTTCACTTCCACATTCCCACTCGCAGAAACGCCCATGATCACACGATCGTTCTTTTAAAAATCGCACAGTTGACGTAGAAAATGAGAAATCGAACACGATTCTTGACAAAGTTGTGTCCCTCACAAGATAAAACAGAATCACGATTGAGTATACTTCGAAAATACACCCAACACTCAGTTCAGAGTGCATGCACAGTTCAGAAGAAAAGAAAGCTAACTATTGCGATGATATCTACCGCACAGTTCTCACTTCGTACCACCTAGTTGCCAAGCCAATTGGTAAATGATTTGTTGATTTATCGCGTTGCATCAACCGAGAGTCGCGACAAGCCAACGCGTTCAAGGTCAGGCAGTACTTCTCAGCCCTCAGAGGTAAGGGTCACGCCTCTCGGAGAGCATCTGAATTGTTCTTGCGGTAATACACAAGAAGGGAGGATCACTCACCGTATACGGTAAATTCCGTTATATCATACAGTATGATATTGCTTCCCAATGTAGACAGATATAAAAACGGCATGTTTAAAAATCTTCAAATTCTCATCTAATTTTGAATAGCACTTTATACCCCTTTCTGCCTCTTAGATTAATTTATGGAACTCCTTTACAAGAATTTTCGACACAATTTTATTTTGATGAGCAATTTTAGGTACATTCTGGTCTCATAGTTGGATATAGTACCACTTACTTTTGAATAAACTCTTTTGGTTCCATGGAAATTACATACAGTATTTGTAAATAGTAACTAAGGGATTAATCAATTTTTCTTAGTTTACCCCACGGAGTCCTTATGCATGCACAAAAATGAAGTATAAAAGTATATGTAATTTTGAACTACAATATTTTTAATCTCTCTGAAAGCTGTATCATACATGCAACCTTTTAGTGAGATCCGTTCAAGTTTATAGCATACAGTACTGTACTGCAGTTCATATAATTCACAGTCTGATACTTTATGTGTATCATGCAAGAGATTTTTTATATTTCCCTTATGTGCGGCAATTCTGAAGAAACCTCGGAAGGTGCTGTGGTGTTAGTGTTGCGTCAGATGTTAGAGAGACCTACCGGTTGAATCAAGTGCCGAGAATTGTTCCTGCGTGTGTATTGGAGCAATTGTCTGATAATTGATGTTTTCTTTCCCGCCGGAGTTTTTTGTCGGCCTTAATCAATATGTTCATTTTGAATGCTCAATGAACGATGCGTTCACGAACGATTTTTAGCACGTCAGCTTTCTATTTACGTGATTCTCATTATGTGGCGTGAGTTCAGTTGATATGTTCCGAATAAGTAAACCGACGCGTTTCTCAGTGGTTTGAGGAAGCACTTCGTTATGAGTCTAACCGAGGCGAAAGTGTTAGCTCAATGTTAGTCTCTTGCAGTTCGCTAAGGCCATCTCATCTGTTTCTCTCTTGTCCTGATGAATGACTTTTAAAATCGCCTCAGAAAATTTTTTGAACCGAAATTCATTATGTCTGTGTACCCCGCTGTGTCCAGAGAATCGAAACCACGCTACCAAGCGAGGCGAGAGAGCAGTGTTGAGTAAGTAGTTTCGCATTTCATATTTTTACTTCTTACGAATGAACCCTTTAAAGGAAAGATCGGCGTGTTGGGGCTGTGAAATCAAAATGGGACTCGTTAACAAGTTCCATGCCAGGAAAAGACGCTGTGATACAGAAATGGTGGAACGTGCTTCGGTCAAACTACGAAGAACTCGACCGCAATTACCATAATTTCGAACGAATCTTGAAGCTTCTCAAATTGTGTGACGAATATGAAGAATACTTGAGTAATCCGGAAGCAGTAGCGTATGCGATATTCTTCCACAAGTGAGTTCGCTTTATTCATTCTATATTCGATGACTCTTTATTCGACGCACTTGTAATTTTGTCATCTATAGCTAAACCCGATTTATCTATGTAATTTGCGTATATCTGTAGTACCTGTTTCCTCTGGCTTCAAAATTCTAAAGTACTAAGCCGTTGAAAGAAATAGCCGAAATTTGATTTAATTGAAGAGATTTCATGTCTTCGACAGTTGAGTTTCACTCTCACATCCCTTGTTCTTTACTCAAAATTGTGTAGGCATTTAGAATCTTGCACGTTTTTGGGCGCTTGTACACGAGAGGTGACCCAAGCGCCCGTGTTTGAACCGAGAAGTACATTATTTTAATCTGACAAAGAAATAGACAGAGGATGCCGCTCCGGGTTATTGTACTGTACAGTACAAGGAAGCTGAGGCTATGTTGGGAAAAGGTTTCTGCCTCTATAACGAAGAGTAGATCCGTGCTGGGCCACCAACCAATAGAATTGGTTCTGAGAATTTGCAATGCTTGAAGAAATGAAAAAGAATCATACACGTTTGTCAGCGCGATGTTGATAATGTCTGAATCACAACCTTACTACGAATGTATTCTTCTGCGTAAATAGCGTCTGAACGATAATTAGTGAAGCTGGAGGGTTTTAACTCACGAGGATTGATTCATAAGTGAGATTAACTGCTAAAAGTAAACGGGATTGTTCCATCAGAAGAAAGGTTTGACTCGCATCGCCGTGAGCGCTGTTCAGCATTCGCTCCACATGAAAAATTTTCATGCAATGATTTTAGCAATAAAAGCATGCCATGAAAGCAAACATTTCAGCATCGTAAAGCAGGTCTTTTTTGCATCCAACTTTCTACATCAGGATTCCTAAAACGAATGTTGCATCCAAGGCTTGAAGCTGGACTTAATTTAGGCAGCGTCTTGCTCACTAGTAAACATTCAGTTGCCTTCCGCATTGAACTCGACAGATGTGAAAATGCCATCGCGTTATTTTGTTGGGCAAATAAACACAGTACATTATTGAAACAAATGTTTAGCAATTTTGCGCGCTTTATCCTTCCTCAAAGTTGCCAGTTTCGACAAATATGGACCATCCCTCTAAGTCTCAGTTAGTGATGCACTCCCGTGTGTACTTGTGTTCGGATGCACTTTCACTGTAGACGGCGTATTGAAACGTCGCTTCGAGTTCTTTTGAGAATAAACCCCTTCTTACTGAACATTTCAGTTTGATTTACGATCCTCGTTATACGAACAATGAAGAACAGAGCATTGGGAAGTTCGAAAACTTCGCAGCGGACGTTGGAATGCCAAATGATTCAGGGGTGTTCAAAGCAACTGTGGATCTGATCAGATTATCCGCCACGCATTCGACTGACGAGCACAGAAACGAACATGCTTACGGTACGGACGACAAGCATTACTTTCTTGACATGGATATGGCAATCCTTGGGGCCACACCCTACGAGTACACTATGTATTCAAGGAAGATTCGAGAAGAGTATTCCTTTCTCGCCGAAACAATTTATCGACAGCTGAGGGCAAAGGCAAGTAGTTCAGCCCATTTCAACCTAATCAAATTAAATGATCGCAAACGTGTTCCTCGTCAGGTTCTTCGGAGTTTGCTGGAAATCACGAATATCTTTGCTACCCGGGAATTCCGCACGAAGTTTGAACGTCAGGCGCGAAAGAACATCAAGCATGAAATCGAACTTCTGGAGAACCTTTAAAGATTTTCTCAACACAATTTTTTATTAATAAAGTGTATTTTTTATTGACTTATTTGCAGCGGGTTTGATTCTTTCCTGTCCGTTTGGTTGACTAGCTATATGTTCATCTGTGTACGGTGGCTGGTGCAGTATTGTGTTCGTATTGATCATTTTTTTCGTATGAGGTGTTGGAGATTTTGTTTCTTTCCAGAGAGTATGACTTGAGACATCACAGAAATCTCGTATCATCCATCTTTGAATGGTGCTGAGCTTTTGACTTCGTGCTTAGTTGAAGTATTTTGACGTGCCCCAATAATCTAGAAGCATGTCTTCTGCTGAGGATATTTCTCCCCGACAGTTCCAGGTACGTGACTGACACGATTCCGAAAATGTCGTGTTTTTTTTCGATGAACATTATTTTTTCTTCAGACGGACATCATTCAGTTTGCAAAGCATCGAAATACCATTGTTTACTTGGAAACTGGCTCTGGGAAAACTCATATTGGTGAGCATTTGATTACTGTATTCGTGTATAATGTATTAAATAAATTTTCATGTAGTTCTGCGTGTGTCTTTGCAACTGACTTTCTTAAATTCGGGTACCCACGATGGAAAGCAAATCGAATTCATTTCTTGGGATGTATTTCTCTTCAAGTTCATTGTTCTGTAATTTTTGAGGTGTACAGACCGAAGGCAACTCCCTCGTCGGAATTGTTCGTAGCGTATAATTGGGCATTTTTATCTGGCCCTTGATTCATTCGGTTGAATTCTTGATCAGGTTCTTGATCTTACTTCACCTGGTGCAAATGTTTTTTAAATCTCCTGACAAATTCTTGATAGCATTTTTGCGCTGAAAAAAATGGTGCTCGTTGAGAATTTGCTGAAAAATTGCCCTGCAATAACTGCCAATCATTTATGCGAAGACTTCTTGGCAAATGTAAAAAAAAAAAAACTAATATGCAGATAGCGGCATGAGAGATTTTCAAAAAGTCTAAGTAACTTTCCGCGCGTCCAAGGAGAAATTGTGAAGCATGATGAATGCAATTCAGAACTGTTCTTGAAATTTTATTGAACCTACCGAGAGTGACGATCATTTGAAATCATCATGCTTCAGTATAAGAAAAATTACGGAACGGTAATACAGTGTACTAATAATTTTCAAGTAGGTTCTGTTTCGCGCAAACGTGTTCAAATGACGAACACTGAATAAGAAACGGGTTTCACACGTTCGAGAGAAAATGTTTTATCTTTTAGTATGACTTCGCTTTATAAATGTTTTTTGGTTGGAAATACATTTTTGTTTGTTGGACATTTATTTTTGTTTCGGCAGCTTTCATGCTGATGAAAGAGAAGGTGCACCAAATTCTTGGATCATGGAAGAATGGAGCAAAAAGAAGCGTTTTTTTGGCCAACTCGGTTTATCTTGTGGATCAGCAACGAACTTACATAGAAAAACATATGCCCCCCGAAGTAACTGTGGGTGCCTTCGTTGGATCTCGTGGAGTGGATTTTTGGGTCAAGAGCAATTGGGATGAGCAAATGGAACAGAATCACGTAAGTGCTTCGGATCATAGCAAAGATTGCCGCTGAATCACGTCTGTGGCGAGGGAGTACATTTGGATCATCTCATTCCTGATTAAAGCTATCAATTATAGTAGTCTTCATCTGTTTCACGTTTCAGGCGTTAAGAAAATACCGTATCCCTTGAACGATTCATCGTGGTTTTAGACGAACTTAGGGAATTAAATATGCGTTTGTAATACCCTTTGGTACGTGAAGAAAAATAATTCAGTGATTGAAAAAGCCTTCTCACAATTTTTTGACGCTGACCCAGAGATAAGTCTTAAATTTCGGAGGGCGGAAATATTCAGCCAGCAAGAAAATTACGTGGGAAAAATTTTATGAGAAAATTCCGGTGATTGAACGTGTCAGGAGAAAATATACTGGCGATAAAAATTGAATCGGCAGAAGTTCATTCGAGGAAACATGATCCTCCCACAAGATTAAATTCAAGACATGCCTTTTCCTAATTGTCTGAAAACTTTCATTTTCTAAAATTTATTCACTCCGTCAAGTTCGCGCAATGTGTAGAGTGTTTTTCGAATAAAATTTGGCCCGCTTTCAAGCACTTTAAGTTATTTTTGCACACAGAGGTACTATTGAACCGCACGTAAATCTTCGACTTGAATTTTTATAAAATGTTAATTAATGCGATTTATCAGAATTTTAGTACGGTATTTAAAATTTTACAGAGCCTCTTCCTTATCCTGTATTTAAACTTGAGGTCGAGAAATTCCCGCGATTTTTCGGTTAGAACATTCACTCCAGCGTACGTAACAGCAATTTTCCTTTTAAATAATGTGCACATTCCATATTATTGACGGAAATCTCCAAATTTTATCGCTGAGCCATTTTATTTCAGATTCTAGTGTTCACTGCCATGGTCTTCCGCAATGCACTGGCCCACAAGATGGTCAAGGCTGAAGACTTCAACGTGATCGTTGTTGATGAATGTCACCGTGCTGTTGATTCTCATCCTTACCGTGAAATCATGGGCTTGATTTTCGAATCAACCATTATTGCAAAACGTCCCTTGATTTTGGGCCTAACTGCGTGTGTCCTAAATGACAAAGCCACGGCCGTGAAGAACAGAGAGAATTTACGGAAGCTGGAAAAAACCTTTCGTGCCGCAGTAGTTGGACCTCGTGAAGCTCCCGAAAGCTTTCTGTAAGTAAACTTTTACTTGCTGAATGTGCTGTATGTGTTCAGTTTTTGCTTGTTTAGATGACCCTGCGTGTAAATCTTCTGAGCTCTATTTCTTAGTGCACTGCGCAGAAACCAGTGCACTATTTTGTGTGTCATTTTTGAGTGTTTATTTTTGAGGATTTGTGTGTCAAATCCTCAAAACCCATCGCTGTATCAACCGATTTGTTTATAAACATTTTTGCGATAAAGCTTAAATACAAAAGACTAGCGAAACATATAACTAATTTATTTAGATAATTCAATATTATTGCGCTATGTTATCCTTGAGGATCATAAGTATTGGTGACAGTATTGGTATACGATTGTAATCGTATTTTACGATCTGTGAATAGTATTTAATATTTTCGACAAATGTACAAATTGATATATAAATTTCAGGTTTCATACTCCCGCAGATGGCTGCCAGATGAGTTAATTATAAAGTTACTGTACGTATGCTTTTGAAAACTTGTTTTAAGTATTGGCAGTTTCTTTCCAGTCCGGTATTGTACAGAATCGGAGGTGACATGCAAAATGCTGCAGAAAATCTCGCGTCACCACGATCCCGTGGTGCTAACGTTTTAAAGGCCCGTGCCCATAAATTTGCGACCCTGGCTTGCATTTTCTTAAACGAAATGGAATTAGGTTACTAAAAATTTGAGGGTTTCAATCTATGAAAAGAAAAATGACGTTTTCTAAAAGTTTATTCCGTGGAATTGCGTGTAATCAAATAAAAATGTTAGTATGATGCCCAATGAACGGGGGGAAAAGGGCGCGCAAAAAAAAAGGGAAAACAGATTTCGCGTGAAACCTTGAAACCCATCCACCCCGGTGTTGTTTTCCGAAAGTCGCCGATCTTTCATTCTGCCTTTGAATTGACGCCGAAAAGGATTAAATAACCCCTGAATGCGTGCTTTGTATCGGATTTCACGCACCGAAAAAGCTTTGACAGGGCCGTCAACCGACTTCGACGAGCGGCTCCTTCAAGGGAAGTGTCTTTTCAGAAGAAAATTTTTTTCCCACCATTGTAACAAGAAAAATAACGTTTTTTTTTGCGGAGACTTTTTATTTCAAGGATAATTGCTTGCAAAACAAAAGACCCCGCGGAGTTGAAATCGTTTTTGGTGGCTGAGAGAAAGGTGGAAGTGATTCTCCGGGCACCATTCAGTCCTACAACCGCCTTTCGTGCATCAAGTCCTGCCATTTCACGTGATTTCACTTTCAGTGACAAATAATTCACCAGGATCGAGTTGTAAAATTATTTTTTTTTAGAAGGAAGGCGCAGAAGGCATATTGCCATACTTTCAACCCGTGATCCGTGCCCTTTCCCCGAGGGGGGACTTTGTCCCTACCGCCAAAAAAAAAGCGCCATTCATCTGGCAGTGCCATTAAAAGGCTGCGGATTTTTTCTCGTGCTGTGCCGAGCTTCAGGGTTTCAGACGCGGTACCCCTTACGGGGACGTTCACGTTCAATTTCACACGAACCACACTATACAATTTCAAAAATATGATTGAGTTAAAAATAGGTTTTACACTAAAAAAATGTTCTAAGATATGTTCTTATATGTAATGGAAAAAATTCCACGATTTGCTGTGCTCTTTGTTCATCCGCCTGGCTTGCAACAAGCAGACTTTTCATCAGGCATTCCTTTTTCGGAATTTTCGTACCTACCAGATTTTTGGACCTTGGGAGATTTTTGGGCTGCGGAATTTTGTTTCCACTGGATTTTCTGTTGCACCCGTAGGTGCAACACTCTTATAGAAGTTAAAAGTGCAAAAATTAATAAAAAATATTTCGTGGGGAATTTAAGAACACATTTGTGTGTGGTTACAATTTTTTTGAAGAAGTATCCTAGCAGCAAGAACACATAGCAGTTTGTTCCATTTTTTAAAAAGATATTACAGGTACACTGATGGCAGGGAATGAAGAAACACTGTGCCACTGGAATCACCTCTCATATTTTCCATGAAATCCATTGCATTCTCTATTACTGAACAAAAAATTCAATAAAAATTCTCCATTAAAAATTTCTGTGGAAAGATAGCTTGAAGATTGCTGGAAAATTTTCATCAAAACCAAATCAAAAGATGAAACATTGCTGTGGAAAAATAGCTTGAGGATTGCTAAGAAATGTTTTATTCAACCCTTTTTTAAATATCTATGAGTTGCTTGGAAGTTTAAAAAAAACTTCAAAAGAAACAGACAAAATGAAGATGCAGATCACGTTTGTCCTTCGCCCTCTTCTTCCATTCACTGTTGTCTCTGGTTGTCTTCTGCACTGTCCTGGTCTCCTGAACATACATGTTTGTTTTTATCTTTTGCTGGCGGGCAGAGTCAAAGGGTTTTTTTTCAGCCACGGTTTCAAAGGGGCTTAAACCCTGGCGAAGTCAAAGGGTTTTTCTGGTGACCCTTCTTTGTCCTCCCCCTCAGAACAGGACGTCTGGCAATCCACACTTAATCTGAGCCGAAAACTGGTTGCAGGTTGAAGAGATTCGACGTTGTGGTCCATGACATTTTGTTGGGATCAGAGAAACTTTGAAGTGATGCAGCGGCTTTAGATTTCATTTTTAAAGGTCACATCTACCTTTTTTATTGATTAATCTTTCAAATATTTTCTCACCGGTAACGTCATGCTTGCAGGGTTGCCATTTTCCAATGCCACGCTTTTAGTGTTGTGTGATTGTAGTGTTGCGGGATTTTCTCGTCGGCTTGCATTTTTCCTCGGAGCCTTTTCCGCAGTTCCGTTATGGAAGGAAATCGAATGTCAGTAAGCTTTTGAATACATTTCCATGCATCTTGATTCACGCACCACTAAACATTAAAAAATTGTTTAAAGTAATGAGAGAAGTTACCAACATATAATAATTAAATTTGAGTGGAATTAAGGTTGGATTCAGTGCGAAAAATGCTGGCATCAGTCGGATAACCAGTAGTAACTGTTCCCTGGAGAGGAAAGGGGCTTCTAATAAAAGAATCTGTCCTTTTTGAGACCAAGACTCGTGACAGCTCTGCGAAAGAGGAGGAAGTTACTGATTTGAAAATCTGGGAACAATTATTGCATGGCGTCGTATTGGAGATATATTTAAATTTATTCTAGAAAAACAGTGGCATTTTCATGGAACTTATTTTTGTCTTTAGCTTGTCCGTTGGCTTAATATGTAGTGGATCACGCTGAGAATTTGCCCTGGAAAAACTCGAAATATTTGACGACTGTGCCGAACAATCGTGGTTTTTTCGAAGGACACTCGAATTTTTTTTCCGTTTTCATAATTTTGCTAATTTTCTTTTATGTGACGAATATAAGAATCACATTTTCAAAACTCTCTGAAATCGAATATTTTTGGGGATCTAGTAGCTTGTGAATCGCCTTCTTCTTTCCCGATGTGTTCGACGTTCATGCTGGTTCCCGTCAGATAATTCATTCGTTTTCTTGTTTCTTTGATGCTGCTTTTTCAGGTATGCGACGTCAGCTCGTGAGGTTCTCCTGGTTTACAAAGGTGAGAGCTTAAGCAAATATTCGTTCCTGGGGAAGATCGACGATGCCGCCAGGATTGCCAGCGCAATGAACGAGGAGTTCAAGTTATCTCTGAAAAGCATTCGACTGCCGAATATCGCAGAAGAACCGATATTAGCTGAGAAGAATGTATTCAGCGATCTCAAGCGTAGTATGGCGGAATGGAAAATTATTTGTGCTGACCTTGGTAAGTGCGCAATTTTTCATCCCTGATGGACGGGAGAATAATTTTTATTTATTATTAGGGTTTGTTGGAGCTAAAATATATGGCGATCATGTCATTGGGGGGGAGTTGGCAGCTGCTAAGAAGGGATCGAGCGTCAAATATAAAACCTTCTTCGATCAATTCGACGTATTGTTCTCTTCGATTTGGTAATTTTATGGCTGTCAACGCTTTTTTCTTCTTCAAGTCTACCATTCCTTGATTCCGATTTTAATTCAGCGGAGAAATCGACGAGTCGCTGATGGGAATGGGAGACGAGAGAGCTCAGTTTCAATTTGGATCTTCGAAAAAATTTCAAAGGCTCGTGGAACTCCTGAAAGCATTAGGTCCGAGGCAGCTTTTCATGAGTGAAGCGCGTCGCGAGTTGTATAAGGACGCATACGCAGACGTGCGGGGCATTGTATTCGTGAAGCGGAGAGCTTTGTGCGAGGTAATTCCAAACCGAAAGCATTTTTTATTTTCTGCTGAATCTCACAAATTATTATTTGGTATTGATAGGTTTTGCAGATGATGCTGGCAAATCCAGCTGTGGATGGGCTCAAGCATTTACGATCTGCAAAGATTGTTGGAGTGAACGCTCCAGCCTCAGTTTTCAAAAATAAGAACAACGTAGGCAACACAGTGTTGTCGATTGAGTAAGGCTTGGTTTTCGTGATGAATTTTGTTCAGTTTGGTTTTTATACAACATTTTTTGCACGGTTTCGTTTTTTTATCCACCTAAAGGGAACAAAGGCGATTGGACGAAGCTTATCGTGTTTGGCAAGAAGACTGTAAAAAATGCGACAAAGTTCTTTCGAAGTAAGTCTCATTCGTTTTCCTACAAATTCTTTTCAAGGAGACGTAGGGAAAACTCTCCAATGCCAAGCACTGTAGTTGCTCATGTTGCATTGTTTTACTTCAGGTGAAAATTCCTTGTTGTTTTCCCTCACAGGTTTCGAACTGGAAAGCTGAACCTTTTGGTGGCCACTGATGTGCTGGAAGAAGGCATCGACGTCCCGTGTTGCAATCTGATTGTTCGTTATGATTCCGCTGAATCATTCCGAGCATATGTGCAATCACGTGGTCGAGCGAGAGCCAAAGATGCCATCTATGTTTTCATGACGAGTGAAACGGACAAACAAAGCAACTGGCGAACTATTGAAGGCTACCATAGCGCCGAATTCGTACGTCCAAACTTGTATTCTTTGATGGCAGTCAATATTCTGCTGGACTTTTAACGATTGACAGCTGTTCTGAAACATTAGGAGATCATTTAATGTTATTGAACTGTAGCTTATTCGTACAAGCGCCGTTTTCTACGCGAAAGTGATTTAGAATTATCCTTCGTGAGAAATCATTGTCAAAGTAAGGTTTGAACATGAACAATTTAAGGATATGATCAAAAATGCCGTGTGTCGCCCTTTGCTTCTACAAGATTCCGCCCCCGCCAACAAACTTCTGCGCTCTTGAATTGATGAATCATTTTACGGAAATGAGAGATTTTCGTTACCGCATTTATTTCATTTTATACAGTATTACAAATTTTTTACCTTTCGTTTCGTATTTGCTTGAATTTATTTTATCTTTGTTGTAATTCGTGGTCTTGAAATACTCGACAAACTTTCGGGCGATGCTTTGAGAGCGCAATGCTATCATGTATTCTGACTTGATGATGTCAAACGTATGTTCTGAATCCCTCGCAATTGCGCTTCTGTTTCGAAAAAGGAGGAACGAAGAATTTTTTCGGATCTGAAAAATATCGAAATTTTTCTTCGGATTTTCGCGAAATACTCAGATTTTTCTAGTTTCTAGCTTGCCGATATGTTCGCGGTGTAAAAATGTAGGAAAATCATGTATAAAAATTCTGCAATTTGTTTCTTCTTTGCAGGACCTGGTTGAAATGTGCGCGGAACGAAGCGTTCCGACGGAAGAAGAAACTATGCAGAGCTTTTCAGAGGATTGCTTGCCGTCCTTCAGTCCGTACGGTCCAACTGGCCCGAAGATTCATGCCAACTCTGCTTCCGACATAGTTACGAGATATGTTTCACGATACGGGCCGGGCTACAAGCCTTTCTATTCGATGAATAGCTACGCGATTGACCCAAACCTCGGCCGACCCGTGTTGACGAAAAAGGGTTATCACGGTCCGTTGACGTCGAGCATGCCGCGAAGACCGGAAGAAGTGGACATGCTTCCGGAATTCGAAAATTCTCTGTCGCTTGACTTGGCTTCCGAAGTATTGAGCATGCTGCCACCGGAATTGGTTCGAATGTACCTTCGGTTCCCTACAGTGACACGGATTTCTGAAACACACCCCATTGTAACGGTGAGCTTTTTTCCCCATCTTTATTTACTTTGTGCGATACTTCGTGAAGACGTAGAATGAATTATAACGAAACTTGGGTTGAATGCACCGAGGTTTTTTGAGTATACGATGCCTATAGATCTTGGCGTCAGTCTAATGCGTGACCGACTGAAGTCTGACCCGGCTAATATTTTTTATATTTTTAAGTGTAGGTGAAATGAGATGAGGAGTACAGTTCATAGGTACAAAAAATTCTAGATCGTCACCCTATAGCCTTTTTACTGGAATTCTTGTAGAATTTTTATAGTTTTTTTTTATGTGTACTGAACTTCGATTCCTGGTGTCACGAAGAAGAAAACTTGGTGAGAGGGTAAAGAAAACTCTTACCCTCTCTGACTAATTTCCAAAGCTTCTCGAACGAGAAATGGGGGAAAATGGGTCGCAGAAAAGCTGCTTGTACCACTCCTTCCAGGGCCAATCGAGCGTTTTCAGTGCTCATATTTCGGAGACAACGTTTTCTCCGAAAATCAACTGCGAAAATCCCTCCCAATTATTTTTAGATGGATTGTCACAGTTGCAACAATCTAGTGATTGGTTTTGATGTGCCGCACACTGGTGGTCAAAACTAGGAGGCTTTTACTTGGTTGTTTTAGTTATTCATAATTTTCTAATTTTAGCTGGCTGTAGATGTTTTTTCAGCAGCTCCGGATATTTGAAGTCCTCAGCAGAGGTGGTGCAGTCGTAAATTGCCCTTTGAAGTCACACTCAGAGAAGGCAGACAGTTATCCAGGCAAGATAAAAATAAACCAAAATTCTTCAAGTTGCAATGAAGCAAATAACTTTATTTCGATTTAAATATTTTTAAGAGCCAGCTCAAATAAATCTTAGGTTCCGCTTTTTAGATTTTGTAGGCTATACAGCAATGAGCAGCGGATTACTGATTCTTTTGAGTGCGCGATATGCGTCTCTGCCTGATAAAACAAAAACACATAATTGAGATTAATGTACATGTAGATCAAGACACTTTTCCCCAGAAACACAATCATGTACACTTAAATAGGGACAATGCAAATTTCTTGAGGGAAACACAGTGGGTTAATTCCAGCACAAGCATGAATTTCCACTGCTTGCTATGTTTTATAATCTGCAAGGTAAATTAAAAAAGGGAACAACCCTTCAAGTCAAACTCAAGTCTCTTTTTAGGGCCAAAGTTTGAGAGCAGCATCTCCTTCAGAGATTTTTCTGAGAATGACCAGAAGGGTCTGACAAGAGGAAGGCAATCCTACAGATCAGCCCCCTCTTATGATTTAATACCCCTTCCAGCTGGTGTTTTTTGCTGGAGTCTGGAAAAACCCCAGCAAAATAGGACACCAAAACTTGTCCCAAGATCCGGGCAGCAGCAAAACACCATCTGGGCATGATTCTGCAAGGGGTGTCACCCCATGTGCACAAACAAGGAGCCACCCTCTGTCTCGTAAGACAGGAAGTTTCAAGAGTATTACATTTTTGAGTGTAGAATAAACAAATTAACCCTGGGCCTTGGAAACTCCTTTTGGGGGTTTCCAAAGCTTGGGGTAATTTTTGGTAGACCTAGATAATTAAATAATTACACATGCAGAAATCAACTGTCAGAAAGCCTCCCTGTTTCAAGTGACTTTACAGTCTATATACAGGAGGTCCTGATCAGTAAGGCTGTGCTTTTTTTTAGCTTTATACAAATAGACACTAACCCAATTTCCACAATCAACAATTCTATTTGAAATGCAACACTTTCGAAAATACTGTATTGAAGATCATAACTAACTTGAAGATCGTAACTAATTAATTGAATCAATAAAATGTATTTACTTAATTTACTGAATTCAACATTCAATAATGTTCAAAAACGGCGAAAGTTTACCCTCTAGGACCTCGGTTGGACCTTTTTTTTCGGCGGGATAAGCAGTGATCAACATGGGAGAATGGATAATTAAGGAATGATTTTTGAACACTCCACAGCTTTCTGTTGCTGGTAGTATTCTCAAATAGTCTTGATCGGTTCGTTGGATGCTTCAGGAGTGATAATCTGAGTGAAGAATAGTTCATTATCAATGGTGCCGTCTGTAGATCAGTGTACCGAGATGAACGATAAGAATGGATTTTATAGTCGTGGCAGAAAACTCCTGGAGTATTATCCCACAGATATTGAACCTTGCCCACTTACTATCGTCAAATGACTGGTTGGCCACGTATCAGAGTGCAACGTTTATTTATTTATTTTTTTCAGTTGACTGCGTATTGAAAGCGGCATCAATTTTTAAAGCCAATTTATTTTGTGAGAAGGCGCGTTTTGTATTTGATGCTTTCTTACATTCTGTGATGTCTTGGAAGTAAAGTTCATAATTTTTTCTATGAGCACAAATAAAGTTTGAATACGTTTTGATAAATCTTAGCGATCATTCAAAGTTCGAGAGCACAGCTCGAATGCTTAATTCATATTTTGAGTGTTGAACATTAAGCTGGTACTGTAGCTGCATTTTTAATTAAAAAATATTTTGAATCAAGTCAAAGCTTCGCCATTTTAATAGTCTAGAATATCTGGATTACCTAAAGTAGCTGCAAAGCTGAAAGAGGTGCAGATCTATGCGGAAAATGTCCGCCTATAGTTCTATCCCGTACCGCCAAAGGATTCGACTTTTACGGTGCGAGGCTAACGAAATTAAAATGTAAGGAAAGATGAGAATGAAATTTAGCAATTGGAGACACAATCAACGTTGATGCTTGAAAAGGAACTTCATATGCTCAAGAATCAAGGCCCACAAAAAATAAGTGAAGACTAATGCGTCTGTAACAACGATTCTCGGAAATAGATGGAGGAAGATATTCCTACAGACATTTATTTTAAGCTGGGCTTCGCGAGTCAAAAATGTTGAGAATACTGTACAGTATTAAGTAAATTGTCTTTACAATTATACATAATTTTATTTGAGATCGTGAGATTTTCGACGTCCCGAAAAATGAGATGTATAAAAACTAAGAACCTGTTTTCTTATTCTCATGCCGCTTGAAACTTAATCCCAACTTTTCTTGGAAAAAAATTAATTTAGATAAAAAATTAATTAATTTTTGTGTCGTAAGAGAGGAGTGATCTGACTTCCGCTTTTCTGGATGCATCAAGAACGGCAGAATTGGTTGAAAACCTACAAAAGACATTGAAAGAGCTGCAATCTTTTTTAATTGTTCAGTATTGAAATCTTCAAAGGGATCATTGATTTTTTTCACACACTGGGTCAATGGTGCTGCATACGTTGCCAGAAAAAGAGAAGACGAGGAAATTCTTTATTGAATCATTGCCTTAATTTTTAAATTTTTCCTCCCGATAGTTTTTTCTTGTGTTCCAAAGGGATCTGTGAAGAACAACATGTTATCTATTCGGTTCATTAGATCTAATCTGACAGATTAGATAATGTATTATTCTTGGCAGATCTATTGATGATCACCGTAGTTTTGTGCATTATATGCTTACTAGTGTGGGTATCAACCGGGAGTTCATTGAAAATTCAACTCACAAATCGTAGGAATTTTTTTTAGCGAAGTAAAACCTCATGGTTCATGTTTGAATTCATTGTCATTTTATTCCCGAACCTCCGAAATTTTGCAGGGTGACGTGAAAGGGAATTTGAAGCTGGCGAAATTTGACGTTTGCCTGAAGGCGTGCGAATGTCTCTTCCGAGCTGGCTTTTTGGACAAGAATTTGATTCCGCGCAAGCTCGAGACACGCATTCGAACTGCGGAAGATGATCCTGAGGACCCTGACGATGAAATGGACGGAATGACACTGCCCTCAAGTGGATCTATGGATTGCTATGAGAATCAACCGATTGTTCCTCACGTGGTGTGTATATTCCCTCATTTCTACTCGGAAATTTTTGAAATTCTTGCGAATTAAACTTGACTTGTCAGAATGTAAACTGTTTGATCAGCTTCTTCAACTCTGATCTTTGGAAAAGCCTTCGAATCCTTCACTATTACAATTGTGGTGAAATGATCAGTTTGACAATGAACTATCAGAATGTTTTAAAGTGCTGAAAATCTGAACAAGAAGCAGTGCGAGATTGTGCGGGTTAGTATCCAAACGCGAACCAGCTGATCTTCAGTGATTGGAAATATTGTGATCCCATTCCTAACGGTTGAAGATGAACGCTATATTTCAAAACTCCTAGAAGGCATTTAATTACTCTATAACACTCACTATGAATCTCATGTCATGAAGTCTCGCATGCGCCCTGTTAAGTTTACTTTCTTGGTAATTTTAACCCTAAAACTTTCAAACAGGTCTCAATATTGTGGTAATTAGTTGGGCATCCTCTCCGAAGAAAATGAGAAAAGAGTTCTTTGAATATATTTAAAAATTTTCAAGATGATGTCGGAATGGGCTCACAAGAAACATTTCTGGTTCTTCCCCATTTTCTCCGTGTGATACCGAATTAAACATATTTCAGAGATTTGAAATTGCGTATGAAGATCAAAATCGTTATTTATTTTCATTTTTGGTGACGATGTCCTCTAATGTTGTACGGGCTACTCGGAAGAATTCCGCAGAATACCTTCCAATTCCGCATTTTAAAGAAAAATTACCGTTGATTTTTCTCTTTTCAAGTTGGCGAGGAGTCTCCGTGGCTCGAGACCGAAGCCTGGTAATGCCTTGTACCTGTATCTCGTGAAGATCCAGACAGAAAAACTGATGAAAAATTTCGCCATCAGCGAAATCTGGCAACCGGAGACATCATCCCTTGTTCTTGGTATGCTGTCGGGAGTTCCACTTCCTCTGGTGAGCGAAATTCAGAGGAAAAACCAACTTCCTTTGAAAAACAAATTGATTTCGGCTGAAGTTTTGTGGAGTTTCTTCATTGAAAGCTGGAAAGTACGGTGCAAACAAAATATTATGGAAGGAACATCCTTTTCCTGGAACAATGATATGTATTGAAAATTCGTGGTTCTGTTACAGTGCAAAAAAGCACTTGTAGTTATTGCTTATGATTTACTTTGAAACTTGGTAGCTCACCGTTTTAATAGTCTTGGCCCACCCTGTAGATAGTGCTGCAGAATTTTCCTAAGTTGGCTGTGAGTAGGCCACTTCTTCCGATCTAACATGCATGATTAAAGAGCCCAATTTTGGCATTTTTTTTGGAAATGGGGCGTATTTCAGGTTCGTCAACTTTGAAAATCATATTTTATTTTGCAGATCGACGAATTCACATTGTATCCGAAGCAGGCAACCGTGAGATTGAGCATTGACTTCCTGAAAAAGGGCATCTATCTTGACGATGAGCAACTGACTAATCTGGAGCGGTTTTACGCGGATGTGATGATTCGACACGTAATGGAATTAGATGACGTCTTTTATGACCTTGACTTCAGCCGCCAAACGGATGGCGTTCTTTTTGTACCTGTCTGGAGAGGTGATGTTTATTACAGTTACTGTTCTGTTTCCGAATTTTTAATATTCCTGGCCTAGACAAATTCCGCATCTTGCCCCTGCATTTCTTTTGAAGATGCGTAGCATTTGCAATTTTCGATTTTCGTGTTTATTTCCGTTTTTGTGGTACGATTTCTTAAACTTGTGCATCGAAAACTCATTAGGTTGAACGGCCTGAAGTAGAATACAATACTCATAGAACCTTAAAATGTCGATTAAAAAAACAGTTTGTCCTTTGTCGACTGTTCTCACGTTTCAGTTTGACGTTTAATTGGTCTGCGTTCATGATCTGGCGTACATTTACAGCCACCTCTGGTGTTGCCCTGGATTATGTGGAAGAGAGCCTCAAGTCGCTGAAAACATGGGAAAAGATACGTTACAATCCAAGAGAACCTGAGATTTTTCTTGACGCGGTCGTTCGTCCAATGGTGGGCTCTAAACAGGTACAGTATATATATTTTACTGTGTCAGGATAACTTGGAATGGGAGAACGTTGAGTAAGATTGTCTTTTTTATCATTGAATGCGCATATTATTATTTTGATCCCTGCTTAGTTGCTGCAAAAGTGTAGATCTCGAATGTTCATCTTTGTGAGCGACATCTTATACTAGCTCCGAAAATTTTTCGAGTTCAGATATGAAATATGTTGAACGAATCGATGGAGGAAAAATTAAACGTTTTAGAGAAATTGATTTCTTCTGCTCCACGAGTTCGACCGCTGAATAAAATTTGAAGTTTATGCGGATACTGAAAACTGTACAGTACTTGAATGCAAATCTCGTTGCAATTACGTTCTTATAGCAAGTATTTTATAAAATTCACATTGTTCGCAAAATCAGACGTTGAAATTAGACACTCATGAATCACGTTTTTTTGTTATACAGTCGTGAAACAGCTATTATGTGTTCCCCTGTCCCGTGCATCAGTACAGTAAATGCACATTAAAATTAATGTTCCTTTCGACTGGTTCTAGCTGAGCTTTGTCTCGGAACCCCCTGTTTGAGCACGATTTTGATTGATTAACGAATTGCTTTTATTGTTTAGTTCCATGTCGTGCTGAATGTGCAGGATGACATGTCACCGGATTCGAAGATCCATGATCAAAATCTTACGTTTCGCAAGTACCTGAAGGACGCGTATCGATATGACGTGCGTTATGCTGGGCAACCCATGCTTCGAGTTTCTTTTCAGACGAGGAACTTGGACATGTTCAAACCGAGGTAATCTCAAGTTTCCTTTCTATTTTGATATTCGAGGGATAATTCGCCACTCACAACAGTGCCTTTAAATTAAGATCTTCTTGTAAAATAATTCATGTTCACTGATCGTATTGTTAAACATGTTCACCTGCTGAATTATGCCGAGCATTCATATTCTGCTTGATTTTTTCAAGGTTTGACGAAAAGACCACATCAGGTAAAAGGGAAGTATCATATCTTGTTCCGGAGGTATGCTTTCTTTCGCCGGTGCCCGCGACGCTGTGGCTGCAGTTGTTGCTTATACCGTCGTTTCATCGACGACTTAATTGCATTTATAAGGCGATTGAATATCGTCATGACATCAACATCGGATTTTCTACTTCAGGTAAATTTACGGATAATTTTGATGCGGTGACGATGATTTACTAGTGGAAAAAAGATCATTTGCTGAAGTGCCGTTTTTTACAGAAGGGTTTCTTCACGAAAAATATTTTTTTAAGCTTTTCAGTCCCATTTGTTTCCAAGTGTTCAAGAAGGTTGGTTTGCTTAGCAATTTCTGTGCTTCCAATCGAGGCAGTTCGTTTTTTTTTTTTTCTAATTTTAGATGTCGGAAGTTGAAAAATGATCATGTTTACGTTAACGTTTCCATTTCTGGAATGGAAATTGAATTTTTGTAACATTGACATTCATGAACGATACTGTGGTTGTTTTTACCCGTAACCTACAGTATACGATACGGCGTGCAGTAATTCTGTCGAATTCCCAGGGGAATGAGTGGAATTATCATTTGCAGCAAGTGTCCGGAATACCTGTGAAGTGATTGCATTGAGCTTTTCAATCAGCAGTGTTTTGAATTTAATTCCAGAATTGGAATTCGATAAACCGCCTCCAGTCGAAGAATCCGGTTTAGTGTCCATGACGAAGGAAACTGCATTGCGCCAAACTGTGTCATATCCTGCTCCACCTTTAGACGCTGTGCTGGAAGCTCTAACAGCCAAAGCCGCTGGTGAGCTGATGGATTTTGAGGGTTACGAAACAGTTGGGGATGCCGTTTTGAAATTGTGTTCGTCCGTGCATTTGTTCTTGGAACGTCCATCCGAAACGGAGGGTCAACTTACCAGTGCGAAGTATGTATGAGTTTCCCTTTTTTCCGTCGTTTCGTTTTTGTTTCTTAACTTGAATCAATTGAGGGAGGCCAATTTTTAAATTCTGATTTAATGACTATTTACGAGGGATGTCCCAGGTGGACGCGACCTCCGAAGTTTTTAAAGAAGATTTGATAGTAAATAATTAATCATGACATAGCCCATGATTTTCTAAGATCCTCGGCTTTTTTCCGGGATTTTACTAACGTTTTTGAATTTACTGCATGATGATAAGTGAAGTTTGTCGAGTTACAGCTTAGAAGTCTCCATCCGTTTCACATGGTGCTAAAAATTTGTCAGGCTCGCTGAAATTTTAAATTTATTTTTTTTAACCACTATCTAAAATGTAGAGACGTTTTCCGAAGAAATCGCTGAACCTTGCCTTGAACATCATGGGCTATGTCTTATTTCTCGTTTTTTTTTTTCTTTAATCGCGCCTACTATAAAAATATCTGAGGTCCCGTCGAACTGGGACAACCCTCGCACTCTCCGCGGAATCCTGTGTGTAAAGGAATTGTTGAAAAAAGATGGAATTGGTCTGAAACCTAGGTCAACAATTGGAAAGTATCATTTTGTATTGTATTGGTGCCGTAAGAAAATGACCTGAATCGATCAACGATGTTACCTTGAATAACCTTGGCGTTTTAATTAAGAAACCGAGCTTGCAGTCTTTTCTTATACTCTGAAAACAAAAGTCAGCTGAAATTATGCTTCACGGCTACATTACTGTGCAGCACTCAAAGATTTGTCTTCGGGGAAACATCGACGCGGAATTGGATCTGTCAGTTGATCATTTGACTGGACGTCAAAATCGAGAGAATACAGAATTTATTTCGCTTCATACTATTCGCGAGGTTTAATTTTATTCTAAACTCAAGCTATCTGTTCAGTTGCATTTATTCAATTCATATGTGGAATTAGGGTAACCAGCGGAATAAATAGTTTTATTTTTCTTTCATATATTCCAACAGAGTCAATTTCATTTCAAACGACGCGTTGCTGAAGGCAAATATGGGGATCACGGCTTATTGGAATGCGGCCTCGTTTTTGCCAAGAGAAACTTGGCTGCCGCCGCTGTTCTCCAAGCCAAGCTTTGTGGAGGAGTGCTTTTTGAAATCAAATCGAACCAAGAACGATTGGTTGGATGCTGAATTACGGGTACAAATTTATACTTGAAATTTAGAAGCTTCCTTATCGTGATCTTCGTGTCGTTTTCAGACATTGGTAAAAACAAAAGGATTAGCCTCCTTGACCAAAGAGGATGTAGAAAAAGGGATGGCCGGAGAATTGTACACGGGCAAACCCCATCCATTGCAGTCAGTGTATCTGAGCCGTAAGAAAAGCTTTGCTGATTGTGCTGAAGCAGTTGCTGGTAAGTTGCATTACCTTTTTTTTGAAGGTCTCTGTATTGAAAGTCTTTTTCTTTGTGGACATTTAAAATTTCGCGGTTTGATATTTGCAGGAATGTACTCTGTCTGGAATGGCCTTAGTTCTGCGTGGAATTTCTACAAGGATTCTCTTGGTCTGAAGTTTTGCGCCTTTGAGGATTTGGCGGGCAAGGTTTCGTCCCCACTGGTCCCACGGCCACAAGAAGAGGTCCGTTAAGTTTCGAAATTTGGAGGCGAAAATTAGAAAATCGCAGCAATAAATGCAAGTGTCACTTAGCCAGATTCGACTTGACTATTGCCTTGATGGATCTGGGAATCCCATTGTTTCTTTAATTCTTACCGTTTCAATATGAAGGTGTGATCAACAATGTTTTGATCATTCTTAGTGAATCATGATTCTTCTTTCTGTTTTTAAATTCAATTCTATATTGCCGTCATACACCATTTTATAGTGAGACATTTTACAATTTCTTGATCCTCGAAATAAATTGCTACCTTAAATTTTTTCAGACCGATTTTTTTCTGCTAAATATGAATACATTTTCTTGGTTAAACAACTGCCCAGAGTCGTGCCTTTTTTTAATTCTATCGGAAATGTGTCTCTTTTTTCGAAAAATTTCGAGCAGTCCGCATTTGCCTTGTTAATTTCTCGACTCCCTTGCTTGTGGAGAAAATTATGTTATTCGGCTAAAATCCTTGTGCACGTCCTTTTAGATACTGTACTGTGAAAATATCTGAATTGAACCTTCTAAGAAATCTTTCTTTTCATATTTTCATCGTTTAGAAAAAGTCGAAAGTTATATGCATCACAAGTTTTTCTCCTGATGAATTCGATGCGAATGCCGTCATTGATCATTGAAAAACTCCCAAAACTCCAAATCCACGTGTTAGGTGGAAGTCTGATTTTCAAGCGCCGCATAGCTTGAATAATCCAGCCATGATGTTCAAAGGGCGGTTGCACTGCGCAGTGTTCGCTTTCGTGCTACTCGTTTAAAATCTCGCCGAATATTCTGATTGCGAACAGTTTTTCTACTGTCATTCCCGATATTTTCTTCTTCTCTTCAATATTATAAGTTCGTACTTTTGAATTATTCCAGATGCCACGACTGCAATCCTCCTTTGCTGCCGAAAAAGCTGCATTGATTAAAAGGTAAGAATTCGATTGGCATCTCGGACACGTGTGCAATATCTTGTGACGGGGTCATGTTATCTTTGATTAGAGTGGAAACTGTGCAGAAAAGATTGAAGTACACCTTCAAGGATCCCATGTTTCTCGTTCAGGCGCTCACTCATCCATCATATGCCGTCTCAAATTCTTGTACCAAGGATTTTGATCGTTTGGAATTTCTTGGTGATGCCGTCCTGGGTTAGTATGTTTGGGAGATTTTCCCTTATTTTCGTAGAGTTTTCAAGTTTGACTCTGATCGGTTTGCGGACTAAGTAAAACTCAGCTTGTGACGCTAGCCAATCGAAAGAAGGAAAAAATTGTCAACAATAGTTGAGTTGAGGTTTTGTATTTTCTAACTGTTCTCTTCAACAGCTAGAACCAAACTGTTTTCTGCATTCAAAAAAACGAAGCTTATGAAAACACTAGCAACAGAATAACACGCCAAAAAATAACGGCGTTTGATAACTATGTTCTCACAAACTGTTCTGCCAGGAAACAGAAATCCGCCGTAAATTTTGCTTTCACAAAGGTTCTCTCAGCCATGGGGCATCAGAGCCCTGAACTTTCCATCCACTGTCTATTTTTGTTTAGGTAGTAAATCAATTCATCATGGCATTTCTGCTATTCCCCCTGTCAATGTGACGTTTTTGCTCCAATATTTTCCCCAAAACCATTTGAGTTCGAGTTCAAAATGCGTAGTCAATGGGTTTTTTGATCAATTTTTTACACAAGGCTTTTGTACAACAGAATACATACACGAATTGATTTGTATATTACAATTTTACATCCACAAGGAACAATTCTGTGCGATTGTTCCATGCAAAGCCATGAATGATGAAATAAACCATTTCAGAATATATACCTTGGATGATTACCCACATGGAATAAGTAATTATTAATCTACCGTTTGTATGTACCACTTGGTTAAACAATGTGGTACATACAGTAAGCATTGTCTACGGCAATAAGCATTGAAAAATTCAAAAGAATTCTTGGTGAAAGCTTTTCATTTTCGTAATTCAACCAGTCTTGGGGACTGTCAAGTGATATCGAATCCCGAAAACACTGGCAGACTAAGGATTTTTCATATGCTGCTCTGGACGTGCATTTTGTCAATCGCTCCAGTTCGGATTGTGTAGTGTTTGAAAAGCATGATGAACGTTCATCTCAGGCTGCACGGATTTAAAAATTTTTCACCGATGCATGTTTCCTTGGGAGACTGGCTGTAAATGAAAGAAGAGGAGGAATTCCGCTCGTTCACAAGTATAGTAAAGTACTTGTTTCATCCTTTTGTGCAGATTATCTGATTGTTCTGGAGTGCTACCATAAGAAAGGCGTACGATCTCCAGAAATGTTGACGGATTTGCGTTCGGCGTTGACGAATAATGCGACGTTGGCCGCGCTGGCTGTCGAAAATAAGTTTGACAGATACATGCTGGTCTTGGCGGAACCCGTCGTTAACTCAATCACAAATTTTGCCGACCTCGTCAGGAGCGAAGATTGGAAGAAACCTGAATTTTTACGTGCGTATTTTTTCGACTATAATACCTTTCGTTTCTAAAGTCTGGTCTGAATATTTTGGAAAGACTTCGGTTTGGAGATGAATGATCTTACCGAATACGAACGCTTTGAGTGCCTCCCGAGTGAAGAATTCTTGAAAGGTCCCATTATTCCCTTTCAAGTTCTCAAATGTTTTTTTAATGATAAATCCCGCTCCGTCTTCGTGTTTTTCTGGTCACATGGTTTGTCAGGCGAATGAGCAATAGAAAAATGCATCATTCCAGAGTAAAACTTGTTCAGTTTATCGCGACTGAACCCAGAGAGTTCTTCGGTAGACCAATGAAGTAACAGGAAGGCGCCAGGGTGAAAATTCCGAATGTAAAATTTGAAATGAACAGCGGAAAGATTCTCGAAGGGACTATCATTGAATATTTGTACATCTCCTTTCCAAGCATTTAATTGAAAATTGGGTTATCCCATTAAATGAGAAAGAAGGAGCAAGAAGTGCGGTAAATTTATTTGGTCATTAAGGACTATGAATTCATGGCGGACTTAGACTGTGTTCGAAAAAAAATTCCGGCTGTGTTCGATTTTAACAATCATAGGCATTCTATAATGTGTTCTGCATTTTTGTAATGTTCTGTATTTGTAACATCTCATACCCATTCGTAAAGTTGATGCTACAAATTCTTCTTTCCTGAATCAGTGAAAACTCACGACGACGGTACAGTTGAGCTTTTAATCGCTCCAAAATCTCTGGCTGATATGTTCGAGGCTCTCGTGGGTGCTGTGTTCTTGGATAGTGGTCTTGACTTGAAGAAAGTGTGGGACGTGTTCGGCCCCATCTTCAGAGATGTGATAGAAATCTACGCTAAGGACGTTCCACTGAATGCTGTGAAGGTTGTCATGGAAAAACTGGGAAAGTTCTTGTGAGTATTTTGGTTTCATTTTGGTTGCATCATCAAACCAAGCTTCATGTGTGGGTGTTGGAAAGTTGGTGTGACTTGATGAATGCATAATCGATTTCATTATTTTTTTTTGACATTGACGGAATAAATAAGCGTGAGCTTGTGTCAACGACAGTCGCAATGGCATTTTCATTCGACACCGCGTCATCCGTAGACTTTATTTCTGTGTACATCAGCCTTGCTAAAATAAAACGGGACAGTCTGTTCGAATCTTAAAATTTCTACAGTATTAAAAGTTTTTGTTTTTCAATTGATCCTTCTTTCAGCGAATACTTGTGTTCGTCACCAAAGCCGATGTACCTGTGTGCGTACTTTGCCAAAAATATGAATCTTGCTAGAATTTCGACTCATTTTACTGCGCAATGATACTTTTTGTTTCTCAAAAATGAATCATTCGATCCTACTAGTGTTGATCTGAAAAGCCGATAGATTTTTGAATGTTTCTGCCCCGAAATTGTGACGTGCTTCCTTATTTTTCAAGTTGAATCTTTAATCAATTACATATTTATTTTCCAAATGAAGACCGGCTCACACTCTGAATGACGGCCGTTTCGCGGTGGACTGCCAGTTCCGCCTGCGCGGGAAAAACCCGGTCGTGCGTGGTCTGGCTGCCAGTTGCAAGAATGCTAAATTAGCAGCTGCCATGGAAGCTGTGCGTCGAGCAAAGTTGGAAGGATTCTCTATGTCGTGAAAATTTTGTGCCTTCGTTTTGTTGAGCAATATCGGAGCTTTTGAGTGTGTGAATTCATTGCGTCGTGTGAAATCGGTATTACTTTTTCGAGAGTTTGATTTGCTCTACTGTACTGAGCAGTGCAAAATTCGTATTTCGTCTGAGCTTGCGTTGAGTTGCTTGTCGTAAGTGACAAGAGGTGCTTCCGAAACGACGTTGTGGGGATTTTCAGAATACGCGTGGATTACTGATTTTCACGGGATTTCACATCGTATTGAATTTTAAAATGATGCAGTTGAGAAGATGGGATTGTTGAAAAGGACTTCCGGGAATGTTCCATGCATTGCAGCTTTTTCCTGATTGGCGTAAAAAAATGTTTGCGATCATTTCCGGTGTTCTGCAAATTTATGCGCCCTTCTTCCTAATTGAATGCGTCGTTGAAAAATGTCATGGATCTTCCTGCGTGCGGAAATAAGGGACGAAACTGCTATTCGGATATTTTTGTTCTCTTCACTCGGACTGCTTTAGGCGTCGTCGTTTTTGCATCTCTTTTTGTGCTTTGTAAATGGGGATCGCGTTCCGTATCGAAACGTTCGAAATATGTTTGCAATCTCGCGGAAATTATGTGCGTCAAATTTTGAAATAAAAATTAAATGCGATGGCGCGGAGTTGAAAATGTTTCCGTCTTAGAGTCTCAGTTTATCACGTTTTCGTTCCCAAAAGTTATTCTTGTTTTTATTTTTAGGATTTTGTGAGATGTTTTTTCCAGACTCGGAAGCGCAGAACCGCCTCATCAGTTGAGATTTTGATATCTTTGTAGTTTGTTTGTGATTGTGGGAGTAAAAATCGAGCGAGTTGCGGTGACAATGAGCAGGATGGAGGACAGAATTTGTGTGCTGTGTTGTCGGGAAGCAAAGTTCTTCTCGATCGGTCCCTGTGATCATCCGGTTTGCCTGGAATGCTCGACCCGTATGCGAGTTCTTTGTGAGAAAAAAGTTTGCCCGATTTGTCGCAAAGTTCTCAAGAAGGTGAGCATAATTTACTTTTTGCTGCTAATCGGATTAACCATCTTACCCCCGGATTATCCTTCGCAATAAGCTTGTCATGAGAAATTCCTTTGTAATGAATTGAGGTTATTTGTTGATTCAAGCATACTTAATTTTTGGTGAAAAAAGACACAGTTGAATGTGCCATGCGTCAAAAGAGATATTGTATCGTTTATTTGTTTTATTCTTTTTACCCAGTTTATTGCGTGAAAAGTGCGTTTCGGAAACTTTTTGTGACTTCTTTCTTCTGCTTCGGTGAATAAGTGAATAATGCGGGCTTTTCTAGAACGTAAACGGTATATCAAAATACTTGGGCATTTTTTAAAGGTGTCTCTGAATATATTTTCTCAATTCCGTACCAGAGCCATAGGATTTTTCCATTCGTATACGGTATTTGTTGAAAAATTTATTTCAAGATCTTGAGTGTTTTCCGTTTTTTCGTCTTGCCTAATCCATCGTTTGCTTCAATTATATTGTGATATCAGTATTTGGTCTCATCTTTGAGAACCTTTAACGCATTCTGAGAGGATACTTCACTTTTTGTATTGCTGCTTTTAAGGATCGTGAATGATTTTTTAAAGGTGGTTTTCACGAAGAAACTACAATCGTTCGATAAGGAGTTCAAAAACAAGAAATTTGAGCTGTTCGACAAAGAGTACGGGATTGGGTTTGAAGACGGTCCTTGTTGCGACGCATATGATAAGCTGCTCGAGTTCCGGTGCCTCATTTGTCCCTCAGATAAAAGGAATACAAGTTTCGAGAATTTCGTCGGATTGCAACGCCACGTGAATCGGGAGCATTCGCGTTTTTTCTGTGATCTTTGCGTGAAGAATTTGAAGGTGAGTTCCCTTTTACCGACGGCATTCACGCGAATGTAAGTCGATTATCATCAAAAGCTTGATTCGTAAACGTCTTGAGCCGAGATCAGTATTGCTAGAGAATCCATGACGCTCTGTTGCTCGCTTCACAGCGTGTCAGATAGTACTATACGTTACAATGCCGGTGTTCGTCTTTCGCTCGTACATTCGCGCAAAAAGAACATGGAGCATGAATGATTTGAGAACCCCGAACACATTACTGTAAATTCTGATGAACAATTGTAAGCAAAGGTTTATCTTTATTTTGTGGGAAGTTCCAATATTCTGCTGAGGAATGCTGTCATGGAAAGATTCCTCGCCTAGCTTTTACTCGTAAAATCAGTCCTTTGAGGTGGTAAAATTAGGTTTCGCTTGTTGTGAGAGGATCGAGATAAAATTGAATCAAATTTATCTGCTTGAAAACCCAACGAGGAGAAAAAAAAAGGAAATTATTCAAATGATTGCTTCACTTCTGCTCTAAATCCGTTGAAAATTAAGTTTTTCTCAAATTTGAAAATGATTCATCAAGTTTTTGGTATTGTTGAGTAAATCAATAAAACCGGCTGAACATGTCGCCAATTGATTCGAATCAGTTTCAGAGTTCTTTATTTTATGGTTTCTTGAGAGAAATGCCGGGTTGGATTTTCGACAAATCTTTTTCTCGACATGCTTTTGTGTTCAATTGATCTCTAGTTGTGAGTGAGTCTTCTGGTCCTCCGCAGTTGTTTAACCACGAACTGAGAACTTATGCGAGAGAGGAATTGACCCGGCATCGAACGCAGGGCGACCCAGACGACACTTCGCATCGTGGCCATCCGTTATGCAAATTTTGCGACGAGAGATTTTTGGATAATGATGAGTTGTATCGCCATGTGCGGCGAGATCACTATTTTTGCCATTTCTGCGATTCCGATGAGAGCCGTGGCGGGAAAAGCATCATTTTCAAGTAAGATGAAAATACAACAAAATGGCCAAGTTTTCATCTGCTGTGATATTTCTCTCTTTGTGCAGTAATTATCAGAATCTCCGCCAGCATTTCCTTACGGATCATTATCTCTGCGAAGAAGGATCTTGCAAGGAGGAGAAATTCGTCAATGCGTTTTCATCTGAGCTCGACTTGAAAGGTAATGATGAATTACAGGGTTGAGCAAAGCAATTTGTCAGTACCACTAAAGGAAGTTTTTCGGGTAATTTTAACGTGGTTCTTCCATGTTGGGCATTTTCGTCGAGAACATTTCTAATTATTGCTGAGGAAGTTATTTGTGGTACTGTAGCCTCTTTGAAATTGATTGCGGTGAGTTAGCCTTGTTTGTTCGCGGTAATAGAGTGAATTTCCTGCTGTCTTTCAATTTTAATGCAGTGGAACACAATTTTGAGAAATTGTTCAGAACTGATCAAATACATTACTGCTGGTTTATAAATATGATACTCATCTCCGTTCATGCAACAAAAATCAAGCAATCGTGTATGATTGGCACAATCATAACCCACTTCTGCGTTCTTTTGCTTCTTTTAGCGCATAAAATGAAAGAGCACATGGGGCAAGCTTCAAAAGCAGTGGCCAAACAAACCCGAACTCTGGAATTGGAGTTCAGTATCTCTCGAACCGGGCAAGGTGCACGTGGACCACCCGGTGGTGCTAATGGTCGGGGTGGTCGAAGACGGATGAATGCTAGAAATGCTGAAGAAGAAGAAGCTCGATTTAGGTACGTAAAAAATAAATTACAGTTTAACCATCCCTGTATTGAAACGTGAGCCTGGGCATTTTTTTTTGTAAAACTTGTGTATGTTTAGTGGAAAAAATTGTTTTTCATTTTAGGTGAGGAGGATTTTGATTTAAGAAAGATATATTTAAAAAAGTTTTTCTTGCCAATTACTTTAGAAAATGAGAAATTTCTAACATTAATTTTCTCTCACGGGTATTCTTTATTCCGTTATTCCTGAGAGAAATGAAATACGAGAGCGTTGTTCTTTTTGTCGCGAATTTTTTTTCTTCTACTGAGATTTTATAGCGTTAAATGCGCCATTACTGCACTGCTCTTCTAAATCTGATGTATCACGAAATCAGAACTGAAAGCAAGGAGGATCTATAGTGAAATTTCTAAGAAGATACTTCTTGGAATTGTCGAAGAAAAATTCAAAATCACATAAATCAAGTTTGAAATTATGCCGAAGGATTGCCTCACAATTCATGCCTAGGGGCTTTCCGTCGTTTTTGAAGTCCATGAACTGAATCCAATTCGTATGGAATTCGTTATTAGTATCCCTCCGTCCATGCCTTTCCATTCGTTCGATTGTTTGAAAACAGTGATGGTTCGAAGTGTCTAAAATATTTCTTGAGTTTATTCAAGAGCAGAATAATTCTCGAAGATTCAAAACGCGTTTTTTTTTTAAATTAATCGTTCACGGGCTTCAGGGATACTACTACTCTTCGAAGAAAATAAAGGATCATCTGATGGAACAATAATTTCGATGACCTGATCCTCTCAATTTTCGGCGATTTTTGTTTCTAGAGAGGAATTTGAAGCCTTGGGAGCTGTGGGAGGGCCGCCACCTCACCAAGAGCCTGAATTCAACGGTCTCGATACTGAAAACGTGGCGGATTTTCCGTCCTTGTCCGCCGCCACGGGCGGTGAGCCAGATCCCGTCCGTCGTGGCCCCAATCCAGCCCAACTCTTCCGCCGTCAAGGTCCCGAAGCATCCTATCTCGGTCGTGTGTCCAAAAACATGATGCGAGAGGAGGATTTCCCGTCGTTGAATTCTACAGTGCCTAATAAACCAACGCAGACGAACGTCAATATCACCATCAGCGGTCGCCACGGAGCAGGGGCGACCAAGAAGAGCGGCAACGGGGTGTCGGTCGAATACAGTAGGAGCGTGACGACGCCGATCCCAGCGAGTCGTCCGTCGATGGTTGAAGGTGCCAAGCCGAGGGTCACTCGGATTTCCAGCTCGCAGAATATTCGTCTTGAAATGCCTACTGGGATGGATGCTCCACCTGTCGTCGTGTCGCAAGGTATGTTTTTTTTTTTAGATTTGCCGCATGAAACTCCGACTGCCGTTTTTACGACCAAATTGGCAACGCACTTTGCCCCACTTCTTACACCTTGAGTCTCAAAATTCTCAAGATACTTCTCAGATCTCTTTGGAAAACAATGAATGGCATGCTTTCGAAGGAATTTTGATATAATAAAATGTAAAAAAAAAAAGAGGGAAACTGTTTCAAATTGTCGGGATTTAATGGGGTTTCTGAACTGCTGCTGGGGAGAAGAGGAAAATTTTTCTTCGGGATCGATTCCGTCTTTCAAAATGTTTTCAATTTAAACGAAACGATCTTTAAGCATCAAAATTCCGTATCTTTTGGAACAAATTCCATTGAAACAAGAACTGCGGATCATAAATTTCCATAAATATTTTCTTGAATCATAATTGACAACCTGACGAACAATATTATGGCTACGAAAACAATTGAAACATAAAATTCAAGACAGAAAAGTTGTCAGTTCACTTTTATGGAAACAATGGACATTTTGAAACTGGTCATTTTCTGATTGCTACATGTCCTAATCTTAAGCGAATGCGCCGAAATTGGAAAAACTGCCGAAAAAGTCGGAAGAAGCTGACGGCCAGTGGGTTTCTGTTGTGAATGCCAAGAAACCCGTTAAACCGCCTCCTTCAGATGGGAAATGGAACACAGTGCCGAATGGAGGCGACGCATTTCCATCACTCGGACCTCCTGAGAAACGACTTCCGTCTCATTCTTTCGCAGCAAAGGCGAAGCAGTCTGCGAATTCAGGCAGTAAGGTTTTTTTTTACATTCTAGAATAATTAGTGCGAAAACCATTCAAACATTTTGGAAAACGATTCCTATGGTCATTCGAGGCGTTTGATGATCAGGAGGGACTGTTACATTCTAAAGGTTCTCCATGAATTTTTTTATTCACGTATCTTTCCAGACCGGAGGTTAGAAGTGAAATTTATTCTAAATTTGACTTGGTGAATTTTCTGTGAAGAACGAAAGACGGAAAGGGAACCCTGAACAGCTTGAAATGAAGCAAAGCTAGTCGGGTTTGAAGCGGTATTCAGACTTCTCTTTGATTCTACCCTTCAGTTTTAATGTGTTATTTCAATTGTTTACTTGAGTCTGTTGCCTTCATTGCAAAGAGAAAAAGTTTCCCGGGAAAATCAAAACTTATTAAGAGGTTTGTGCCTTATTCGCCATAAAAAATAATAATAATGATTTATTTAGGCGCCTGGAGTAAAAAATCGAACACGCAACCGGAGCCGAAGAAACCCGAAGAAGTTTCCAAGAAGCAGCCAACGTTGGTATTGTCAAAAACTAGGCCACACGCCTTAGACGAAGCTATGATAAGTCATAAGGCGCCTGACGCTGGTTCCGCTGCTGATTTCCCCTCGTTGGGCGCCACGTCATCGCTTGCCAGTGGTGGAATTGGAGGAGCTCGGCGCTTGCCACCGCCACCGGGATTCGACACGAAATCTAAACGCGACGCAAAGGCATCCAAGACTGTCACTGACGTAACATTCACGAATAGCTCTGGGCAGAAATTCAGTCTGAATCCGCCGAGGGAGTACCACAAACCACGGGATTTCGACGCCAGAAGCGACGCGTTGACGACCAAAATACGAAAGAAGGCTTTGCGAGGCGATGGTGACCGGTAAGGGACTATCTTCTATTTGCTGAAGGATACTGAGTCGACCTGCATTTTTGCCATTTTTCTCTTGAAAGTATTAAGTATAAGTTGATGGGATAAAAAAGGTGGGTTAAAACATACTGATTTTTGAGCAAGAAAAATGTTCGCCGTTATTTCAGCAAAAAAAGCGGTCGAATTATTGTGCAGTACTTCAGGGATTATGTTGGTGTTTTAAGTTCTTGGATGAAACTTTACCATGAAAAAGCAATTACCGTAATTGTGTTTGTTTCTTTTTTCGCAGGCTCAACGACTTCATGACTCTATCGTCCGCTTACTTGGCTGGTGCCGTCTCTGCTCGGGAATATTATTCTCGGTGTATATTTTATTTTGGCGATTGTTTCGCCGAGATTTTCCCGGAATTCCTGGCCTTATTGCCCAACATTGCTCGTCAAGCGGGGCTTCTGGAAGCTCACGAAGAAGTTGAGGAGCAACGGATTGCTGTGGAAGAAGACTTTTTTTCTTGTCCGTTGTGTCGACAAGTGTTGCTTGCCCGCGATTACGAAGGACACGCGGATTTTCACGGAGAAGAATTCGAAAGTTAAAACGGCGTCTGCTGTTCAAAGAGGAATTCTTGTTTTTGATTATAACATCGTTGTGGTGAACGTGTACCAGATCGTTGCAATGATGGGTTTATTTTAATCCGGAATCCCGACTTCTTTCTTCTGTGTTCTCCTCCTTTCTCGTTTTTTAAGAGCGTAGAGCCCGTTATCGTTAATTCACTTCAATTTTTTTCCCGACAGATGGTTTTGCATTGAAATGTTCAAAATTTTAAAAAGTGCTATTTCGAGGGGAATGGGGTCGATTCCAAAGGTATGAATTTCCTGAATAGTCCAGTGGGTTACTTTGTATTCATCGTATAAAATGTCCCGTCCTCTTCTACAGACGGGTAGAATACCCGATGATCCGAATTTTCCGCATGGGGAATTGAAAACGGCGGCGTTTGGAATGGCCTGATTCTGGCACCCTGAGGCGCTCTTCGGATGCACCTCAGGGATCTACCAAACCCGCGTTGGCTACGCTGGTGGCTCCACGCAGTTCCCAACCTACCGCTCATTGTGCGTATCAAAATTTAATTGTCGAAACAATTTTCTGCGTTATATTAAATTCCTAAAGCTCGAGTAACTATCGTGAAATTTTATTTATAAGTTTTAGGTTAAAACCACGTTTAAAAAAAAATCCGGATAAGCGGGTTACGTCGTTCGAATTATGGAATATCGTGTATTCGAAAGGGGGAAAAATTCATCAAGATGATCTGACCTGATAATTCACATCTTCTGCAAATCTTCGAGACGAGTACATTTTCATAATTCGTCAGTTCACGTAATCTTAAGGCTTATAATTTCCGGAAATATTTATTTCAATTGAATCGATTGCTTCATGCATTTAATTCATAAACGAATGATGTATTTTTCATCATCTTCTCTCAAGGGGTGACCATACTGAAACGGTGGAAGTGGTGTATGAAACGGAAAAGATGAACTACGAGAATATTCTGGAAATGTTTTGGAAGCACCACAATCCGCGTGCCAGCAGGACTCGTCAGTATATGTCCGCCATTTTCTATTACGATGATGAGCAGAGGAAGGCTGCGGAAGAGAGCTTGAAGAAAGAAGCTGCAAAGAAGCCCGGCATTAAAACTCTTATTTTGCCGGTGGGCACGTTCTACGAAGCCGAAGAGTTAGTTGCACCTTTTCTTTTTTTTTTTTTTTTTCCGCGCTCTCGCATTGTTCGGCTCTCATGAAAATAAATGCTGTCGATTTCCTGATGGATGCCGAGAGGTTTCACGAGAGGCAATTAACCGGGGGAAAATTTAGTCAAGGAATAATAAATACAGTAGTTATTATTTATTATTGTTCGTGATCCTGATGAAACATGGACGGTGACTTGCAGTAAAATTAACCTGTTTACAGGTCCAGAAAGTACGCATTTCGAATGCTATCACAGTAATGTACTGTACTGTATTTCTTTCCTTGGGTCCCAGTATACCTTTGATGATTTTCTTGTTTTATCGTTTATTATAAGGTTTTGAAAACGGATTAAAACAAACCAATTTTAAATCCTGAATGTTCTTGATATACCGTAGCAAATAGAAAACGTACCGAAAAAGTTTGAAAAGTAAAACTTTTCTTCGAACAGTTGAAAGGTCTCATATTTTTTTTATTAAATGTCAGGAATACGAAAACTATATGCAGTGCTTAGAGAAAAACTTCATGCAACATCAAACAAATTCAACCTCTTTTTACCAAAAAATACTCGCGTCCAAGACGGAAACTATGATCAATTGGGCGAGGGAAGGTTCTTCCTTCATGAATCATCGTGTTTAAGCTACTGTATTTTAATGATGTATTTTTATCGTTTTTTTCTTTCCTCGGCATCAAGTTATCACCAAAAATACCTGCTTCAGCAGCATGCCAACGTTTTGGTAGATCTTGACATCGATCCAGAATCCATCGTGCCGTCGCACCTTTGCGCCCGTCTGAACGGATACCTCAACGGATTCTCGAATCTCAAATCTTTTGAAGCCGAGAAAGCGTCGCTGAAGTTGCCGCCCAATGTGGAAGCCTACGTGGAAAAATGCATTAAGCGCGGTTGTGAACCCGGATTTTGCTGAGCGCGAACGAAAAGATAAGGCCTTGAGGAAAATGTTCGCTTCCTCGAAGTGAGATCGAGATATGTAAGGACGCCATGGCAGGAATTTATGACGTTTCTGGGGTTAAACTCGTTTTCCAGGAGCTGATGCTCGTTTACGTTCACTGATGGCGTCTCGAAAGTTTCCTTATCATTTCGAGGAAGCGAAAGTTTTCTTTTTTATTGCGAACTTCGAAATGTATCCTTTTTTATTTTCCTCGATGCGGGTTCCTGCATTTCAAAGCTGTTAGTCCATTTTGCATCCTGACGATATTTCGTTCAAACCCGTTTGTCGTTGACACAATTGCTTCCGTAAATGACTTGCATTTACGTTCAAATCACTGCTTCGTCGGAAAATTGCTTGAGACAGACGCAAATACAGAACACAGTTTTATTTTATCGTGATTGACTAGAAAATATTCATGGCTCCGTGTAGGAAGAAAAGCACCAAGAAAAAATTCAACTTGGATAAAAGCACTGAACTCGAAGTACTGTTGGGGAATTGAATGCTAAAATTACTTACGGTATTCTCAATGATCTTCTGAGTTAAATTTTCCCTCCGTAAAACTCTTCCGGTTTCCTATTTTTCGCTCGATTTTGGAAGTATGTTACACGGAAAACAACCTTGTCGACATGAAGTATGCTCAGTTGTAATAAAAATATTCAACCAGTCGCAAGTCACGAAACCGCGTTTAATATGTAAGAGATTACGAGTTGAAAATGGAACCTGAAGATGTATGTTCTTACTTCGGAAGAAGTAATCGTTTCGTTCAGAAGAAAAAAGAAAAGCGAGATGAAATTATTATCGGAGTAAAAAAAAATCTTATTCATATGTGCGTTGCGTGGGTGCTTTTCTTCTGCGCGAAATTTTCGTTGTTCATTTTTCCTTTCGTCCTTGACTGAATGCATTTCGGGAATTGAGATCAAAGATATGGGATTAACGTAGAAAGCCTTTTTCTTCGCATGAATTGTGATATAGGCCAATATGGCTGCTGCCAGAAGTGCCTCTACGAGAGACCAATTCTCTCCCATGGAGGGAAGCAAATACGAGTCGTATGTACTACTCGGTTTGGAAGAAGATATCGTTGACTTGAAGAAAGATAAAGTCGATTTCACCACGAGCTTTATCGGAGGATCACCGGTGAGAATGAACGAGATCGCGAGTTCAATGCAGGGGATATTGTTGTACTTGTTTATTTGTTTTATCAGATATGGATGACGAAAAATATTCCTGGAAAGAAGGATCTGATCTGCCGGAAATGTGGTGGGTCTTTGTCTCACGTTCTTCAGATTTACGCCCCTTTACAGGACTCTGTTTACCACAGAAATCTCAATATTTTCTGCTGCCTCCGAGGAATCTGTTGGAGGCTCTCTGAAAGGTGAGCGTAAGACAAAACATATTTTTCATCGCTTTCCAAAATTTTTATTTCTTGAAGCTGCCCTCGATACTTGATCATCTATTGTTTAGCGACTTGGCCTAATCATCTAATCTTAGAATGAATTAACTTGATCTCACTCGAGACGAACCCAATCAATCTTAAAATATAATTAACCAGGCATAAGTCCTCAACCGAATTCCTAAAAAACAAAAATTAATCTCAAGATTAATTTGCCTACTCGAGTATCGAACTGTTCGTTTTTTAATCGAATTTTTTGCGTTGTGGCTTGTTGTGTTTGTTCAGGTTTATATACTTTTTCTTTTGTGTTTTTATTCATTTTTAAGCTTATTTTTTGTTGGTTTTTTCGTGTTTGCTAAAATTGTACTTCGCGTTTGGATTGTCGTTCATGGATGCAGAAACATAATTCGGATGAGGCAGATTTGACAAGAATCGATAATTTTTATTTCAACGCTGGAATAATTTTGCGGGGGAAAAACTTTGGATAATTGTAAAATAAGACTATTCGCAGTTGGTTGTGTACCAGAACGCAAATGGCTTGCGAGGGAGCTGAGATGATTCCGAGCAAAGCTGAGAAAGCCGACGATTGGCTCTTGGGAGCGTCAGATTGGGATGCAGAAGACGACCACCATGTCGACAGTCGACGACGCGAACCAGAAGACCCGGAACTCAGCGAACGAATGACCCGATTGTCGACTGAGGATTTCATCAACTCGAATGTTTCTGGAGCCATGGCGCCGATGATGAACGCGTCTTCTTGCATCGACACCGAGGACAACTCACCGGATGCGCCGATAACTGTGGACGATATTCTGCGACCGGAAACCAACATCCCGGAATTGCTCTTTAGCACCGACACCGAAGGTGCTTCTTGTGGCGAGCGATTCGTGCAGAGACATTTGTCCGTTATGGAAGAGCCACTGGTTCGTTGGTTGTTCGTTCGTAGTTTTTGATATGGTATTGGATGATTTTTTGAGCGTCTCGAAATCGCAGTAAATCCACGATTTCCAGGGTCCACGTATTTTCCTCATAAAACTTTAGATGCCGAAAAAAAATGCCAACAGTGAAATTCTGTAGGGGAAAATATTCAACAGACTATTTTCCTGCACTTTTGATCGAGTAAGATGGCCTCTTATAACTGACAAATGCACGAATTGACCCTTGAATTTCACATCTAATGTATACGCAAAAATTCAACAAGATTAAAAAAAACCGACGAGAATTTATTGCTCGATCAAAGTTGAACAAAAGATCAACTTGCCCCGAGAAAAAACAGACGAAGAATTTTTATCTGCTGTGTTAGATTGAAAAAAAAAAAAAATTCAACATCCCAGTGTTTCATCCACCAGAGAACAAATGCCGTTTTTATTTCAGTACCTTCAATTGAGAAGCGCACCTCAATTTTCGAAACATTGATTTTGAGAAAAAATCAAGACGTGCACACTGAAGTTTTCTTTGACACAAAAATGTCATGCAATATAGCATAATCCAAAATTTTAAATTCAGTCTAATGGCAATGAAATTCAGTTGCGTTGCTTTTGTTCTTGTTTCACATTTTCATCTTCGTTTAGTTTGAGCCTAATGTATATTCTTCACTCTTGCTAGTCCCGAAAAATTAATTGTTTAAACTTGACCAAATGTGTTTCAAGTCTGACGCATACCGAAGTTTAAAAAAAAAACCAGAAAAATGTACACTCGAGTAAAAAATGTGGCCCTATATCAACTCTCACAATTTGAATTTTCTGTGTTTTACTTCCATCAGGCCGGTCCTAATGAGAAGGTCCCTTCGTTGTCTGCATCAGCTTCGACTGATTTTGACAAAAACGACGCCTTGTACGAGAAATCCGCTCCCGCCCACGGCGACAAGTGGTTTTGGAAATTCTCTAAACGATTGGCCCGGTGTCCTTCGCAAATCATTCGCTACAACCAAGGCGGCGGCGACGTTCTCTGGACCACAACTCCCGACGAGGGTCTTGGGAAACTCAAGTGCGAGCATTGTGGGAGTGCGACTCGTTTCGAACTTCAGATCCTGCCGACGTTTTTCAATTCCTTGCGGTTGAAGAACCAGGACTGGATTCCCCCGGATTACGGCAACTTGGTGGTTTTCACGTGCAAAAAGAGCTGTTGGGAAGACAATGCGAGGTGTAGGTTTGAAAAATGTGCTTATCAAACGGAATCGTGATTTACTTGGTCGTATTTGCGTGAATAGAAGACGCCCTTTTTTTGTTGAATCTCGATTTAAATTCCCGACAAAGCATGAGATATATTGGACTCGTGAGGGGTTTTTTCCAAAATCGTGCACCCTTTCAGATGAATTATGAACCGTGTTTTGTCCAAAAGCTTCGAGACTCGAGCATATCAAGTCATCAGACGTCTGCAATCGCGATCTAGTCGGAAATTTTATTGAATCGTAGGGGTGCCTCGGATTATCTTGTAAACGGCTTTCCCGTTATTGGATCTCCCCTCAAAAGGTTCAAGTCTGTAAGCCGTTTAATGTTGAACTGTCTAAATGATTAATAGCTTCAAATCACCGAATAAACTCTTGCCTTGTATCACGTTTATTCGGGATGGCTACTTTTTAATTTTTAAAATCTGATTTTCTTGAATAAATTCTTCAAAAAATTACTAGAAAAGTTTGTTTTCAACAGAAAATAGCGAGAAGTGATCAGGGAAACCCAGGAACGCTCGTTCTCATGTTTACTAAATTTTATGGACTATTCTGTGCATTGATTAAATTCATTGCTGATCTTCTTTCTACTAGGAATGAATTCAGCCTCGGATTTAGAAATTTAAATTTGAGAAGGTGACTTGTCACTTCTTGCCAAGGATTAACATTGTTGACCGAGGGTTACTTACTCAGTTGATCAACTTGATAATTTAAACTAACCTTCCTTTGCAAGCTGCGATTTGAATTCATTACATCGTGCTTCATTCAAATAGAGATCATAGTAGGTGGTCGACCCTTCAAAATGACTTGGTTTTTTGGAATGTTGTAAAAGCACATGCAGTGAAAAGGGCGTTTTAGATTTGCCAGCGAACAGCTTTACCAGTTTGAGTAGCTGCAAATTTGTGATGAGTCGAGTCTTGCATTCGAGGGCGTCTTATATTCGCGTAAATATGGCACATCCGATCACGGGATGATATTCCCTTTTGTTTCAATCCACCTTGAAAGTGCACCTGCTTGAGATTTGTGCAAATTGTTTCATTCCGGAGGAGCAGTGCTGGCGACTCGGTATGAAATTTAGACACCAGGTTGCTTAGGTTCAAAGAAACACAGGCATTGAAAGAATGTTGTGCGGAGGCAATATTTGACGGCAGTTCGACGATTAAAATGTGATGCAAGAATTGTTGCTCTTTCGTTCGTTTTTTCCAATCGTATAAGATTTTTGCCCGTTTTCGGGCTTGGATGCAAACCACTCTGTCAACCTTGATTCTTGATGGAATTCAACTCAAAATCTATCTCTTCCTGTGATGAACATTTGAATTATAATTCCGGAAATTTCCAGGTGCTATGTTGTAGAATACTTACGAGTGATGGCTGTTTTTGAGAATTTTCTGCGATTCTTTTCGCTGAATTGAAGTTGTGGCAGTTTCTACTTGCTTTTCTAAAATGTCAAATTCACTTGAAATAATATTTTTTTCACGTCAACATTTTGTGTGCCCAATACGAGTGTTGAACGTTCGCTTTTTAATCATTGTTCATCTCATAAAGCTTAACGTAAATTTTACTGCGCAAAAAATCGAAGAAATTATAATTGAATAATAATGAAATTAACGTAGTTTTTTCAAAGCCCAGATAATTGTCATCTCAGGCGACAAAAACTTGTGATCATCCCCCACGTGCTGTATTCATCCAATTCAGAGTGGTTGAATTTCGTTCCGCATCAACTCGTGACAATATAAAGAGTTTGTTTTTTCATACTGCTCGCTTCCGCTTTCTATCATCTTTTGTGTTGTACCAGTTGTGAATGCCACTGAATCGGCTTTTGAAAACTGTGTGCGAATCTGTGCGGCGTTTCAGCTCGCGGAAAATGGATGATCTGCAGGTCAAGATTGGTCCGTCCATTCTAAACGCGGACCTCGGGGATTTGGGGAACGAGTGCGTCCGCATGATGGACTCTGGGGCGGACTATTTGCATCTCGACGTTATGGACGGGCATTTCGTGCCGAATCTCACCTTTGGACATCCCGTCGTCAAGTGTCTGCGTGGCAAGGTGCCCAAGGCCTTCTTCGACCTCCACATGATGGTCTCGAATCCTCACGCTGTAAGAACTCCTTAAATTGAAACTTCTACATAATTGAAAATACAAGGAATCATTTAAAAAGAAATGAATCGATGCGAATCCTCATGCTGTAACAACTTTTCTGTTGTAAGTTCACATTATGAAAAAATGAACAACAGCTGGGGTGTGGCGGAATTTTTTGAGAGATTTCCAAATAATGCTATTTATTCATGAGCTGTGTGCAGGATGCACTTCAACCTGTTCAAATCAAAACTTCCTGAGTAGAAAAAGAAAATAACTGACATTTCAAGTAAATCTCCTCAAGACAAACGCATTTTGAACCTTCCTGAATCAAAACGCCTTGGCTCTAATCTCCCTTAGTCAAGTTTTCTATTATCCTAGCGTTATTAGACTGTGGCTGAATTTTTACGGTTTCCATGGAAAATTGGCCAAGCACTAGAGTGAGAATTATTTTATGAACAACGCCAGAAAATAATTTCAATTTATTTTACTGCACAAATCGTGCTGTTTCCCCTAACTCAAAAAGTCGAATTGATTCCTACTGTCTTAGATATGACATAAAGGTTCGAATTTATTGTCGAGTTGAACATTTTACAACTGAAACTTCATAGCTACATTTCAATATTGTGTGAGAGATTTTTCAAGAGTCATTCAAATTTCAGACGAGCCGTTTTAATGCGATGGAAGCGGGTGATCGATTTCAGAAATGTTGAACGAGTTTTTTTTTCGTAGATTTTCAAGAAATAAGGCTGTCTTTAGACTATCGAAGAAATCATAGATAAATGTAGTTTAATGTCATTTTTCGTTCACAAATGACCCTTGGTTAACAAAGTTGATCCGTTCCAGAAGTTTTTTTTCGATACTGTAAACATTTGTTTCGGACTTCGATAGGGGATAAAATAATCTGTTCTTTGGATGGACCCACAACTCGATTTAAAATTTTAATTGATCAGTGAAAAATGAGGGAATGGTCGTTATTTGCCTTGTGTAGCTCTCGAGGTATTTTTAAACTTTTTCAGTTCCCAACCAAGTACAATATTTCTGATGCTTCGTCATTTTATTGTAGTGGGTCGGGCCTATGCAAGACGCGGGAGCTGATCAGTACACATTCCATTACGAAGCCGCGTCGGACGACGTTTTGGGCCTGGCGAGGCGAATAAAGGAGACGGGCATGAAGGTGGGCGTTGGAGTAAAGCCGGCGACGGACGTCGACGTCATTTTGCCGCTCCTCAACTCGGACTTGATTGACACGGTGCTCATTATGACTGTGGAACCCGGGTTCGGAGGGCAGAGGTTCATGGAAGACATGATGCCGAAGGTGTCGGCGATTCGATCCAGATTCCCGCTCATTAACATTGAAGTCGACGGTGGCGTCGGGCCGAACAATGTCGACGTTTGTGCCGAGGTTTGACGTCAGATAACGTTGTTTTATTTTTTTTCATTCACCTCCATGTATATTTTTCAGGCTGGGGCAAACATGATCGTTTCCGGAACAGCTATAATCAAAAGTGACGATCCTTCGCAAACGATTCGTCACATGAGAGCCGTTGCACAAGATGTGATAAATAAGGGTTCCTTGGATCGCTGAAGTTGAAGCTCACAGCGTCGAATGAACGAAGACCATTTGAGATTAATTAATTCTTACTCGTGGTGTACCAAAGACCATGAAGCCGTGGTTCCAGGGTAAACTTTGCTATTCCGAGCAGAAAATGCCTTTTTCAAAGATATGCTATTGGTGCAGAGCCTGTGCATAATGTGATGGTGGAGTTGTCGGATTTTTTTCTTTCGGGTGAGTGCGCAATTTATTCAAGGCGTGGAGGATTGAATTGATGATTGAGAATGATCGAATGAATGAATGTTCGTCTACTCCGAGGAATGAGTTTTATTTTCTTCACCATCACAGATGGACACTACGATCGGAAACTTCATACTCACATTCTTCAAACGGTATTTTCACTGGAAATCTGTTCGGATGCACGGGAGGGAAAATGTTGGAAGAATTCAATGCAGCAATTCTTGGCAGATCCAAATTATTTGCAATCAATCTTCACCGGTTTTCGGGTGATGGATAAGCTCTTTCAAGAGAGCCTTGAGTTACACCTAGATCTCAATTTAAGCTTTTGAAAAATATGAATGTTCCAAAATAAACCTAACACAATGTCCGATCACTGAAGTTATGCCTTATAATGCTGATCATAATTATTCTAGAACCTTGATAAATCATGGAACAAACTTTACATGCTTTTCTCAAATTTAGTTTCAAATTTCATACAAATGAGAGAAAAAATTGAATGCCCAAATAACATTAAAAAACTCTCAATACGTTTCTTTGCAGAATTCAAAATTGATGAAAATCTGGTCACAAATAAATAATTTTCAATGGCAGAATTGATTTAATTTTAAAATATTTCCGATGATTTTCTGTCACATTAATAGTAACATTCCTCGATTTCCTTCTGTTTGAAGAACACATTTCAAATTGCCTAAAATTAGGGGAAATACTGTATCATTACAAAAAAGCTTTGGGTATGCCAAAACAGTTGAACCTCCATAGTTAAAAATTCTTTCTAGTCCCCATCTGATTCCCTTAGAAACAATGCATTAAAAACCTCTCTAACTCATTCTTTTTCTCACAAACCTCTGTAAGTTGAATTTTATGAGGTCTTTTGGTCACTATTTCCTTGAAACATGAGAGGAAAAATCAATGAAACAACTTATTTTATGCATCTTGAAAGAAAGTGAAAAACTAAGCAAATGAACCCCTGCTTCCAAGTTCAACAAGATGTAAACCCATTAAGAAGCAAGTTTAGGTTCAGAATATCCTCATTCACAATTTCCTGCTTCTTTTTTTTTTACTTATCCTTGCAGCAAAAGCAATTGTTTCCCTAACTCAAACACTCCCCAAGTCAAATTTTTTTCCTGGCCCCTAAAAATTCAACTTAAGAGAGGTTTGACTGTATTGTACTTCAGTCCAGTTAGTGAACCATGTTCCCATATACTCCAATTCATTTTTGATCAAAGTGCGAATAACTTTACTATTCCAATTAATAATGTGGTCCTTCTGGATTGCAATTGTCGCTGAATACAGTACGTCTATCCCGATTAATCGCGCTTCCAATCCCCGGATTTCCCCCCTGCCTTCGACATCAACCGTATATTTGATATAAGGATGCCCTTGTCCACAGCTTTGCACATGTCGTAAACAGTCAACGCGGCAACGGAAACCGCAGTCAGGGCTTCCATCTCAACTCCGGTCACATCCGAAGCACTGGCCGTTGCCTCAATCCGCACCGCGTTGCTTTCATGCTCCAACGTCAAGTCAACTCTCACTCGACTAAGTGACAACTGATGACACAAAGGAATGAGTTCCGAAGTCCTTTTCGCGCCTTGTATCCCCGCAATCTTCGCGACTGTGAGGACATCTCCCTTGTCGACAGCGTTCTTAGACAGTAAGTCGAACGCGGGTTTCGACAAGATGACAGTCCCTGTCGCCGTGGCACTGCGACTCGTTTTCTTCTTGTCTGACACGTCGACCATCCTCACCTTCCCGGATGTGTCGACGTGGCTAAATGTACCCGTAGACCTGCAACTACCTGCTTTGAAAATACGTGGGACGTGACAATTTCTTCTCATCTTCAGGAATTTCACGGAATTCGTTGTTCACTCGAGCTCACCAAGTGCGCAGTGCTACATTTCTTCTGGGGTGCTTCTTTTGATTTTAAATCGTCAATTTTTCACGCCAAGTCATCACGAAAAAAAAAATCCAAAATGGAAGTCGTGACCCCCCTAAAAACGCCGGAGGTCCACCATTCGTGCTCCGCGAAATCCTAGTTAAGGGCTCCTCATGAACTTCAATGAGGCTCAGTAGTGTGGGTGCTCAGGAAAAACAACAAAGAAAGTTGGATTAATTTCAAGAAGACGTAAAACTTCAAAAAAATTCCAAGGACTGATGTGTTTGTATTCAAAATACGCGGATTATGCACAGAGACTTACAATCGTTAGCAGCTTAACAACAGTCAAGTTTGAGTGCATAACCCTTGTTTTAAGCCATTTATTTACACTAAGTAAGGCTGGCATTAAATTGAGGGCAAGGATCAACTGTCATAATTCCGCCTTTTATTAGAGCTCCTTTCTGTTGGAAGAAGAGGAAGAATTTTCAAGGATCTTACAGGCATTTCACTGCACACGTGGAGCTCTCAAGGAGACAATTGAATGAAATTCCGAAGCGGAAACATTCCACGTACTGAAACGATCCGCACAGATCCTGTGGGAAGCATCGGGAAGTTGTGCATTACGCAGGTGCAAACCTCGCGAGGAAAACGTTCGCCACAACCACATTTTTCAGCCTCACTCAATTCTACGAAGTGAAAAAAGGAAAATGTTAAAAGAGTCGCTCGAAGACAAGCGGGAAGATCAGAATAATGGTGCTTGGTTGTAAAAAGAGACCACGACGCTCGGGGTCATGAAACCATGCAATATTTAAAATTCATCGGAATGAAAAATTGCTTGCACATGTACAATAATTTAGGGAATTTACTTTGAGATTCGCAGTCATATTCGTAACAAAATATGTCAGGTTAATTGTTGAACAATTGATCCCTGTTTTCTTTGAATACTCTCCTTTCAATATTCCATCATCCAGCAGTAGTGACTTTAGTTCAATCAAAATATGCAAAGAAAAGCATTGATGATCGGAAAACTACCGTTCTTTTTTTCCAAGAATGAAATTTTATTGCTCTTTACTAGTCCCATCATTGCCTAAAATGTTGAGACAGAAGTGCAAGCGTATCCCACATACATGCAATAATTAACTGAATTTCGGGGGAATTTTTCCATCTCTTTCTGAAGTTCACGATGGACATTTCATAAATGAGTTTTATACATGAGCAAATTCAAGTTCATGCACTCACGAGCTCCAGGGAGGTTAACGAGTTCTCTGGATTTCAAGAATTCGGAACGTTAACTTTGACATAAAAGGGGCAGGTGCAAGTTGGAACGAAGTTACATATTTTTCACGTACTTCCTTCATTGACTATTGTGGTCATGCAAGAGCTAGCGCTTAATAACGAAATACTGTACATTATTTCCAAATTTGAAAACTTTCCGAGTGCAATCTGAAAATTTCTCAGAAGGCGAACTTTTAGGTAAGTTTCTTTGCATTGTCTCGGTACACCCTTAACATTAAAGTCAGTTTTAGTCTTCACGAATGAAAGTGCCAAGAAGACAGATTTTACAAACCTTTCCTGGAATTCTTTTTTCAAGTTTTCAACGAGAAACGTCGTTAGTTCAACATAATATCATGCAATATGAAGTGATTCTTTTAAATATGCGCGAGCGTAGAACTGACCATTGAAAGAAAAATAATTCCGGGGAGGAAGACGTTGGAATAAATCTCTTTATAATTCCCTCAACGCATTTCCGCAATAAAATCATTCGCTCACCGTTAATTCCATAAGCCTATCTAGGGAGTAACCGCTTCATCATTATTCCCGACGATGGCTCATAATCACGCGAACACTTGCAGTAAACAGGAACTAATTGACGAGCAATTAACCGAGTCCTCCGATCACAGAAAAAGCCGAACGCATGAGGTTCTCCACGTTAGACACAAAGAATGCTTCTGGCAATCACGGGATGCAAGAAAGATCAGAAAGAAATCACGAGGATGTGCAAATCTGATTTTGACTAGCACTTGTATCCTCGTCAGAATCCGATTCGTGCACTTCCGAAGAACTGTCCGAATCTGGCGGAAAATCGTTCGGGGAATTCTGAAAAATAAAAACAAAAGAGAAAGACAAAATTCAGCAACTCCCCCAACACTCAGAAATTCCGTTAATCGCAAATTCGGTAATTACGTAAGATAGGTCGTGTTCGTCTCTTGTCCGCCGGTATCTTTGAATTTGTCTCCACAAGGCCCAGAGTATATGCCGCTGATGCGACTCACCCGACGGCCGCAAACTCCGTCGCGTCTCCATCAAATTTCGCATCACCAACTTCATTCAAGGAAAAAAATTGGACACGATCAATGATCATTCCTAGAAAACGTTCCCTTGATACGGCAAATACTTATTCAAAATATTGAAACGATAAAAACTTTTATTTTTGAAGGCGTTCTAAATTTCCATGATCAGCATGAACATTTAAAATATTCAACATACTATCACTTTAATCTCTTCACATAATCATAATGATCCGATTCCTAACCAACTAAACCAAATCCAACCTTGGAGATTCTACACAGTAATTTCTGTTTCTCAGATACACAGTAATTTGAAAGCACTTGATAGTATTGCACAGTACAGAACTGCAACACTGTACATAAAATTGTGACCACTCAGCATTCCAGATCGCAGCGAAAACATCACTCGATGTTTAGACACATGAATAATCAACCAATATCTGATAACAATGAAAGTTGCTCGGGATTAACAGTGAAAGTATTAATAAGGAAAAAAATTAAAGTCGAATCAAATCATTGACCCCATACTTATTTTACAAGTGAACGACCTACAGCATTGATTTTGAAAGCGTCGAAGCTTCAAAAATCGCAATTACAGTTCCCAAAATTTACCTTCTCTACATTCTCTTCGAACTTCTCGCCAACCGTTGATTTCGGACCAGGAATCCAAATCTTGACGTCATCATCGACCCCGCATGACGCAATAATTGGGAAGAATGGGTGCGGAACCGTGACATTGACGAGTTCAGCTTCATCTCCACGCAGACACTGAACCAATGCTTCCGAGTCCTTGTCCCAAATGTACAGATGTCCACAGTCAGATCCGGATATGACGTACTCCGAATTGGGACCGTAGAAACTCACGCCTTTCACTATAAAAATACGGCAAAATGTATCTACTGTATTCAACACAGTACTCGAAAGAGAAAAAAAAAAACATTTGCTGACCTTTCCACCTTTCTAATTCACAGTAACTTCGAAGACACAATATATTGTAACAAGAAAATTCCCAAGTTAATGAGAAAAGGGGTTCTTTTTCGCTCTACATAGACTACGAAGAGATCAGGTACATCGAATATATAATCTGAGCACTGTATTACGCTTCACAATGACGTACATACACTCAATTCGTAAATAGAGTCAAGTAGCAAAAACAAATTTAAAAGGTCATCTAAAGATACACACCTGAATTAATATTGCTCCGTCCTTCGTACTGTCTCACGGATCCATTCGTAAATTGACCGCCCTCAGTGTTGAAGAGATACACGTCTTCGTACTGATAATTGGCGACGATTTCTCGCCCATCATGAGAATAAACGGCGGAGGTAATTTGCTTTCTGCGTAACTTATCTTGCATATGACTCGGCGAGTAACATTTCATCAACTTAGCATTCCGACGATCGTATATCCGGACAATCGCATCACCACCACAAACGCAATATTCGTTCGTCAGAACAGGGTTTATACAAATGCAATGCATGGACACAGCCGAGTCATTCTCATCTCGCACTCGGAGCAATTTTACGGGTTTTTCTTCGCGGATGTCTGATTGAGTCACGAAGCCGTCGTTAGAAATGCTCATAACAACATGAGGGTGGTCTACGTCCAATGCTAGCTTTTCGGCAGATGATCGGTGTTCGATGAGCCGGCGAGTATTTTTGGAAATCCCTACCGCTGATAAATCCGATAGTCGCACTTGTCCGTCACGGGCGCAACTGACTAAATGCGAGTCACCGATTAGGTGCATATATTTGATCTGAAGAACAGAAACATTGCACCATGAAAAATCACTTCAACGTCATAATAGGCATGGGCCAAAAAAACTTCAAAAAGGATATTATGAATATATCTTGTAACTTTCACAGAAACTTATTGCAGGCGTTCAAGGTATTTGAGTATTCTACAGATCTTGAACAACATATTTTTTTTAAGAAGACTTCTATCCGCAGCAACAGAATTAATCTATATAAGATACGAACATCAATGGATTTCCAAATCAAAAAAGCAGAAATATTCAGCATTGACTCACATCGAGGATGTTGGAAGTGTGACCACTTTTGAAACTACACAGCAATTTCTTTCGAGCCCAATCCCATAGACCGACTTTCAGGTCGTCCGATCCAGACGCCAGCATAACCCCGGTTGAATTGAAAGCCACGGCGTTGACACATCCTTTATGAAATTCTAGTTTGTGTAGACGCTTCATTCGTTGAATTGAGGTCAATGATGATGTATATCGAGATACGAATCCGGCACACGATTTCCCACAGCCACCGATTTGTCTGCGAAGATAGACAATTTGAATGAATCATCAGGGAAATAACCCACAAATAGTACATTAGTGCCGAAAGCGGAGCATACAGCCGAAGTTCCCCGATGGCCAGATATTTCATTGAATCGAAGTGCAGAATAGTATCGCACAAAACTCACTTGTCTCCAATACGTCACCAAAATTACTGAAGTTGATTAAAGCACAATTTTCAAGCTTCCGAATATCATGCATAACAACTACGTGCCTCAAGTTTGTAATGTACTACATTTTTCATCGCTGGATAATGCATCCGAAATTTTTTACACTTCGGCTACAAGCTTACTAGTCAACACATACAGGGCATTTCTCACGTTGAGAACATGTGCTCCAAAGCACTTCACAGTGATGATAAACCCAACAAGAGGAGCTGCAATTTTTAAGGGTGACAAAAACTGATCTCAGTACACATCAGTCCTTTCGTAAAATTTTTCAAGATAATTGTCAACGAATGTCTTTCTTGAGTGCTTCCAGTACAGGGTAAATATTTAAAAAGAAGAGTACCTGTCGTAGAATTCTTTGTGGATGAGAAAATTTTCTTGTAAAGGTTTTTTTGAGAGAAAAGCTGGTTTCGGCTCGACCGTTGAGGATCTAAGCATCGGCGTTGACTGGTGTGACGCTGACAAATCCTCTTCCTCGAAAAGATGTCGCGTGCCAGCCAAGTTAACAAGATCCGCGGGCGACGACGACGAGGAACTACTCCACAACACAACACTATCCTGACTTGATTCATTTTCCAACGAGGACGGTGAATTTTCCAATCCAGGTTCTTGTTCATTCGCCGCCGATGCTGATCTCCCGGAAGCTTCCGATGAAGACGATGACGAGCTCGAGCTGTAACTGCGATGCCGGCGCCGATAATTTCTTCTGGTCCTGCGGAGATTGAACAGACTTCGATAAAAACTCGATATACACTAAATTAAGGTTGGATGACATTTACCTTTGAGTTCGGGTTGAGAACGAGGCGTTATGTGCCTCACTCTCTGGCATTGAGGAACTATCGGGATTTCGGCCACTTCCGGTTGACTCCATTATTTGGTCAGTTGAGGGTGATAGCGATCCGCCATCCCGGTCCCGATAATTCACATCTTTTGGAAGGTCATTCATTCCGAATTGCATTAAAATATCTGGGACAAATTCGTCGCATCGCCGTGAGGAGTTTTGCTCAAGAACCAACTAGGATAGCTCCGACACTTCCAAGGGAAATCAACCTTCGCCGCAGGCACGAGGATACGAAAGAATGAAACAAGTTTGAGGAACATCTCGAGTTATCAACAAGATCGACATTAAAGGGCACCTCACAACATACCGATGTTACATGAATACTCACAAATGATAAAATTCGTTTCACACTAAATCTGCGAGCCAGCTAATCTCACACGTAAATTCCGTACCACAGCGCCACCAAGCACTCCCAAGGAAACCGAAAAGATAGTAGTGACATCTGCATGAATAATCCGTTTAACGCAACAATTGGTATACGACAAACAGCACCTTCAAAGAGGGCCGCATAAATATTTTTTATGCTTCCACAATCAAATGTACGTAAGATGATTATTTACAATGGTTGACGGAATGGTGCCCTTCCAACTTTCATAAAAATGGAAGTCATATGAATTCAAATGTAACAACATGCTTCCTCCTCTGCCAACACCGGCATTTTGAAAATGTTCGGCATCCCTGTCAGACCGCCTCGTACCCCAGTAGACGCATGGCGGCGATCATTTCAGCCAAGTATTGGGTGAGTTAGTTGTAAGAACTCTATTACGATGCTGGACGAAGATGGAATTTCGTTTTGTGGCTGTGTCGTAGTCTACGTCGGAGTAAGAATTAGCGACGGGTAAAATTTCTGCTGTGCGTAACTTCTCTGAAAGTATGTTGGGAATGACCCTGCGTCCGTTCGTTATGGTCGCATGTTGTGTGCGATGTGCTCTGCAGTATTGTTGTGTGTATCAGATGAACAGTAGATCAGATCAGTGTAGAATAAATTTCTTGAAAAAATGAGCAGATCCGAACCTGTGAAGATCACCGTGATAAAGTTGACGTCATCATCGCCCGTGTCCGAGTATTTTGAAGTGTTGGCTTAAACCGATTTTACGCGTTCTAATAGTATTTGGATGAGTATGCGTACATCACGAATATTCTCCCACGAAATCTTGCAGGATCCGTGTTTCTGTCAAGTTTTTCTTCTAATTTCTTGAAAAGTATTGGGACGTTGACGTATCGGAAACTTCTCGCGATGAGCGAAATTTCGTCTTGATAGGATTGGCCTCACGTTGTACTATGAGGACCTCCGTGCCTAATCCTAGTCCCGTCTTCAAATCCCATACCACTCTCCTAGCTCGGATATGAGCGTACCGCAACCGCAACAACCATCGGCAGGGAAGAAGCCCTCGTCAGCGCCTATTTCACAGCACGGTGCTCCGAATCATCAGTCCACCCGATTTTCGAACATAGGGTGAATATTTTTTTCGTATCGCATCATACGGAAGAAGTTGGACTCCTTATTTTGTTCGCTATCATCTGCTCGTGACTAGTTTTCGCTGAAAATTCGGTGCTAAGAATAACTTCCTTTCCTATGAGAACCGCGGTCAGATAGTGCAGCCGGAGAAAATCCCTTCCGAAGGAGTGCTTTGTTTGATAAAACCTTCACTAAGATCTCAGTCGCGCGAAGTGCCTTCATTTTCAGCAGGATTTTTAAGGAAATGTTTTACTCCGTTTCTTAGTCTGAAGCGAGCGTTTAAAGTTGGTGAAGGAGTAAAGAGTGCCTTGGGGTTTCCTGTGCGTCAACGGAGGTAGTTCTTTACTGCCCTTCCATATCGTTGTCCCCGGAATTTCGAGGTTTTCATGCATGTAAGTTCGCGTCCGTCTGTTCGGTTCGTCAGGGAGTCGGTTGAAAATTGAGGTTGTCCAGAATCGTTGCTTTTTCCAGGGAAACCTGCTTCACGACTTGAATCTAGTTTCGATCCGTATCCGCGTTTCTTTCGATTATTTCCCTAGCGTATGTGCATTCGTACGGGCGAGGTAGGATCGTAGATACTTTCCTTGGTATTGTTGCGATCTTCTCTGCGTTGGAGGTTGTAATATTGCCTTCTGTCTATTAATTTCCCGAAGAGATATTGATTGCAAAGATTCTGTTTAATTGCCGAGGTTCAACAGTAGATTTGATTCAACCGTTTTTCTGGTGCGATCAAGTACGAGACCCGGTTTATTCTGTCTTTCAATTTTAGTAGTGCTGATCCTGTGTAGTGCGATACTGTACTGTACTGTACTGTACTGTACATGATAGTCAAGTTAGTCGAATGGTTTGGTAATTTCCGGTATAATGAAAATATGCAAGTGTGTCAAATATGATCATTAACCATGATGGCAGTAAGATCTGTGTAATCAATGATTGAAGTCATTGCAGCAACGTTCGACGGGGAACTTCAGTGCGAATCTGCGATAAAGAGTTGGCAACTCTGATGAACGCCGGGTGCCGGTCGCGCGCGCGCGCGCCCTCCCTCTAAACGCGTTGGGTGACGGGAAATATGTGAGGGACTGTTAGGGAAAGTTCAGACGTGGCGTCGTTACGGGGAGTGTCGCCAGCGTATCCACTCGAACTCCCCCGCCGGACGTATAGGGAAAGCGAGGAGGGAAAAGAATTCGAAGAAATTCGCGCAGGGTTGCCGATGGCTGTCTGGGAGGAGGAAGATAACTTTTCGTTAGTGACGATTTTAGGGGGCCGAACGTGAGATAATCCATTGATCGGTTCTTCGGAGTTTCTGCTCCTTTTTTTTCGCGCGGGAAACAGAGCATGGCGACGCTTTCTCGTCTCAGCCGCTCGCGTTCTCAAACCTGTCCTGGTTGCAGGGGGATTCCCTTCTATTATTCAACTTGCCTCTCGAAGTGAAATTTCGCACCGAGACCAACTTCTTCCTCTGAATCACTTTTCCATTGGTGTGAGAAACCTAATTGTGATTTTCTGCCTGGAAGATACACTGCCGATGCTGGTAGCGGATTTCGACCGAACAGTGCAGGGCATGGAGGTCAATATCGTAAGTGCATTTCGACTCTTCGTGAATTATGTATTTTCTGTGCAGTGCAGCACGTGCACTTTTTTGTCTTATGGGTGGGACCTTAGCGATTGTGACCGTTGGAAATTCTCAATGGTCCGCTTCAGTCTCAAGGTTGAGCTTTATCTCAGAATCTTGAGCCTCAAGTTAAATTTTTGTGTACTTGTGCTGGTCTCTTTCGAGCGGGTTTGCTTGGTGTACGGTTGAAATTAATCTAAGGAATGCTATTGAAGTTATGTTAATCCACTAAGTGTGTCTGTTTCTCCATCTGATGTGGGATGGATGAAGAATTGAACCAATTTTCTTGTTTCAGCGGCCCAGTTCCATCCAGTCGTGAGTGCTAGCCAGTCATTTCGGTCTAACGTGTACAGTTCGCCATCGCCGTCCCCGTCGCCGTCTCATTACACGACGGTTTCTAATGTCGCGGATATGAAGCAGCAACAGGGAGTCATGCAGTCACAGGGTATTAGTGACTACGGTAATTTCCATTCCGTAACTTCGTTTCGATTTCTCTACTGTGATGATTGTGCACATCATGACGGTCTGCTTACATTCATGTTGGTGATAACGATGTTGCTGATTGTTTTCCGAGTAATAGTTATCGCTGACTGTGTAGCTGAGGAGTAAGAAGTTATCGGTCTGTTTCAGGTTCCCAGCCATTCCAGTACCCGATGATGCAACCGAGGCCGCGTGCACCTATGCCGCCGGTAAGTTGGCTTGGTTGTGTTGCATTGAATTCCTATTGACTGTATGCCGCATTGAATTTTTGTTGCTGATTCTTCGGAAAATTGTGTGGCCCGTATTCAAGTGAAAATCGCATACGGTCGGAATGTTAAAAGTTCCCTTACAGTTCTAATTTGCGGGTGCACGAATCGTATATACCCTACTTGATCCTAGACGAACCTGCGATCTTTTTGTAACCAAACCCCGCGATGACCTAAGAGGTCGTTACTTTCCCAACCCACGTCTGCAATTGATCAGCACGAGTTCGTTGAGAATCACAGTTGACGCAGGTTACTAGTAGGAATCCATTCTCGTAGACATGGTGTTCAGTCTCCAAGGTTGATAGAGAACGGGGAATTCTTAATTTCTCTACCAGCCCGCAACTCCTCAATGGAGAAAGTGTCCTGTGTATTCACATAACTGCGACTCGTGGAATTATTTCTGTAAAAAGTGGCTTTCGAAGAAGGGTTGTTGGGATTGAGAAGAATGTATCCCTTCCGGGCAGCTGCATCCGTTGAGCTGTCGTATTAAGATATCTGTTGAACTGTCGTAATTTTCCCTAGTATTACACCACCGGTGCGGGCAGGGCGTTCATGCAGTTCCCTGCTAATGCCCAGTATCCGATGACGTTGCTGATGCCAGGAGCGATCCCGATGCAGGTGAGTGGATGTTGCTACAACGTGTACACACGTTGCATTTCGTTATTCCTTCTCTTCGGGTGTCTGTCGTAGAGGTTTTTAGAGGGTTTTGATTTGGTTTAGGCCAATGGGCAAGCTGGGATTCCTGGGAACTGTGGCGGCGGGCAAGCCCAGCTACCCGAACAACAGATGTTCGTTTTAGGAGTGAGTACAGTAATCTAATTATGTACAGTATTATACTGCAGTTGGTTGGATTTTCGTTTCATTTTTGTAACTTATGAGTTTATGTCGGCCGGTTACGAAAAGATCGGCTTTTCACTTTGGTTGTGGTACCCTGCATTAATCATAAATTATGTTGCGTATTTTTAATCATTGCACGTGGTCGTTGGGCTGTGGTGACCAAACCTAAGTGGTTGGCTCAAGAAATTTTGAATGAATTCCTCAATGTTATAGAAGTAAGGCGGTTTGAATCGATTGATGTGTGCATGAAAAGGTATGCGTACGTGTCCTTGACGATAATTGTAGACTCCGGGGACATCCAGTCTCCATTTGTTTCCCTCTGGTTTTACGGCATTCACATGAAACCGGAATAAGGATCGATCCACGATACCACTTTCCGTGATGTTAAAAACTAACTTGTGTAAGCTTTCTCGGAATGCTAAGCTGAGAGTTGAATATTGAAGAGAATCGAATGAGAATTACGTGCTGTTTTTCGTCAATTGGCTACTATTAAAATAGCTTTTCGTCTTCGAACGTGTAAAAATTCAAAATGATCTACTCATTGAAGGGTATTCTCATTATTTTCGAGGCTTACAGTATTAATTTTTCTGGCATCGCTTGCTGTCCGTTACAACTGATGTAACGGGCACACGTTGTTCCGAAAGGAGATCATCTGGAATCGAAATGCTTCGATTTCCTAACCGTATATTAGTTTCCCTGGGTGTGGCCTGGACGCCGTATTGCGAAACCTGCCGCTGGTCGCTTAATTTGTCTGGCCCTGTCTTTCCCCAGCAAGGTCGTACATCCCTCCCGTATGTGCAACTGAGCATTCCTCATCGGACTCGTGATGTTTCAGTTTCGTTTGGTGCGAGTCTTATCAATCCACAGTATTCTTCTTACTGTATAAGTGGTATGCTAGGTGTCCAAAAGTCGTCGGAAATCTGTAAATGTCAGTTGATTGATGAGCGTCGTATATTTTTGAAAAAGACACAACAATCCGAATAATCGACCTTAAATTTCAGCACCATATGCTGAAATGGTGCAATGAGCTGTCACATATTTACTGAGTATCACTCGCACCTTTTTTCTCGGAAGTGAGAGAAGAAAAGGGGGTGCGCTTTCTAAGCTGACGAACAATTTTTTTATGAATTGTGTTTCGGTCACACTTGATAATGTAAGCATGTTGGGTAGGACCTTTTTTTGAAATCCAAACCGTTGAAAATTAATTGAATTCATTTCCAATTTTGAATCCTGGTGTCTATACTGTAGTTCAGTTTTCTGTTACTGAAAATTGGTGCGCATCTGACTCAAGGGCGCGTGGTACTCTAGTAAACACATTATTGTACAGTAGTTCACCATGTAATTTATTTGACCAGAAACGTGGTTTCTGTTAGGGGTAACAAAAGCGTGACATGGAAAGCCGAAAATCTATGGAAGACGTAGTTTTCGAGAAGTCATAGGCATGTACGGTACTAGCATTGGATCCATGAAATATGGACTGAACTTACAACGTATACTGTACTTGAATTTCAATTCTTACTACGTAGTCTTTTGTGCCCCTCATCCGCGTTGAAGCTATGGGCTGTTCACAATCTGCCACATCTTGAAAGTACTTCGTAGGGTGTGTACAACAGTGTGAAAAGCCACCGATTAAAGTATACCTTTCTTTCATTCGTGATGCTTGTTGCTTCTGTTTCGTGGTTAGTTTCCTTCTTGCTATGATGTAGAAGTGAGATTTGCGTTCGGTTTGATTTGTCACCATGTCGCGTGCTGAGGGTTTGGGGTTTTTTCCGTTTTCTGTGGTGAGTCCGTGTTCTTTTGTGGTAAAAATGATGGGTGATTTTAAAATTTTAAAATAGCATGACATTGATACCAATATCTTCCGATTTGCAGTATCAGCAACGTGGACCAAACCAGCGTCCTGTTCAGCCGCAGTTCGTGCCACCTTGTGAGTATGATCCTGAGGATTTCACTCGTAACCTATTTTCTTAGTGTACAGGAAGTTTGTGTGGTGAGAAATGTGTACTGTATCCAGTTTTACGTAAGGTATTGCATAGAATTCCTGTTATTTTGTATGCCCCTCCTTTCCGCTTTTGTCTTTTCACTTAGGGGGACATTACGGTCAATTGCTGAAGGAGAAACTGCAATATCGTACGTGAAACCGCTTCGATATTGATGAAATAACTCGTTAATTCCTTAACGGGTAAACCGAAATTATAAACTAAGTCAAGATTGCTGGAGTACTGAGTATTAGTTCACTGCATGAAAAAACGCTTCGGTGAAAATTTCTCCTCATTTTATACTATTGAATGTACTGTAGTTCCTACTGGGGTTGGCGGAGAAGGGCATTTGCAATTTTCGCTGTAAACGAAAAGAAAACGACCTCTGTCGAATCGAGAAACCGTTTCTTGTCGTCCTGTCATCTTTCACGAAGTCGTAACTTTTTGATGATTGAAAGATTCATTAATTTTAACTGGTTATTTACAACGGTTCATGAATTTCCTGTCATACATTCTATTTTCTTCGGGAATGCGAACGGTCGATCACAAGATTCACACAATGTGTTAGTTTAACCGTAGTGATCTGAAATGCGGCACTAGTCAAATTCAATGCTTGTTGTTTCGGTCACGAGCGTTGGCTACAATAGTGCGAAAGAAATGCTCGAAATCGCCAATGGTCAAGTTGAATTTTCAACTTATCCATGGCGATGTCGATCGACATACATTTTTCGGAGTTCCGCGCATGTTATTAAACTATGCAAGTGGGATACTTATATGTAACCATACTATGCTGTGGATGAAACCTTGAAAATTTATAATTCCCCAAAAATTTACCTATGTTACATTTTTAACTAATGATCTATGGATGTTTCTAAGTTCGTTGAAGATCTCTCACTGAAGAGAACACTGCAATTTTGAAGGTTAGAAGTTGTAAGGCTCTTGTTTTGATGTTCAGAAAAAATTCGAGGGAGGGGATAGGAAAGATACAATTGTGAACATCGCGACTCTCGCGGACGAAATTATTGCTCTCTGAAGGTCACGTCTCAGAAATATTCTGGGTCATTTCTTGGGTAAGGCCTGCATTTCGGGAAGCGTTTCATCGACTGGGTCTCGAAATTTGAGGATCTTCTTATTTCATGCACTGCTTCGAACCGTGTTGTTTAAAACTAAAACTTCGAAGTTTTAGAATCCCAGCAGCTTATGTCACGCGAGAAGACCATTCCGCAGAGCTTTAGATCATGACCGACTTCATTTCTGGTAACGCCGGAAATGTTCAAAACTCCAATGAAAATAGGGCCCACGGTTTCTAGCGATGTCGATTCCATCCAATATGAATCCTGGTAACGCTTCCTTTCCATTCCTCAGTTACGTATGCCTATCAACCCATGCAACAAGTGGTGAATCAGGCTATGAGGGCGCCGCTGCAAGGCGGCCCTGATCCAAGCATGGCTGGCCACATGTCCATGCCGAGCCAGCCGCCGCAGCCGACACAGCGAACGAAGACCCTTGTCACTATTGTAAATCCCAATACTGGCGAGAACGTCCTAGAGAGCTTGCGCGCAGATGCCGCCCCCAAAGCGCCTGCGGATGTGGCTCCTCCGGGCCCTCGTGTGTCGCACGCATTGGACATCAAAGACCCGAACGAAGTTAGGGAAGGTGTTGAAGTTGCGGAAGCCCACGAGGAACCGATTCCTGAAGAAAATGTCGAAGTTCAAGAACCGACTCCGGTTACTTCAACCTTGGTAAGTAATCGATCATAATATTCGATTGAGGAACGTTTTGAAAACTCTTAAATGCAGGCGGATACTAGGAAACCATGTAGTAAATAGTCTAATAATGGCAAATTTTTTCATGATCCTCATCATTTTTCCCCCGAACGATTTTCATTATACAGTACAGTAGTTGTGAACGTGCTTGACAACACCTTTACCGTATTGAAAACCACTGACTTGTGAACACTCGTACTGTTTATGCGAAGTAGGAAATGCTTCATCACAAGAAATTCCTAATTTTTGGGATGCTGGAAAAATTTACCCGCATTTTGCGAGAGTTTATTCGTGCTGCTTGAAAGTTCTGATGGAATAACGCTCAATTTTTTTTGTCGAATCTCATGACTCACACAAAACTTGTTACTGTCGCATTCAAATAGCCAGGCTCACGAAATTATGTTGGTATACGACAGATCTATTCAATCGTCATGAGATGGAATATTTTTGCATGACGAACTGAAGAACGCAGCGCTGAGAAACTTATGAAGGCTTAACATGGTCGATCGAAATTCGTTTTCCCTTAGATGAATAGCCATGTTGAATGACAATTGAATGCTGCTGAATCCCTCCTTGGGGATGAACGATCCAGGGTCTTATCTCTGTGAAGCTTAACTACTCGTAATTAATCTAGGTTAGCCCTCGTTTTCCCTTTTGTGAGGCAGTGCCTCAGCCCTTACGTTTTTGAAAAAGAAATGACTAAGTATCAGGTGAAGAATTTCACGAAGATTTTACGTATATTTTCCTCCTGTGTAAGGGGATTTTAAGTACGATTGAGAAAACACGTCTTCGTTCTTGGATTTCAATAGCTTTTATGGGAAGATCACTGATTAATTCTTTTTTTTTTTTTACGCTTGCAGGTAGGGAAAGAAACGATTGATACTGTGAAACCTGAACCGCCTGTGCCTGACGTGGAGACGAAGGAATTGGAAGAAGATGTAACTGTTAGCGGAAATGTTGACTCCACCGAGGCTGTCGCTGAGACACCTGTCTTGATGAATGGCGATGAACCCGCAGTTACGGAATCTGTCCCCGATGGTGAGTGTTCCGGATTGTTCGTCTGGTTTCGGGAGGGAACATTTGTGCCAGTTAATGAGCTTACATTTGAGTCCATAAACTGACCCGTTGAAAGAATTAAAGTGTGATCACTAGGCTGGGGAATCATAAGAAGAACTTCAAATTGAAAGCATGTGATTTTTGTCGCAAACACGAAATTGCGAATTTTCCTTCTCGAAGCATCATCGCATGACTACGACTTACGGTTTACATACCGTACATTTTGTACGGTATGTAAACTCAAATTCGCAAGAATGGAGGACGTGAATACTTCGCGGTTTAACGGATACTGTACAGCACTCCTTTTCTGTTATCGTCTTGAAAGAAGCGGTTCAGTCGAACTTGTGTTAGTCGAAAGATGTCAAGTACTGTACAGCAGTTTTTACATTTCCCCAAGAAGTTTGAATACCGGCTCCTCTACTGGAAATTGAATAATTTAAAATGAACCCCTTTCGTTCGTTCATTTCAATGCTATTATTCTTCATGGTGAGATTTTTCGAACCTTATGAAACTTGTATTTCCAATGGTTCTCTCTGGTGATTTCAATTCACACAATGTATTTTTTCTGATCGTGGTAAATCTCGTCTAAGTGGTCATTACAGTCATCGGGAATCGGGAGAAATTCGTTGTTAAATTCTTGGACACCATAAACTGGCCAGTTATGTTGTCAGGAGATTGTGCGTGTTACTACCCAAGGCAGGTTGAAAAGCCCTGCTGGAGATTCTTCCACTTCCTTTTTTTTTCAGAACTACTGTAGAATTTAAAGACGATTAAGCTGCAAGCGTGTTATGATATCGGAAACCCGAGAGAAACACGCGAGTCAAGAGGCATTCGATACAAAACCCGACCAAAAAATAACTGGATTAATATTTCTCTTAAATTAATATCGAGGGCATTGTCTGACCAACGGTATGTTCCGAATACTTCGGGGGATGTCGTGAATCGAGTTCTTCCTGTATCGTAGTAACGCATCTCTATTTGTGTGGATGCGTTTCCTCGATAAAAGACAGCGATGCTATGCGGTGAAATCTTCGCGGTACTGAATTTGTGGAAAGTACACGGCAGTAATTGCTTTGGACGTGAAGCCGTAAATCGGAATTGTCCAGCGATCCTAGCGTCATTTTGGTGCGGTAAAAATGCAAGTTGTGTCGGCATAACCAGTTCCTCGAATGCTCCGTCTTGAGGCAAAAATCGTGCATCAGCTGGAACCGTACGTGCGAAGGGGAAAGGTTTTATCTCGGCTGGCTCGTCGTGAGTCAGACACGCTGCCACGTCGTGAGCGGCGGATGCAAATGGGGTTCCCAGCGGCTGGGCTCTAGCAGCCGACCTTGCTTCGAGTGTGGCCAGATTGTTGTTCGTCTGGGTACATGGGAAGAAGGGGGTTTCCAAGCTGTACTTCTGGTTTACGCACTCTTGGTACGCCAGTTGGTTTTGATTTTCGTGAAACTTCGTCAGTTTTGTTCTCGAGTCCTGATCCTTCGATTATACGGGAAAGTTCCGTTCGGAAAATTCCATTCTGGTTTTCTAGAAGGGAGTGTCGGTCGCCGACATTATCTATTGCGGCGAGCGGACTATTTTTTTTCCCTGTTGGTTGAAAGCGAGTTCGGCGATGTGAAGATCGTATTTCACTGCCGGAAGTACCGTACTGCAGTAGGTAGGAGGATTCGGCGGAAAAGCTGGTATTTAACGCGAACCATGTTCGAATCGCGCGTGACTGTTTATTTTTGGACCCTAGTATGGAAGCGCATGTACATGGGATTATTGTGAAAGTTTTTTCTGCCCTCGTCTACGGCATTACCGTACCTTCGTAATCTGGTAACACTGCCGAGACACCCGACTGACACGCAGCAGGAGTCTCGGTTTCGTATCGTTCCCTCTCTTGGAGTCGTTTGCGTGTGCCGCGTCCGGGTTCCTTCGCTTGCCGCGCGTCGGTTCGCTGGCCGGTCCGCCATTCCAGTTCTGGCGCTATGTCGCCGTCTGGACTGACCGCAATGTGAAAACATGTGTCACAATTTCGATGAGTTGCAATTCTTAATTTCTGGTTGCACGGTCTCAAATTCATTCCTACGAAAACATAGGAAATAGTTGGAGGATTGTAATTTCCAATTGATGAGTACGGCCATCCGTAGTTGACATTTGGATTTGTTGGTGTTCAAGAAATGTCCGTTTCGGGGCAAGTTGAAGCTGGTGGAAAGGGTATGGGGATAGTACTGGAGAACTTGTGTATGTACTCATTTTACTATTCCCGAATCACACACGGACTAACTCCTTGGTGAAGCAATTCTGAAATTTTCTAACTTTGTGAACTGCCGGAAACTGCGTATAAGCCCAGACCGTCTATTCATGCATCTGTGTAGGTCTAAACGCGACTGAGAAGGACAAATACTGTACGTACCACCTTTATGAAAAATTCCTAGAATTTCAGTGACCATATTAGCTTTTGTTCGTCGATGGCAGGATAGAGAGGAATCTTGGTTTATGCCGAGCTGATATGTGGCCATGAATAATTTATGCATGGTCCAGTGTTGGTGATCTTGGTCAATTCTGGGGTATTAAACGAGATTTCATCTTCATAGTATAAGACGAAGTGAACTGCGCGTGTTGGTCTGATATTCCCAGAAAACCTGATTCATTCATGCCGCGAAAGGATGTCGGAACTCTCTGGGACATACAATGATTTGTCGAATAGATTTGAAGGTTCGCGAGGTCTTCGTTGATGAATTCCATCCGGAAATTTAACTCATACTGGTTTGTGGGGCGTCGGGTTTCTGTGCGTCTGCGGTTTGATGCATCGCGGCAGCCGTGAGCGCACGACGTCTGGGTACCGTATGCGTCTTTCGCAATTGGCCGACCGACCCGTTCCCACTCTCCGGCTGGACGCGAGCCGGGGACTCCTGGTTTCGTTCCCGTCGCGTATCTTACGTCACGCGGCTTTGACACGCATATTCGTTATTCGGTGTTTTAGCGCCGAACCGGAATTGGCACTCGTCAGCTGTTCCACTCTTGCGGCTTTTTTTTTGCTTTCTCTCCGTCTTTCTTTTTGAGTGCATCATTCATGATCGCGTCCTTCGGATGGGGAGAGTGGAGTGGTCCGGTGAATCGCGAAGCTAACTTGCGAGTTGATTGCACGCGATGTGTGAAGTGCCCGAGTTGGATGCACTGGTGGGTTGCGTTCGTCTTGTCGAAGGATTTAATCCGCGGTTCATACTTGTTATAATGTGCATTATGTCGCTATTTGGATCGAGAATTCATGTGCTGAATTGTAATGACCGGCTGTTGGAGGCTCACCTCGTTAACGGTGGTTATATCGATTGTTTGCGTTTCTGATAATTTGATGTGACGGAATCTTTCGAAATGGGCGGATGTCTTGATTGACAACTTTTTTCCTCTGACAATTTTCTTGGAAACTTGAAAGCCGGATTAAATTTCGTGTCGGCTGTTCTGCTGAATCAAATGAACGTTTCATAGCCACCTACGGAAATCGCCCTACTTTTCCAATTTAAGAAATTTATTTGAAATTCCTCAGTAATTTCTCCTGCGTGTCTTCAACCGTGAAGACCTGGTAACATTCAAGACTCAATAAACTGATTAAGTTCGATACCATTTATCAACATATTTTCGGCATGTAAATGAATGCTTAGTTATAGCAGCCGGCTGTTCTATTTCGGGGATGAGGGTTCGCAATAATTTTTAATGTTGGTTTTTGCTTAGCGTTTGAACGCGATCTTAAGTTAATATATGACCACTTCCCCTGACAGAAGCGTTGGAGTTCAGAAATACCGTATACTGTATGTGGTAACCCACCTGATGCGATGATACAAAATTAATTAAATTTGAAGAAAGGTTGCTTACGCTTTCACAGCAAAAAATTCAACCAGTATTGGCTCTTCGAAGTGCATGGGTGTGAACAGGAACTTCAACAGTACTGTACTTTAAATCTTCAAGTTGAGCCTAAAGCAACCCACGTGTTTATTTTTTTCGACCATTTGTGGATTTTGTACCACCATTTGCCTGAGACCAGCTTTTTGTATGACGCACCGTGTCTCACTGCGTGATGCACGCTAATAAACAAGTACTGTGCATCCACAGACCCGTGAAATTCCCCGCGTACGCTGAAAATATTTCCCTTTATCTTGTGAGCTTCGCGCAGGCTTTTAAACCGGCATTTAAACTAAATTTTTTGCTTGTTGCGGTGCAACTGGTGGCCCTTCGTAACCTTGGATAAGTCTGAAACTGCATAATACAGTAGCAGCTAAAGCTGATTCTCGTCTTTTGGATAGAACTTGTGTTTAATAATTGATGCGTGGGAACACTTCTGGCTTAAATTAAGCAGGTTTAACTGAACGTTGAACGTTTATTCCGTAATTAATTAGTAGCCTTTCCTCAGTGTTCATATCACGATTCCTCTCCCCAATTCGTTGACGATACTGATAGCCGGATTTCGGCGTCGATGTTCCACTATCGAGCACGAGGTTCTACGCCTTTAAGGAGCTCCGCTTCGTTGAAAAATCTGTGCAAAACGCTGGCGTCAAATGATCCGTGTAAGGGGTAGGAGTGATTTGATCTTGGTATTTTTGTTTAATGTCGATCGCCTTGCTCTGGGTATTCAAGTGGAAGTGGTTTCCTTTTATGTATACAATTGTGAGGGGCGTGTCTCGAGTGCCGTGCCCCGAATGCGCTGTCGTGTGCAAGTTCAGCCGCGCTCGGTTTCGCACCGCCTAGTGGTGTCGCTTTCGTAGCTGCGATGGTGACTGTGGATGGCGGCACGGATGGTCCGACTCCGAGAGAAAGCGGCCGACGGGAAAGACGCGATGTGACGCCTCGTGCTAGCTATGATGCTAATGCCCGTCGGAGGGGCCCTCTGGCTCCCACGAGGAGTCTCTCAGGTCTTAACGACATACTTTATTCAGTTCTCGTCGGCTACAAAACTAAAAGCGGACACCGCGCAACGATGGCAACCCCGCTGTCTATTCCATTGTTTTCCTCGGATCAAAAAAAAAATACTGAGATTATGAAATCCATTGATTCCGCGTAAGAGGGAGCAGTTCTTGATTATTGACCCAGATCGGTTTGTGAATTACGTTAAATTATTTTGTTCGGTTGTCAGGTTTCCAGACTAGGATAGGTTATTGTAAGAGTAATTCGGGTTTGGGAGGTGATTTCGGCCTAATTGTCAATACTACTGGCTATCAGACAGGGACCCAAGAAATGTATTCGTTGTAAACATGAATTCGTCTCGAACATTCTACTGTATTTCTGAGGCTCCTCCTTTTTGAGGAAGAGATGCTGTTTGTGCCCTTCGTCCTGAATGAAGACTTCCTGTTTTCTACGTACAGTACTTCACGAAGTACTGTTCATAGATACGACGGATAGAAACTAAATGAAGGTGTTGAGCGTGTTACCGTCATGGAAATACAATGCGGTACTTCATTTAAATTAAATAGATTAAATAGAATAATTTCCCCCAAGATCAGCTGGGAGTTCAGTTGATTTTTTCAGGTAAGGCATAGGTCAACCGCAGAACAGGAGTAATGTTCTAAGACTAGGTAGTGTATGTCGAAAAGCGAGACGAATTTCTGTAGCCAATCCCTGAACGGGATAATTATCGAAGAGTTGAAATTTTTTTAACCCTCATTGTCCATCCTTATTCGTTTTTTCACTGGTCTGTTTCGCGACGTTCTCAACTATTGCATAACGGCACTCCTTCCTCTTATGTCTCAGAGGTCACGCCGTTCATTTTACTAAATCGTGAACTTTTACCGTAAGGCTTATTCTGGGAATTTATTTGCAGACGTCCATTATCAAATAAAACATTATTTCGGGGATCTTTATGTTCCATCCACGTGCCACGGATTTCTCCTGCACATATGTTGATGTATAAAATGCACTGTAAATTTCCACCTTCCTCTTTATTCGAAAAAGGTTATGGACGGATGGTAGAACTAAGTGCAAGTTCAATTGTTCCGCATGCAAATGCCTTCTGTCGAACCATTGAAATTCGTGGTGAAAGAAATTTCGGAATAACTGACAAGCTTCTGACGCCCTAAAAACTGCTGACTACATTGCGTTCCATTCTACGGGGTTTTTCAAATATTTTATAAGAAGTTTTGTCCCGCGGAGTTTCGTTTCCTTCGAAACGTTTCTTTCTGACAACTTCGTTTCTCGCCCTGACAGCGTTTTCTAATCGAATTTCCTCTTGTCAATGAATTTTTCCGCTTTTACCCCTTAAACCCCACTGATGAATGAATGTTGTAAACTATTAGTTCAGTTTCAGTTGGAGTGTTCATATTCTGCATTGCTTTTAGAATTGTTTTGCGAATGTCGGCGAACGTGCAGGTGTTGTGTGTGCAACGGTTCTGTTCATCGAATAGCATTGTAATCGTTCGTTTTACTTGCGCGCTTAGAGAATAATTTTTCCCGTTGACTACATTCTGCGACAAGTTGTCCGATGATGCTTTTGAACAGTTGCGTACTGTAGATTGTATGGGGATAAGTTCGATACCAAACCGTTAGGAAGAGACGCAATTCTTGTTGAATTGAAACATTATCTCAGTATCACAGGAAAAAAAATCAGAACTAACGTTAACATAACAATTGCCCGTAATACTGTAGAACAATTTCATCGTATAGCTTCCTTACCGTAACCTGATCGATGAAATGATTTCCGGAATTCGAATTGAATTCAAAACCTTTAAAGCGTTATGCTGTATAGTCTTACAAAGACCCTACGAGTCGCTGAATATTCCTCTTCCTTACGTAGAAAGTTCAGAAGTGTAGACAATGATTTTTGGGGGTATTCTGCGAAGTTCAATTTGTGTAACCGTACCTGATAACTTTACATACTGTTCGTCATAGGAGAGGCACCTTCACGTGAATTGAATTTGTTTCATGCATGTACTGAATCTGTATCGCCGGACAGGATTTGGTTTTTGTCAAGACTGGCCATTCGTGATTGATGTAAAAGGCCGTAGGTACCGTTAATCTCGGGATTGCACAGTACTCGCGTATGATTGTGTACGTGTAAGTCGATGATGACACGTTTGCTTTTCTTCCAGCGGGTAAAGCCACGCAACGTCCGAAGGAGAAGAGAGGGAAGGACAAGGCGAAATGGGAATCCAAGGGGGCAGACGGCGCTGGAGACATGGATGCGTTCGTGGAACCAGCAGCCCCCACAGCCGCCGCCGCCGCCCCTGCCGCTGTCCCACCGGCGTGTGCGTCTCCAACTCCGCCAGCCCCGGAGCAATCAGCTGCACCGGCGCCGGCCGCAGAATCGAACACCGCTCCTCCAGACGCCCCCGAGGTTCCCAGCTACCTGTCTGAGCTGGTTTACAAGGAAGGGCAGTACAGTCCGACGAACCCCGATGGGAAGCGAGTTTACGATCGAGATTTCTTGATGGCCCTTCGAGATTGCCCGTATGCGAGGACTTGTCCGAAAGATATGCAGGTAGTGACGGAGAAGATTTCCAAATGGAAAGATCACGTCGAAAGGGGGTCTAAGAACGTGGCCGATGGCGGCCGCGGTGGTGGCCACCATGATTTCACGCCACATTACGTGAAGGGAGCTTCTGTTAGTGGCGTTCCTTCCTATCGTGACAGTGGGCGGAGTGTAAGTGCTATCAGATTCCACGTTGAATTGAATTCTGTCTTGTCTTCAGTTCTCAGTAAAATCGCATTGGAGTTGAGTGTATCCGTTGAATGAAAATGAGCTTCTGAGAAGTTTCGCGATTTTGTTGAGGTGGATGAAACCACGATTCTCGAAAAATAAACGTAAAACCGCTTAAATATGCCATCTGTTCCCAGTACGAGTCTACGCGATTCAAAATGTTTCGTGCATACTTCGTTTCGGTTACGATCCTGTAATGTGGTCGAAATGAATTTCTGAATGATGGGTAAAATCTTGATAATCGTTCAACAATCAGACCATTCACCTCATTCGCATAATTCTATCGCGAATGAAATATACAGGTGGTACGACGAAACTCGGGAACAAGCAGAAAATGAGCCTCTACACTGAAGTGAATTTCGTTCTAGTACACTTCGAACATGGTTAGAGCCCCCTATCAGACCAGGAAAAAAAATTCGATGCAGAATTCAATGCAGAGAAAATTCTCTGTCATCGATTAGTTCTGAAATGAAATTATGGACTGTACAGTTGTCTACTGTTTCGCAGCAACCACTATCGCCAATACGTTTTTACTGGGAAATGCTAAAGTATTTCCGTGCTTTTGGAGGCCGAATTATTTGGTATGATGTACTTTATCCCTGGCTGAGACGATATGCTGACGACGAATTTCTGATTCCTATTCTTAATATCGTCGTGTGCCGCTGTGTTTGGGTCCACCGATTCACGTTTATCTCCTCTTCTGAATAGGGGGCCACGAAAAGGCCCAGTCTGCAGGGTCGTCGCAACGACCGGCAGATGCAGCCGTCAAGTCAGCAGCAGCGTGTGATCTCGGTATCAATCGATGATGTGTGTCTGCAACGCTCGAAGAACGCGTGGAAGCCGTCTGTTGTTGCTGTGCCCGACGAGAAGCCTTCCTCTGAAATGCATGAGGTAGTCTTAATTATCCTCGAATACGTCAGCTTTTTCTTCAACCTTTCTGAATTTGTTGGAGTCCGTAACAACATGAAATCTCAACGACTGTATTAACGGGCTTCCGTTCATTTCGAAGGTTCTGGCCAAAAAAGTTCGAGGTGTGCTGAACAAGCTCACGCCGTCTAAATTTGAAACCTTGTTGGGTCAGGTGAAAGACCTTCCTATTCACACACACGAGGAACTCGACTGCGTGATCGACTTGGTATTCGAAAAGGTACGTGAAGATAAGCGTTTTGTTGGTTAGTTTTTTTAATGATGATTTCGTTATCCCTGTCGGAAGTTTTGAGTGACAGATAAAATTTCAACTGATACAAAATATTAGATCACCTTATGTTCCTTGTTTCTTCTTCGAATGGTTAGTGATGAGTAATTTTGATCTTCTCAGGCGTGTGATGAGCCCGGCTTTGCCACTGCCTATGCCTCGCTTTGTCACCACTTGTCCACGGCAATTACGGTGAAGGATGAGAATGATCAGCGATATAGTTTTAGGAAGAAACTTCTCATCAAATGTCAAAAGGAGTTCGAAATGGAACAGCGTTTCGACGCCGATCGGGACCAGAAGCGTATTGAAATAGAGCAGACGAAATCGGTGAGTTTCTTGTATATTCTCTCGTATTTTGTATCTTTGACGTGATGATAACCGATTCATGACACAGCCGTGGATTTTTTCAAAAGGATTCTGAATTCGATAGCATTTGGTGTTGAATCCTCTTTTTGATAAATGAGTTGAAATGTTCCTGATTTTTCGTTACAGGAAGAGAAGCGGAAGGAGATGATGCTAGACTTGGAGGATAAAGATAGGAAAATGAAGAGACGATATTTAGGCACGATTAGGTTTATAGGAGAATTGTTCATGAAGGGCATGCTCACGGGGAACATAATGCACGGATGCGTGCTGAATATGCTGAATGGATGGGAGAAAACACGCGACGAAGACTATCTCGAGTGCCTTTGTAAACTGTTGACCACTATTGGAGCTAAGCTGGATAATGAGGCTCCCAACCCTACGAAGGATTCGCAAGGAAGAGATCAACTGGGGGAGCACTCGGTAAGATCTCCGATAAATTTAGTAATAACGGTGTTCTGACTGGAAATGATCGTGTCCAGTAGTGAAGTTTATTCAGAAAAATTCTTAATTCATCTTGAGCGCGTACTTCCACTTCAAGGTTTAAGCAGGAGTTCAGGCTTGATGCATTTTAAAATTACAATGAAGCTATTCTACGCTAAAATTATGCTCCCGGTATTCCTGTGAGATGGTGTTGAACTTGGATTTCTTTTTTTCAGGTGAAGATGAATGGTTACTTCGACCTGTTGAAAGGGTTCGTGGACAAGAAGGAGACTTCTACCAGAGTACGTTGCTTATTGATGGACGTGGTTGACCTACGCAAGTCCAAGTGGGTCCCGCGTCGTGAGGATTACAAGCCCAAGACAATTGAGCAGATCCATCGCGAAGCTCGAGCCGAAGAAAGCAAGAAGATGATAGAAATGAACGAATTCCATGAAGCCAAAGCCCAAGAGAAGCAGAGGCAGCAACAGCAGCATCGTCCACGTGGCACTCCCGCAGGTCAGTTGCCCCTCAATTTTTCCTCGCTTAAATAAAGGTTGAAATGAGGGTTTCAATCGTATTCGCTCGTGGTATCGCATACCCATCAATTATTGGGGTTCGGTTTTGGCCGATACAAGATCAATTTTTTGGGTTTTGGGCGCGTAATTTAAGAACCTACATTTAAATTTAAGAGTGTGGACTTGCATTTTTAACTCACGGTATACAAATCAAGGCTGTGTTAACTTACTCCAATTTGATTTTAGGTACACGTGGAGGGAATCAACAACAGCCGAATAACGAGGAGTGGCAATTCGTGCAGCAGAAGCGAGAGCGGCAGTCGTATGACACGAGTCGCCTTATGGCTGCTGGAGGTTTTACAGGATCAGGAAACAGCGTATTCGCCCCACAGATGAAGGCTTGGGGCGAGGGTGCGGGTGGCGGCGCCAGTGCTCGTTCCGCCGATTTGTCCAATCGCTTCACAAGCCTGAGCGATGGTAACACTGACGCTGGCCGTGGTCACAGGTACACGCGTTTTTTATAACTACTGCACTGTATTTAAATTTAAGCGAATGCCCCGTGAATGTAAGTTCGGATGAACATCAGCAGCCACGTGAGTTCTACAGTTTATTGGAGCTGTCCGATTTCGATTTTAGTATACGACTGAAACTACGACGATCATTTCGACTTGATGTCGAAATGATCTGTTTTTGTTGTGATCTGAGATTGGAATATGCTAGTTGTGAGTTCCAATGAGGAAGCACGTCAGTTGGATCTAAGCATTCGACAGGGTGTTGTTGATTTATTTATCAATTACGTGAGCTGTATCATTACGGGACTGTCGCTAAGTACGACGTATGATGAGGAAATTGAACTTGATTGAAGATGTTATCTTCATGTGTGAGGATTTCAAAAGGATTCTGATTGAAAATTTTCTGCTTATTCTTTTTATACTGTATTATGGGATGAAGAGATGATAAGACTTGCTTTTTCAGTGGAAGTTCACGGTCTACAACCATTCCGCCCAGGATGCAGCAGAAGCAGGGCATGGGACGGGATAGTTTCCGGAACGACCAGGGAAGAAGAGGAAATATTCGTGGTGAGTGTTCTTTTGGTTCTCAAATTCGACAGTTCGGAAAACATTTCCTCGTGAAAGACAAGTCTGCCAATAACGGTCGTGGGTGTTGCATTTACATGTCCTAATAACGAAAGCGTGAATTTGTATTCGACGAAGGGATGGATGGGGAAAGCGATGCTGACGATAACGTGCTAATCGTACGAAGGAATTACGGAGAGAATCCAAGGGAAAGAGGCAAGCGATAGTTCGGAGTGAATAGCTGTGTCGTGTCGTTGTGTCCCTAATGTTTGTCCGCATGGCTGTTCCACAATCGTAGATTTTTTTTTATCGCACTCGTTCGAGGCGGGGCCTCGGGTGCTCTTGGTTTGAGCTCCGAACTCAATGAGGTGAAGTTCGAGATGCGATTCGTCGTCAATTCGCTTTGGAGCAGAATTTCGTCTAACGCGAAAAATCTAGGAAACTCATCAAAATTAAGGCATTTATTGAGCTTTTTCAAAACTCGAGCTATCTCGTATTCGTGTAATCGAATGTAATGCATGTGATCAACTGCTGTTCAGTCAAAACTCTGCATTGATTTGTAGGAAGATGCTAGATCTAGAAATAATTCGCAAGTGAGGATTTAAAATTGTGCAGTTTCCATTAGATTGTACGAGTTTTCTCATGCAGCCGTCTCCAGGCATTCGAGAGTGTTTTTGAAAATGGCGTAGGCAGGACGTCTCCCTTCGCAACGGGAAAGAACTGGATTCCAGTGATGAGGGTTCGATCGGATCATGATCTAAATTTCTGTAGGGTAGTAAAGAACGTCACGAACGGGTTGTTTTCGTTCGGTATTTTGTAAACTCTATTTCTTTCATTATTTATTCTCTATTTTAAATGATTTTTTTAGGAAAAAAGGTTTGGTGGCATGCAAGTGTGTAGCTCGGAGAATTATTCAATCGATTCAATGCGAGCTCGTGGAAATATTCTGAGATCTCCGGACTAGAAACCCGCATGTGTACAGTACAGTATCTCCTTCGGAAATCGCTGAATTTAATTTTTTAATTCTTATGTAATAGGGCCAGGACAAGACATCCGACCGTCTCATAGCATGGGTAGTTCTCGTGACGGTTCCATGAGTCGCTTCGGTGACGACGGTGGTCGCTATGGCGGCAAGCACGGCGGTACCACGTCCATGATGTCGTCTCGTGACCGTGACCGCGACCGCGATTATGCTGCTCCGGCGGCATCGGGCGCAAGAGCTCCACCATCGAATCCCCCGCCCAGCGCCCCACCGCCCTTGGACAGTTTGCCGACAGAGTTGTCTGGTCCGGCGAACGAAGAAGAAAAGACGCTGCAAGAGCTCACTATGAAGTTCACCGATAAATATTGTTTCCCTGACTGTGATCCTTCGAGTGTGAGTATTGTTCGCCACTATCTCCTGCAATTCCTCGAAAAGTCGTGTCTTTTTGAGGTTAGGAATCCTCTATCTGAAGAAATTTCAGTTATTCATGGAAGTTCGTGAATGTCTTCGCGTAGATTTTACGGAATTCTGCATCCTTTTTCTTCGAAATGGCGGTACTGTACTACGATGCTTACAGTGGCCCGCTTTCAATCATGGTACGATGCGGAGCATTCTCTAATCTAGTTGAAAGCTTTTGCTTGATACAGTAGCTCATACTCTCGTATCTGATGAGCTAGTCCTTATTGGAAGGAAACGCTTTTTCCCCGAATTATCCATACGCACTGTATTTCCGATTAAAATTGTTGATATGCCACATTTAACGGTTACAAATCACTTAAATATTAAGCTCGTCATCGCGTGACCGTTCAGGAATTTTCAAGCATAGGCTGTAAATGTGAACCGATGTACTGTAATGTATTTGAGGTTGAGTCAAATGTAAAAATTGAACATGTATCTCACGGCAGGCTTAACGGATCTGAATTTTCTCAAGTTCTAACAATTTTAATACAGTGCTGTGATTTCTTCCACGATTCCTGATATCCCGTATAATATACGTATTCCTCACGTTTTTACAGGAATCTGTAGGTGATGTGATAAAAAGTTTCCATGAGACTAATGTGCACATATTTGTGCACGAGGGGCTGAATCATTCGGTGGAGAAGCCCGAATCCTTCCGGAAGAAGTTCGGCTCGTTTTTGAGCATGCTACTGAAATCTAAAGTATTGACAGCGGATGCTTTCGTGCGAGGAGTGCGATGTCTGTTGGACAATTCTGAAGACCTAATCATCGACTTGCCCAAGTTCTGGGATTACGTTGGGCAGTGTTTAAGTAAGTACTGTTTCATTGTGGGGGACCTTTTTGATGCGATGCTCGGTTACATCAAATTTTGCTTTTGTAACAGGCCCGGTGTTCACGACGAGCGACGGGTTGAAGCTCAGAGAGCTGAAGAAGTGCTTCAAAGATTCTGAATCCCAGGGATTCGATAAACTGGCTACTGCTATCTTGAAATCTGCTGTGAGGAATCATCATGTTGAACTGCCGTTGTGGTCACTGATTATTTTCAAATTACCGAATTCCAGAGCGAAGAAGAAGCGACGGAGATGTGGATCAATGGTGGGCTCACTGTTTCGGACCTCTGCCCGTCTGGCCGGAAAGACGGTTTTCTCGAATCCAAGGTACAGTTATTAATCGAAATTCGATCGATTGTGAAATCCAGAGATGATGAATTTCTTCGAACTTGATTACTCGTGACAGTTTTCAAAGCTCAACAGGGCTGAAAATAGTCCGTAAGGAAATATGAATGTTGTCCGTATTTTTCTAACGTATGTTTCTTTCATGAAAGGGTTTGGGCTTCTTGAATTCTGTGAAGACTTCGGGTGGCGCATCAGAGTGGGTGAACGAAAAGAGTGCAGAGAGATTCCGAAATGAATTCTTGAAGGAGCTCACAAAATCCTATCCTCCGCCAACGAATGATGAATTGTTGACGTGGCTCAACGTGAGTTACATTTCGGTTTAATTCTCAAATGCTTTCCTCATTAAAAAAAAAAAGAAAAATTCGTCGGCAAGTGTTGCGTGAACGACAGATTGATGAATCATGCGTACTTTTTTTATGCGTCGCATGTTGAGCGATCCTACAGCTTTCTATCGTCCGGAGGTGGGTATTCATCGTCTGACCCTTCCCCATTTGAATGATCGCGCCCATTAAATTTGTGGTAAGATCCATTATTTTTGTTGTCGACGAAGGACTTGCGAAGTTAAAAACACGATCCTGAAAATCAAAGCTTTTTCATTACGCCCTTCCATATTCAGAATCTTCGAGCCCATCAGGTTCCTGGAATGAACATCGTTTTAAGAGGACGAATTGATGTGCCAAATGTCGGTACATGAAGTACAATAGTATGGGGGGAAAAAATCGATTTGCCCCACTGTGGTGTGAACGGTCATGTATAATAGAAAATACATGGTGATAACCTGTGTTTCACTCACGTGAAAGATCTTACCTTAAAACTCCGAATATCTGTTCGAAAACTGCTTTGCTGCATTTCCACGTTCATCTCAATGGGCCATCTCAACTTTAATTTAAAAGTAATACATTTGAAATTGAGTCGTGCAGGAGAATATGGGAGGTGTCTGTTCATGCGGATTTAGTTCGTGATCGATCGTAATTCGTGTTTTTAAAACTGAAATTCATTAATACCTAGCCTTTGTTTTAGCCGAAGAAAATGGGGGTGTGAAGGTGTTCATTAGGTGTGCAGTTAGCAGAGGTTTCTGCTCTCGCCCGCGCAGTTTCCTTGGGGTCAACCCGCGTGTCCTGTCCTGATTCCGAACAGTCACTCCCTAGTCACAGCGTGCGAGCGATTGAAACTGTCCTGTCGTCGTTACACACAATACGAATCATATCCCCGGCTGGATGTGGAATAAAGTCGTTTTTTGTATGTTTCTCGTCGCATTATGTTTTCCACTTCCGTTGACAGGATCGTGTGGCTCCGGAATGTCGAGGAGAGGTTCACTTCGTCCGAGCTTTGGTGTATGCGATATTAGATTCCACACTCATGCGCGAAGGCCCTGATGAAGAGCAGAAAAAGCTTTTCATGTTGCGCAAGCCTGTCCTGGCTCGTTTCTCAGACAACAAGCCAGAGCTAGAAATGCAGGTTCTCATTGCTTCCACGCACTTGTTGGAGGATCGTGGTCATCCCAAAGGTGTGTGAACGTTTTTGCATTCATTTTGGTCTAGGTCTGTCCGGAAGTTTTGAACGCTTGTAGCCAGCTTATTAAATTTATCATCCGTAATAAAGGTCCTCGGTTTATTTTCCTCGAATTAAGGTAGCTTACGCGTAACTATCATATAGAATTCCTATCCATCCTCGTATCAATTCGCGAGGCGAACTTTTTGGTCCGAGGACCTAACCCCTTCGTCATTGAGCTGAAATTCAAATGTGGAACCAATTTGTGGAAAATCTGCCCCCATTGATTCGGTTTTTTTTTTTTTAAGAGTAAGTGCAATCTTGGACGGAAATGGAAAGAGATATTTTACTGTTTCTAGAACAAGGGGTTATTAATTCGGACATGTATTCCGTAATGGCCGACAGTTATAACTGGAACTGTCGATGTCAGGCTGAAAAACATTTTTCTGTTACGTAAGATGGAACGGTATCATGCATCCGTTAGGTTCACTCCGTGATGTTCTCTCCTAGGGATGCATGTACGCCTATTCGAAATGGTCCACGATGCGGAGTTAGTGGCGGAAGAAACATTCGACAATTGGTACGCGGACGGCAGCAAGATGTGCCTCCGCGGTTACGCCGTGTCGCACGAAGCCATGAAGCCGTTCTTCGAGTGGCTCAGGACTGCCGAAAGCGACGGTGATGCCAATGATGCGTCAGAGAATTGACCTTACGCCCGCGGCTATAGCCTCGAGTGTTTGTGTCCACGTCCAATCACCTGCGACTTGGACATTTAGGGAGTGTCAGGAGAAAGCTTGTGTGCGAGAGGGTGTGCGTGTGTGTTAGGGTTTCTATTTGTCTGGCTCATGTCCTGAATGGATAATATGGATTTTTGAGCCTGGTATTCTCGCGATGATTGCCGATTTAGGATTATAATCGCGATGGATAAAAGCGAGGGAAGAAAAGGCCGAGGGTTCGCCGTGCCGTCGTTTTCGAGTCCACGTGCCCCATTGCTCTCCAAGTGAACGTCTCGGTTTTGTTTCTTTGAATTTTGAGTTTGACCGAATGGAGAGTTCTCCGTTGCGTTTTGTCCTGCTTGCTCCGGACTCGGTAAATTATCTAGTTGGTATCCGTCTCTCCTGCAGATTGGGAAGGATAAAGGGAAACACCTGCGGAATTGAACGACGTTGTTACTAGTGTGCGTTTGGAAGAGTTTGTTAGGTTTTTCTCTTTTCTGTTGCTCGACAATTCGTGATCGGTCTTCAGCCCCTCCCCATCGGAAACGGTAACCTTGATTTTTTTTGAACTGCCTACTCGTTTTCCTTCTCTCTGGATTCTTGGCCCCGGTTAGAAAAAGAGCGAACTGCTTGTTGCAGTTGGTTCTCGCCCGCATCATCATGGATTCGCTTGCACGCGTCCTTCCCTACGGGGGCAGGAATCTGGCGGCAGCCCATGTGGTTTTAAAGGCGAAAATTTGACAATATTTTTACATGGTTTTTCCGCGCGCGGCGACTTGAACCGCGAATTTAATCACGTTCCCCTTTAGTCCTAGTTTTTTTCTTTCCCTCGTATCGAGTACATCAAAGCGAGGAGGTTCTGGTGCGGTGTTCGTGTCTTGTTCCGACTTCCACCACCCCCGCCCGTTCCAACTCTTGTTCTGGTTCTGCTGAGGTCTTCGTTCCCCCGTGTCGCTCGTTCGGATGAGCGCAGGTTGCGCTGTTGAATCTTTCCCACGACGTGTAGGTCGGTTGGCGGCTGCTGCTGATTTCGTGGACTCCTGTGGGATCGATTTTGCCGCCCCTTTTTCAATCGTGTACATAACTGAGGGTTTGGAAATGTTATAATTTAATGAACCTATATCATCAGAATAAAAATAAAAAATTGTACCATACTTTACGATCGGCTGTTGCTGATTTCGTCAAATTTCTTCAGGAAGTTTCCGTAATCGAGCTCAGATGGTCGAATTGTAACTACCACAAGACAACCAACGAGTCTACGTGCGAGTATTTACAGAACTTGATTAATTTCACTGAAACGTGTTCTCTGATAAAAACGTTAATTTGTATGATCTGAACTTGGTTTGCGAAGAGCGTGCATTGATTTCTTACGAAAGCAGAACGTCACACTGGCTAAATTTATTGACGAAACTTCCACGGTTATGCATCTGAATTTTTGGGGCTGAATCTTGGTACTGTAGAATGTAGACGTGGAATCGAATCCTATATGACTAGGAACGATGTGTTACTGAAGATTTAATCGTTCTTCGTGTTACTCATACTTCACGAAAAGGTCGCACGTGAAGGTGACGAATGACGTCGCTACTGATCATTTTTGCATTTGGAAGATAGGGTGGTTTCTCTTAATCGTAAGAAAATTTCGTTCATTACATTGAATACCGTTCGATTTAGAAGCGGGGAATTTTTGGCTGATTTGCATTTAGGTTTTTCGTGATTTGGAAATCCTCTTCTGGAAGCTGCATGCCAGGTAATTTTAGGTTCTTGTCATCAAATCCATTGATTGGTTCTGTCATGTGATGGAATCTGTGCAAGACTCCCAACCGTTTCATTTCGCTGACGTCCCATGAGCTGCATTGGCGCGGACCAAAATCGCAGGTGCACGAGGTGGGTACCATTAGGTGGGAAAAAATCATCCTGTCGTCATCTTTTCGGGAACCGAAACGAAGCTGTCTGATATCGAAGAAGTGATCTCAAGTGGATCCTGAAACATGTACCTTCACGGGTGAGTGTTCTTTAGGATTCTCGTTCTCACTGTCTATCGTGCAATGAAATTTGTTTTTAATGATTCAGGTTTCACGTCGACAATTTAACTTCCCGGGTGGATGCACCCAGCGGTAATTTTGGAATTTTATTCTATTTTTTGCTGGAAAATCTCTACGTATCAAGTAAACCTCTGTGAAGTTTACTCACTGTAATTTTTCTTCGACCACACAATTTCCACCGCGTTGTTACTAAGGTAATTTGATAATTTATGACTGTATGTTCGTAGGTTCTGGTGAAGAAAGTTCGAGGCTTGTTGGACGTGCTCACGATTTTGAACTTTGAATCCTCGATGAGTCGAGTAGTATCCAAGCCGATTCACCGTCAGAATGAACTCGACCTCGTGGTTGGCCTGATGTTTGAAAAGGTACGTGAGGATCTGCGTTTTGTTGACATCTTCGCGTGATGATTCTGTTATCCCTGTCTGATTTTTTGAGTGACGGGAAAAAATTTCAACTGATATAATAATCGAACTGCGAGGTTCTTGAATCTCCGTCCATATCAAGTGACAAAGAAAATATTGATCTTCTCAGGCGTGTGAGACTGACTTGGCCAGATCGCCGTTGCTCTGCGTGTCCGCGTTGATGAACGAGGAGGATCAGTGATACAGTTTTATGCGGAAACTTCTCATCAAATGTCAGAAATTATTCGGGATGGAGCATTATGTCCAGGAGCTCTTTGAAATGGATCCGACGAAATTCGTAAGTTTGTTGAGCATATTTTCCCGTATTTCTTTTCTTCGAAGTGATGATAAACGATTCATGATACAGCCGTGGATTTTATCAAAAGGATTCTGAATTTCTTCGCGTTTGTCGAAAATCTTCTTCTTTATGAATGAGTTTTGAAATTTGCGTGATTTTTCCTTGCAGGAAGAGAAGCGGAAGGAGATCATTCTGGAATTCGAAAACTGACGCCATTTCGGTCGCCGATCATTTATGTACAATACAGTACTGTATTTTACAGCCCTCCGAATCTCCGAGCAACGAAGAAGCGACGTCGATGTGGATTAATGGTGGGCTTCTGTTTTTGACTCCGTCCGTCTCGCCGGAGAGACTGTTCCCTCGAATGCAAGGTATTACTGTGAATCGAAATTCGATCGATCGATAAATCCAGTTATGATGAAATTCTTCGAACTTGATTACTCGTGACAGTTTTCAAAGCTCAACAGGGCTGAAGAGAATCCATGAGAAATTATCACTAGTTCACTCAATGTACTTTTCTAACCTGTCGTTTCCTCCGACAGGTCTTGGGCGTCTTGAACTCTACGAAGTCTTCGGGTGGAGCATCAGAAATGATTTATGGAAGGAGCTGAATGCCCATCTATTATCAATAGTTGACATTGCCAAGTGTTGTTTATATAGTCCCTAGCCGACGTGATTTGATTTATGTTGCGAAGTGTCGCGAGAAGCGAATAAAAAAGTACCCCGCTTTTTACCGATTTCTACGAGTTTGCATTTTTGCAAGATCATTATTCAAGTATCGAAAACTACGATTTTCACCATTTCTAATGGCGTATAATTTCTCACAAATAATATAGAACGGCTTCCCAGGAGAGAGAGTTTCTGCAACTTCATAAGGATTCCTCTCTGGGGTGATCCTTCACTGTACATTCATGGATTTATTTATCATGGTTTTCTGATGAAGTAATGGCATTCAAGTCCATTCTTCTCTCTGCCCTGCTGGTGAGTGGTGTGTTTTCCCATTATACAGTGACATTCGCGTTATTTATTTCATGGTCACTTTTTCTGCGAAATCGGGCGCCATTCTGGGACAATAACACTTGCCAGAGATGATGGAGGTTGGTATGCCGATTATACGGTTTTGATTACCCCATAATAATTTTATACTTAAGGAAATTAACACAATTTTGCAATTCTTTAATCCATAGGAAGAAATTTCACTTGAATGATCGGAACTCAAAACCTAAGTATTTCACCTAAAACAGATAAATCTGCGGAAAGTGCTCACGCCAACTTAATTTTTTGCGAATTCTCCAAAAAATCTGAGTCTGAATGACTCGTGTATGTGAGGCGTCTCTGACCTGCTTTTATGCGGACCGGACTTGTTAAAAGTACAGTACTCAGCCGCAATTCCGGGCGGTTTTCAAACAGAAGTGTGGCAAACACGTCACGACTTTAACGGAACAGAATGGTCGTGCACCCAATTAGTTCGGTTGAACTCAATCGTTTTAGAATGACATTATTGCTTCAATATCTTCATTGTGTTCTTTTCTGAAGTAGGAACGTTTATTGAAAAAGGTACGAAAATATTTCCGAAGTATATACAACAAAATTTATTCATGAAAACCACGAATGCTGCGGACTAGAGCTAACGAAAAATAAGAATTACTGTACTGCAATTCCATTCATGAACCGCTGAAGTACAGTACATTATTTTTGTTCCGCATATTTACTCCTGCAGGCCTCACTGGGGGCTCTGTGGGAGGGAGTTCGGATTTCGTAAATAGCCCTAAGTAAAAAGTAAGAGAGGTGAGGTCCCACACACTTACGAACGCAAGTAACTTTATTATAGGGGATATCTTCATTGTGTTCTTTTCTGAAGTAGGAACGTTTATTGAAAAAGGTACGAAAATATTTCCGAAGTATATGGTTGTTTTAAATAAGTACTTTTGGTGCTTACGACGCCTGATCTCGATTGCTTTTTATTCTTAATGACATGACGTTAAGGTAAGTACTTGGCGACTTCATGTCATGTAATAAAAACAAGGCGTATAAACTGCGGTGCATTTTTTGTTGTTGATGTACGTCCTCGCATGAATTCCCTTATTCCCACAACTAATCTGAAACAAATTTCAAAACTTGTGCATTTTGCTATCTGCTAACTTGCTTTTGTAAATTGGCCAAAGAAAATAAACGGGCTCCCCTGTGGCAAAGGTATATAGAAATAACGTGCTGCGTCTTGTACTGTATATAGCTGTCTTAATAAAAAGGCTGTTCGGTGTATATGAGTAAATAATATTTACACGTTTGTATGTACAGCATTTCAGTTTTACATTTTCCGATCAAAACGTACGTAGTACAATGCGAATATAATGTCTCTCCGTTTCTCGTCTCCAAGACGTTGCCTGGGTATAGGAAACATCATACATCTCCAATCTTGTGTCAGGAATGACGCTGCTGCTACCACAGAGAGGTATGACTTCCTGTCGCAATCAGCCTTCCAGAGAACCTGATGAAAGTGCTGAACTCGAAAGCGGCGTTCCCGGTTCCGTTCGCGTTGGCTGTGCCGAATTCNCTCCAAGACGTTGCCTGGGTATAGGAGACATCATACATCTCCAATCTTGTGTCAGGAATGACGCTGCTGCTACCACAGAGAGGTATGACTTCCTGTCGCAATCAGCCTTCCAGAGAACCTGATGAAAGTGCTGAACTCGAAAGCGGCGTTCCCGGTTCCGTTCGCGTTGGCTGTGCCGAATTCCCCGGTGTATTCCACCCACGCCCGGTCAGTCGAATTCAGGTAGCTCTGGGTCGAGATGATCATGGTTGCGCAGGTGGCTGCAGGAAAGAACCCTGACCCCGCTTCATCGGTGACATTCGAACCTGCCGACTGGACCTTGAGATGGGCCGAGCTCTGAGTAGCCGGCGATCCCTTTTCGGCGACCCAGTTGAACTCGTACAATCCGGCTACCGGTGCGGTAAAAATCCCGGTGGACATGTTGAAACCGTTCCCCAGGTTGACGTCGGTATACTTGTACAAAACCTGCGATAAATGCGGCATGCGAATGTAGATACAGTAAATATACTGTACGTGGGTTGGTTCATACGTTTTGTTCCTTTTTTTTAAAGTAAATCCAACGGAGTTTCAACAATTCCACAAAAAATTATTTACTCGCATTGCCCCATCATTTGGCAACACTTCGTTCTAAGCTGTTCAACATACTTTCCGCCGATGTCAATGCATTGTCTCATGCGAGAAATCCAACGATCAAAAGAGTGCCGGAAATCGAGTCCTATAGAATTGATTTAAGCTGCTCTTTCACGGCGCAAATGAGGCTGTATTCCTGTCTTTTAAATCAATCTATTTCAGGTATTGTTCTTTACCATTGGGAACAGCCAGAATAAGTCACAGCTGGTTACCTAATCAACTAAATTTTCTCGATATTTGGCACTGTTTCGATCGTTGGATTTATTGCATGAAAGAAGTGCATTAAAATCGGCGGAGAGTATGTTGAACAACACTAAAGTGTTGCCAAATGATGGGGCTTTGCGAGTAAAAAACATTTTTTTTTTAATGTTGAAACGTGGTTGGATCTACTGTATTTCAAGAAGTCTCGAAACTTATGAACCAACCCTCGTATATGCCAGTAAGTCTATAGTTCAGTTTTCCCCACCCATTTTGGGACTGAAAAATTTCAAAAAGAAAAAAAAAATCGCGAATCCTGTCAAATTTTCTAAAAATCCTCCGCAGACTGCCAAAGTTTCATTCAATTTTTGCAGACTACGAAAGTTCTTCTTTAAAGATTTTATTGCAGGTGTTTAAAAAGTGTATGCTTTTTTCCGAAAATAAGTCAAGAACCAATGAAGCAGCTATAGCGGAATGTTGTCAGAAAATGATGAAGGTGAGCTTGCAGAAAGGTTTCTCAGATTGAAAAACTGAAATAATTTATTTTCAGCAGCAGAAAATTTATCTGAAGTGTTGACAGAAAAGACAACTTTTATTTTGAACTGCTGTTTGTCTTTCCAAAATTTCAAGTAAAAAATTTAAGGAATTATGTATATTTTCTAGAAATAAATTTGGGTTACTACTGAAAATCAAGTGTCAATCCTCAAAAAAACTCAGGATAATTTTGAACATGAGTTTACATTCTTAAAATTGTTTTTGCCTATTAACACATTCCTAAATTTAAAAGTTTAAAAAAATAACTGAAAGCCTTTCTCAGAATATGAATGATTCCCATCATTATTACTGAATGAGGGCATCATATACATTATCCAATGTTGCCTTCTGTATACTTATAAATGGAGTGACAACAGTGAAATTTCATTACAAAAAATACTGTTACAACAAATTTTTAATTTTAGCAACATTTTTTCCAAGTCCTGGCAGAAATCCTGTATAGGGTACATGTTATAAAAATCTTGTCACAACAAACTCTCCAATTCCAGTTTAACAAACTATTTTGAATTCACTGGAAAAGTTATCAAAACAGAGTTTCAACTTGATTTCAGTTTCAAAAGTACAAATTGCAAAATTCAACCTGCAAGTCTGAGGCTTTTGATCAAGTGCACAAAAGACAAAAATTCCTCAAAATGATTTTTCATCTCAATTTTACGACCAGAAGTAAAGTGTGCAGTTCAGCTTGAATGTGCCGGAAAATATTTTTGAAAACATGCTTTCAACTTGATATTGATTTCAAAAGTGCGGATTGCTCATTTTTAACATACAAGCCTATATAAAGGGACTTTCAAGCAAATTCAAGATACACAAATATTCCTCCGAAAAGATTTTTAAATTCTCGATTTTACTCCAGGAAGTGTAAAATGCAGCTTGAATAAATGAATTCTACAGGAAAAGTTATTGACGACAGGTTTTCAACTCGATTTCAATTTCGAAGGTGCTGATACTATTGCACATTTTTAACATTCCCGTCGTCTTTATAAGGGGGCTTTTGAACAAGTGCAAGAAAGAAAAAAATAATCTTGAAAACGATTTTCAATCGTGATTTCACTCCAGGAAGTGTGTAGTGCAGGTTGAATACATGCTGAAGCCTGCAGAAGAAATTCTTGAATACTGGTTTTTACCTCAGTTTGCACCTTGAAAAAATTATGCAAAAACAGGTTTCAATCTTGACTTTAAAAAAATAATGAATTGAGTCGACATAATGAAGGGTTACCGACCATTTGAAAATCATGGGATAACGGGTTTCCAACCCTGACATAAAAAAAAATCAGGATTTCTCTGGATGGCAGATTCAATACATTGTGTTCATGGGGTCTATATACATATACCTTAAAAAATAATTAATGAAAAACGGCTTCTAATTTTTCTTCTTTTAAAAAAAATGAAAACTATGTTCTGTAAAGATTCATTACATTGCATACGTATGTGTAGAGGTATAAACAAAGCAAATCGTCTCGATGCCAGGTTCCCAGTCATTGTCTTATTATTCATGTTTTTTTTTCTTTCGAAAATACAGTTTTGGACTTACCACTTTCGCCTCGTCTGTTCTCGGAAGCATGGACAAAGGTGTTCCATAGACAGAAAATATGATTTGTCTTATTCTTTCCTGCGGGTCTGTCGGCAAATTTGTGGTGGTTGTTTTGGGACTTGTGGTGGTTGTAGTAGTGGTGGGTGCTTCCTGACGGTAGATCATGTTTTCTTGAAGAGCTGCCTTGTTTTCCTTCAACAATAAAAAAGACAGATAAGTTCAAACAGTTGAAAAAAAAAGTTTTTTTGAAAAAGAAAAAATGAAGCATATATTTAAGCGTTTTTAATATTTCTTTGTTGTTTTAACCATTGTCTATAAATACCGTATTTACTTGAGTACCACGCGCACCTTTTCCCCCTAAATTTCAGAAGAAAAAAAGGGGTGCACATCATAAGCGGGTGCAAAATTTTCCATAAAAGTTTTAGGAAGTTATGTGTGCATTATATTTAATTATAATGGAGAAATTTTGCACAAATATAGCAAGAAAACATTTTTGTATTGAAAAAGTTGGAAATTGATCAGATTTTTGTTAAATTCATGCCTAAATTCAAATTTTTTTGTTTTTATTTTTGAAATTTTATGGTTTTAGATTCACTAAAAATTGGGGTGGGCGTCTTACTCTGGGATAAGATTTTTTGAAAATTTTCAGCTGAAAAACCCCTGTGCGTGCCTTACTCGAGGGCGCGTGGTACTTGAGTAAATACGGTACTCTAAAATGTTGTTGGTATAGACATATATAATCGCTAAAATAACAAAATTTTAATTTTCTAGCTGGCCTGAAATTTTTTTTAGCACTTTGTGACATGTGTTAACTCTGGCCATGACTAGAAATTTGAAACTTATACAATATTATCATGCAGCAGTCAATTTAAAATTTAAAAAATCTCAGAATCTTATACAACATCATGAAATATGTCACACATTTTTACATGATAATTTACTCTAGAAATAACCCTTGTATAGCATATACAGTGGACTTCATAAATAGACTCTCTATACTGAGTAAGTAGAGAGTATCTATTTTTGAAGTAAAACCTGCCTATGTTTTAGGATTTAAATACCGGGCATGAGGTACAAGTAATACCTGAATAATATACTACTGTACTGCATATATTCACCACTTCTAGCCTAGGTTGGCTCTCAGCTTCTTGTTGAGTGTTTATGGAAACAGTGGGATCCATCAAGATGGTGGACATGAGAATAATAACAGCCAAGATGAGTGTAAGCCCCGACATCTCAGTTTCTTTTTGCTTGTACAGTACAGTATATATTTTTTTTATCTCCTCAGCACAGGTTGAATTATACAATAATGAAATGCAAGTGTTACAGCGCGTTTTGCTCCTCTGTCAGTGCGTATTAGATTTTTGCAGTGCTTTTTATATAAACATTTTTATTGGAATAACGTAATAACGGATTTCCTTAATTGATCCCTTTTCATGTCCCGGTTATTTGAAATCCTGTTGCTTGATGATGAACGTTTGTGATTAACATTATAGGTCACAGAAACGAATTTCCTGACTTATTTCATTTATTTTTTGTCATTGAATAAATATTTGCAGTTTAAAAAGTGGATACTGTAATTTGGAGCGCGTGTTGGTATGATTTTAGTGCTGCTCCAGTTTGCGGCTTACCGCGACCTACTTTTGTAGGATTGAACAATTGCCAAAATCATATGTAAGCATTTAGGAGGCGGTCAATGGGAGACGAATTTTTGGCGCCACAAAATATTCCATTGCTGCTGATCATGGAATGGCACTCAGAAAAATTATATGTTATGGTACTGTAATTTTCTTTGATGTCCTAATTTTGAAATGCATTATAAGTGTGCATTCAAAAATTTTTGCATGCGGAAAGAGTTAATTGCATAAGGACTTTTTGTTCTGCCTTACATCATTTTCAATTAAATTTGTATTGAATTCCAGAAATTCATCACTTTGAAATTTCAAACTTTGAACACACTTTTGTGAATTCTATAAAAATATATTTTCAATATGCTAAACATTTTTCCACTGGTCTAGGGTTTTTTTGTGCCTATCTACAAGCATGCTTGAAGTCATCTATCCATACCAATGTATCATTTGAGTGAGGTTTTGGCAAACATCTGGAAAGTAGTCATCAGTCCTTGCTAGGAACAACTCTAATTTCTAGAAAGATCTCCGTTTATTTGACATCAAATTTAGACAAAACTTCTCATCAAATCAGAGGGAAGTGGATAATATTATTCCCTATTATCCTTTCCCATAAGAGAAAAATCAACAAGCCAAAAGGAAATTGTGAAAGCTTGTTTGGAATAGAAAACTTTGAGAAGAATAAACAGATAGCAGTAATTGATGAGAAATGGAGGAAATCAGACCCTTCCTAGAATGTAAATCAGCAGGAAAAAAGTTTCACACTCTTCAAGAAATTTATGAATTTGTTCATAACAACAAACTTTTTCTGAAGTCCCCTTAAGTTTGTTGCTATGAGATTTTACTGTATATATTTTGCATCTATGTGATCACAATATGGAAAGTGATGCGAAATTTATTTTTAATCTGTTTGCACATTGAAACTATTTTCATCCAAAAAAGCGCAGAGTTTTTATTGGTCAAAGAAAAACGTCAGTCAAAACCAGTTTTTGGAGGAAAACATGCTTTCCCATCATTTGAAATGGGACTAGCGCGGAAATTTATTCCAGTTATAGTGTTTCTACCATATTTAATATTGGAACTAGTGTTTAAGAATCAAAACCCTGCTGACTCAGAAATCATTGATTCTTTAGTGAACTTTCAGTCTCTTGTATTCCACAATCAATTCAGAGCATTAAACCAGTCAACAGTGAACATGAAAGCTGAGAAGTGGGAAGCCATGTTGCCACCACCTGGAAACTCAACATATGGCTCATGGCAGCCCATTGTTGGACTCAGCAGAAAATCTTTTGTCTTCTCAGCATTTTACAATGAAGTCAACAATACACTAAGAGTGATGGCCATTTTGGACAGAGACAACTCTGACCACCTCTCCTGCATATTTTACAATGCAAACAGAAAAGAATTGCTGCCTACTGATGCTGAAGAAAAAGTGACAACTGAAGTCCATGCGATTCATTCTTCAGCATTCTATGAACTTGCAATAATTTGTCCAAATGTGCCAGAGAAAACTGAGTTTGTCTCTATTATTGTTGCACGCCAGAAAACAAAGCGTCCCCCAGGGAACTGTCTCAGAGTTGTTAAGCCAATTGACGCTGAAAAACCAGGGGCTGTAATGTGTGTGAGAATCATGTCAAGAAATTACAAAGATGTTGTCCAGTTGATTGAGTTCATAGAGTTTCATGCATTGATTGGATTCAAAGTTTTCATGTTTTATGTTCATGGGTGCACAGGTGTTCAACGTACATAAGAGTTTGTGGACCGTTCACTCCACTCATTCAAGTTCAAAAGTAAACCTGAGACTTTTTACTGTTTGGTGAGAACGTAACGTAAAAACACAAACTCTCGTGTACGACAGACTCGATTCTGATACTGTATAAAATTTCATTTTGATCATTTGCATTTTTTTGCATTAAATATATATGAAAACGGTTTTCTCTGATTTAGTGTAGTAGCATACATTTTCATCTCATTAAATGCATAACATTTGAATCAGAAGATTCAGTAGTGTATATTGTTTACTCATCAGTATTCCCATCCTTCATATGGAAACCAGAATAATCCTCTCAAATATTTTCTATGAAAGCCAGAAAGTATCTGCAATATTTTACATTAAATTGAAATTATTGTGAAGATTTTGACTTTACACAATCTCACCCTCCATTTCATTTTTTTCAAAAACAGTTTTTACATTACCTGCAGATCTAGGATATCATCAAATTTTAGGCAATATTAAAAAAAGTGTATCTTGTATATTCAAGTAAATGCAGCAGCAATGAAATGATGCTTCAACAAACATCAACAAAATCACCATAAAACACAATAAATAAAAATACCTTATAACATATTGTATTCTATTTCAGGCAATGGATTTTTTCAAAGAATCTAATAAGACATACCATGTGTTTGTCACTGACTATGAACTACCTTTTGCCTGGATAGAGCTGTATGAGTATGCCATGCATAATGCTCTCAATGACTGTGTACTGAGGACTCATGCTCTGGGCATGAGACATGCTGCAGGGATGGACTTGGATGAAATGCTGATGTTGCCAGGAATCAAAACATTGCCAGAGATCTTGGAGTCACATCCTTTTGCTGCATCCTTTGCAGTGTCCACCAGGAAGCACTTTCCTTTGTTTCTTCCTGATGATGAATTAATCAACAAAGCTGGACACATCATGAGGCTCAGAGTTTTGAAAAAGACTTTGATGGATAATGTGACTGCCATGTTGGGGAAAACTGTAGTGGATGTTGAAAGGGCTGCGTTTGTTAGTTCACATCAAGCAGGATGCAAAAGGAACTCTATGTATAAATACATCAGTGTTCCCAGTGAAGAAGCCATCATACACCATTATAGACTTTTCCCTGGGAACACCCCGCAAAGATGGACTAAGTACTTTGAAGAAACCTGCAACAAATCCAGTGATGCTTTCCAGGCAACCAATGCCAGCCATCCTCCAGCTGAAGTCAGATTCATGAAGAACAGGTCAATGTGGAGGTTTTCTCAGGAGCTGACACACAGAGTTTTCAAACTGGTGAAGGAATTGCCAGTCAATTGCAATACATCTTTGAAAACCTGGGAGTCAGACCAAGAGTTCTTGGACAGCTGCCATGACTGGACTATTTTGACTGGGTTCATTTGCTCCAAGACTCCTTGAACTGGAAAAAGTTACAAATCTTCCAGTCAGTTATTTGGACACTGCTGGTTTTTTTCCATATTACCTTGCACTTATTACAAACTTCAGTGCCAAGAATAACTTTCAATTTGAAAAAATGCCCCTTTACAGTGATTCTTTTACTTATTGATCCTTGATCAATGGATTGAGAAGAATGACATTTTAAAGATTAATATTGGATAATTTTCTGTTCATCATGATTTTTATTCCATTTCTGATTGGCCAATTTTAAAAGAAGAAAAAAACATATGGGATTGAAAAANATTGATCCTTGATCAATGGATTGAGAAGAATGACATTTTAAAGATTAATATTGGATAATTTTCTGTTCATCATGATTTTTATTCCATTTCTGATTGGCCAATTTTAAAAGAAGAAAAAAACATATGGGATTGAAAAAAACTGATCAGTGCACTTTGTCAGTGTGAGAAAATGAGACTTTAACTGCATGTCACATTGAAATGTTTTGAAAAATTGTAGGTCTTCTTGTTACCAAAATTTGGAAAATTCCCATCTGCTTTGCAACAATGAATCATCAGATCAAGCTATTTAAATGAACTTTAAGTTTGAGTATGCTTTTTTATTAATGTGGCATATAGAATAATAAGTTACCCATAAGGAGCTGTAAAACAAGAAAATATTAGAAAGTTAATTGGCACTTATGAGAGGATCAATCAGGAAATAGATGTGAAGTTCACAAAGGAGTGATTTGAATAAAAATGCAATCAAAAATGGGGTTTTATCATTACAAATGTATTATGTAAGCCAGCCTGCGTAATTTCCTGGTGCATGAGTAAAACGAACCATCTTCCAGTCTGACTTGTGATACTTTTGGGTTCTGACCACCATCTAATGTATAAATTAAGAACTATGCAAAGCAACATATAGCAAGACTTGTTCAGTCATTCTAAATAATAATACTGCTCTAGAAAAATGTCCCAATTATTCTATGTCAGGGACATATCAGATAGTCAGATTCCTGATCAATTGATCCTTGATCAATGGATTGAGAAGAATGACATTTTAAAGATTAATATTGGATAATTTTCTGTTCATCATGATTTTTATTCCATTTCTGATTGGCCAATTTTAAAAGAAGAAAAAAACATATGGATTGAAAAAAACTCATCAGTGCCCTTTGTCAGTGTGAGAAAATGAGACTCTAACTGCATGTCACATTGAAATGTTTTGAAAAATTGTAGGTCTTCTTGATGCTACCAAACAATTGGAAAATTCCCATCTGCTTTGCAACAATGACTCATCATATCAAGCTGTTTAAATGAGAGTTTAAGTTTGTGTATGTTTTTTTATTAGTGTGGCATAGCATAAGTTACCCAAGAATCTGTAAATCAAGAAAATAATAGAAAGTGAATTGGCACTTGAGAGGATCAATCATGAAATAGATGTGAAGTTCACAAAGGAGTGATTTGAATAAAAACGGAATCAAAATGGGTTTTATATGGGAATCAAAATGGGTTTTATATGGGAATCAAAATGGGTTTTATATGGGAATCAAAATGGGTTTTATATGGGAATCAAAATGGGTTTCATTACAAATTTTTTATGCAGGTCAGTCTGGGTAATTTCCTGGTGAATGATTAAAACAAACCAGCTTCCAGTCTGACTTGTGATACTTCTGGGTTCTGACCACCATCTGATGCAGTTTAATTCTTGATACGTTTCGTTGTATATCGTTCTGAACAAGTCAGTAAGATTTATTATTATGACGAGATCTTTTTACAGGGTTAATAAGATACAGTCCCTGTATAGTCTATCAGTCTAAGGACTAGGCATAATGCAGGTAGTTGATGAAAGTTGTACCATTGTCATCAGCAATGGAAAAAATGAGCAATTTTCAGAGCTACCAAAGGTCTTACTTCTCTGTTAACCCACCTTTTCATTACTCAAGTTGGACTGTATGAATTTTTAACCATTCCCAACTACTGGTACTGTACCTAGATACAGTATTCTGACTCCTGAATACATTTTGCTTTGAAACTTGCAGAGGTCACTTTTGGTAATTGTTTCCTCTTTAAGGAACACATAGAAGATTTTTGTGTTTGTGATTTCCTTGTGGGTCTAATGAAGGTCTTGAGAGATGGCTGCTCAAGCTGAGGACAAAGTATGTGACTTTTACAAAGTTCTCTTCCTAACACAAAGACCTCTTCTGTGACCTCTGTTGTTCTAATAAGTCCAGGTTACGGAGTAAGACTCGTAACTTCGAAACCTACTTCTGAACGTTGTTTTCGAGTTAGTTTTATTTCTGCTGGTCATCAGGTTAGATTTTGCAGATTATCCTGCCTGAAAGTTCACATATTTCACTGATATAATTCTATGCAAGGTTCCTGATGTATATACTGCCATGTGTATAGCAGGGATACAGTAGGACATACATTTACATCATTGTAATTCATTCCTGATGACTAATCATATATAGACAATGTTCAAATTGACCTGCTGTATTATGAGGGACACCATATGTTGATGTCAGACAGAAACTAACCCTGTCTGGTCTAAATTAACCTGCATGTTCATCTAATAAAATTGAATTTAAAATGCGCTTGTACAGAAATATTTCCAGCAACAAAATTGGGGTAAGTCAGTTTTCAAAAATATGTTCACTTTTTGATAATATGAAAATAATGCTGAGAAACAAAATTTAAATTTAAAATAATGGAAACTGAATACTGTGTATTTTTGTCTTATCTGCTGCAGAACATCAATTAAATTGCATGATGAACAAACCTCTGAGAGTACAAAGAATTGGAATATTCCACAATTTAATTCAGTAAATCATTAACTACTGTTCTCAGCTCAGGTGCATACATGAATATTGTATTAGAATCCCAATTGCTTTTTGCAGTATTAAATTAATTCAAGATAACTGAAGAATGTCTAAAAAAATGCCTCTGGCTTTAATATAATTTGTCAATAGCATTAGAGTCATGCAAGCATATTTCTTTAAATTTCTCAGGATTTAATTAGAATTGCTTTTTGCCCTGCACATGCCATTATGACTTGAATCTTGTATCATCATCATTGTAACTGTTGCATTCTCAACATAACTGTTTGTAACAACAGTCACCAGCACTACATAAGAATGAAAAGAATGGCTGTGGATCAAAGGTTAGTGGAAGCAAAATGCAGATTCAGCCCAGGACAAGGGCCAGGAATTCTTGGTAGAATCCCTAATTAAATTTAGGTTAAATTTTCAAATTGGCCCAACAATTGTTCAAGATTTTAAGAATGAATTCAAGTCACAAAAAACCTCTTAGCAAGCTCTGGACTTTTTTGAATACACAACTGTTTCTGATGATAGCTCAATACAGACTGGTAAAAAATTAGGAATTAAAAAGGGTTTTTATTGATTATTGTGACTGGCCTTGATCCAGTTCTCCACTTTGGATCAGGCGATTTTATAGAGGCCTGGGATTGGCCAGGAAAAGTCAAGTCTAATACAATGCTGGGAACAGAATCTCAGAGAACATAAGCTCTTATTGAAGTTTTGCAGTTTTTCCTGGGGCTCTCAGAGTTTATCCTTCCACCCCATTGCAGTACTGTATTTCCTGCCTTGATTTATGAGGCGCTCAGCACACTGGGGTGGCGGGTCCCCAACTATAACTGAATGCTGTTTAATTGAATCTACAGTATTTTATTTAATTTTTTACAAAATGCAGCAGCGAAGGACTCAATGCACTACTTCCAGCAGTGTGTATTTATGCATCAGAATTTGACAATGGAAAATGTGGAATTTTAGTTTTAAAATACTGTACACTATTCTCATATCAAAATATGCTTACAGTTGGTACCTCACAATTTGACCTCCCGCAATTTGACTTGTGCTTATAATTTTTTGAGCTTCTGTTTTTGAATTTCATGGAGCGTCTTGCAATAATTCAACTGATTTTCAATTTTACCCTAGTTTGGCAATGGATTTGGTACGAATTGCAAGGTACCACCTTTGCTGCTGAATATTAAGAAAATGATGTGTTTATTGGGTAATATAAGGTGTAGTCCAAGTGCACAGGCGGTAAAAGCTCCTCTCTTCACCTGGAATTACGCACATACAACTACTCTCGGGGGAACCTCTGCCCAATGAAACTGCGGACGAAGTCCACGTGCGCACTTGTGTTTGATGACATTATGTGCAAGTACAAACCGGAAATCCGGTTCAGCTTGGTCACACTGGACTACACTGCGAGGGGAAACTATCCCTTCCGGAAAGCCTATGCAGAGCCTCAAACCAAAACACCTCTGGTTTGTTCGTCAAAAAATTCCCGAGTGTCACATATGAGCTGGTATACTTTAAATATACTGTGGTGTATATTATATGCACTCATTAATAACTGCTCAATTGCAATAGATGATCTGAAAATTTTGTGAGACCCCTAAAAAAAAAGTATATCAAAGGCAGAAAAAACCTGCTGGTGCAGGGAATTATTTATTCAGTGCATTATTGGAATCAATTCATCCCACTCTTGCTGGTGACTCATACACAAGAAAGCCATTTCAAGTAATGAGTGATTTCAGTTTAATCATTTGCTGATTCCACCCCTGCATGCAGTCTCTAAAGTAAAGTTGTTGATGAGTTTCCTTTAAAAAAAAACTCCCATTCAGTCTTTTTTTCTTTTTTGGGTATAACCCATTTTGTGATTTTTTTACACCCCCAAATGAGTGCAATCCATTTTTATGCTCCTTTAGATCTGCCACAGTCTGTACCAGCAGTGTTCCTCAACCAGGGTCAGCAAATGTTTTTGGCTGGTCCATGGGAAATTTTCTCAAGCATATGATATATCTATCAAAACTATCTATAAAGGATGTTGCAGTATCTTTATCTGATTTTTTGAAAAGGAAATTGCAGTTAAAATTATTTCATGAAAAATTAAAGTTGGCTTTTCTCTTATAATAACACTTCAGACAAATTTTCACCAGATGAAATAAATTATTATAATTTTTTATTATAATAAATTTTCTAAGCTCACCTTTCTAATTTTTTAAAGACATTTCCACCATATAGCTGCTTCATTGGTTCTTACCTTAAGTTTTTCACAAAAAAGCCAAAACTTTTCCAATTTACCTGCCAAAAAGTATTTAACGTAAAACTTTTTGAGTGCGCAAAAATTTGTTCTGCCTGTCATTTTTTTAAATTTGCCAGTCTGCAAGAAACTTTCTGGAAATTTGCTGGTCCATGGGCCTAAAAAAGGTTGGGGAACACTGGTCTATAGTATTTTCTGGTTATACAGATGGTGCTCTGCAATTTGAACCAAATCCTTTGCCAGCAGGCAAGGGTCAAATTGCAAGCCAATGCCAAATTTAATGTTTTCTACACAGACTTTGACATTTTGAGTCTTATCTGTAAGTTGAAATGTGGGGCAGGAGGTCAAATAGCAAGTCAATGTTCCATCAAATTTGACTGTTAAATTGCAGGACATTGAATTGCAAGGTACAGTACTCTAGCTGTAGCAAATTGGAATTCTTAGATTCACTTTGATAATAGTCATACATTTTTCTGATGAGTTATTTCTATACAGTAATCATGAACATGAATTTGTACCCCTGGGGAAAATAAATTTATTCCTAAGGTTTAAAATGACCAACAGCTGACTGTTTTAAAAGTCAAGCATCAATTTCTGAAAATGATAACAATTTTTCTAGATCAAATACAGTGATGGTTTGCAAGTATTTGAAGGAACAATCTATCTTGAATAATTGTACATTTAATGTTGAGCTTTCATCATTCTGAAGTAATTTTACTTATCAGTATATTTCTGTAACCATTTTTTACACACTGAGGTACTCTGAACTTTTATTGAAATAGGGTTGTGAAAAATATATTTTACACCAGGTCAAGTTCAAGAATAACCCTGAAGTGTTATTAATTATCTCATATATATATGTGACCAGATGTGAATTTCTGCCAATCATTGGTTTAAGGGTCCGTGGGGATTCAAATACAGAACTGTGACAAATATAGACCTCTTGGAAGAAGTTGGTTGCAAAGCGGTTGCCAGAGCAGCTGTGGAAATCATTGTAAATGATTTTAAAGGTGGAAGAAATAAGACGGACAACATCCCTTACAAACCAAGCATTGGTATATGATTACATTTTCCACACATATATGTTTTTGTCAGAGTTGAAGTGTGATATATGTTTTGATGTGTGTTTGCAGAGCTGTGCAATGTTGTTCCTGGAGATGATTTTTCTGCATTGGCCTCTGAAGCAAATTTCAGAGTAATGAATGAAGCTCAACTAATTTCTTCAACTTACCAGGTACAGTAATTTTTCATTACTTTGGAAGAGTGATCAGCAGTGTGCAGACATTTTTAAAGAGAGGAACACTTACACAACATTCTATCCAATATTATTAGAATAGTTTTCATGTGCATTACAAAATGGCTATAACAGGAATAGTAACAAAATTTGTCAAATGCACTTGTCCCAATTTGGATTCCTGCCTTTGAAAGGAAGAATCTTGAATCAATACTTATTTAATGCCCAGCAATGGGGTTTAAAAAGTGTCATTCAGAATAAAATCACATTTCTATAATAAACATGCTGGATATGAGTGTTGATGATTGGGAGGTTTGTATTCTGATTTCTGCTGGAAAATATCATCATTTAGCTTAACATACTTATCTGATATGGAAAAACTCAGATCAACATTGTTATTTTGATGATTAGAAATCAGAGTTTTCATGCACAGTAAATTCAATGGGAGAAACCTGCCAACATGAATTAATTTTTATGGTCTCTGTAGGAAATTTTTTGTGTGATGAACTTTCACTTCCAAAGTGGATCCCCATGCTGATGGTTTCAAAAAAATGCTGTCCATGGTAATATAGTAGTTATTCTTTAAAAACTACAGCTTTCTCAAAAATGTAAGAAGTAGGATTTTTGTAGAATGAATCTACTCACCATTAATTTCATACAACCTCATTCACAGCTCTTGAAATGTTAGGGAAATAAAATTGAAGATTTTACTAACTAGATTTTTCAACTAACTATTTTAACAGCCTTCTAGAGTGATCCTTCAGCGAGAGCACCGTCTGTTATTTCATGACGTGATGACAGATGTGAAGCAAAGAATGCTGATTGCACTTGCGAAAATCTTGAACAGCGTAGCTGATGGACCTCCATTAGAAATCCTGTGTGATGACGACCTGTATGAAGAGGGCGAAGAAGGGTAAACTATTTCTTCTCTTTTTAATCATTTTGCCCCCCCCCCCCCCATATTTTTTTCTTAGTGGAAGACATACTGAATATTTTATTTTTTGATCAATATTTAGATGACTGACATAGAATTGTGCAGCAGAAAATTGTATTTGATTATCATCGCATATCTTTCAAGGCAGAAATTTTTAATTTGCAACACAAGGTATTACAATATTTATTGTATATGTAATATATGCATTAGCCCGAGTGGGGAGCTATTTTTGCTGTGACCCCACAAGTAGGTGCACACCAGGGTCATAACTGATGCATATGGGATATTCTGGGGTTACAACTGTGAACTCCTGTGGAGGAAATTTTGCTACCATTCCAGGGTTACACTTGGTGCACAAATGTGAAATAACAGGAGCATCACACAAATGCACCAACTGTAGCCATGGTGTAACTTATTTGTTTAAAAATGTGACCCTGAGTAATCCTGGTGTGAACACGCAATTGGTGCACATTGGGGATATGCATGTGCAACAGAAGAACTTTGGTACGCTTCATGTGCACAGCAGGGTCACTGTGTAGAATTACCAACAAATCTCCAGTGTGTACCAATTTCCCCCCTTATGGGAGGTTGTTACTGTTACTGTGACAATGTACCAATTTGAGGAGAGCAAATTCAAAATTTTCTTTCAAGTTTGAAAATCTAAGATTATTGATCATCAATGTCTCTAACTATATATTCTCAAGTTGAATTCATTGGGATTCAAGTGAATGTTGAAATTTATTTGCTTCCTACTTTGATTTATAGTTCTTCAAACTTTTCTGCATTCTAACCAAAGAAGGTGTGCATTGTCTCCTCAGAACTGTTGTGAAAAAGACTGTTTCCATTGAAAGTTCAATTTCCTCATGCATATGATATCTTCTGTGAGACAAACCCAAGCAGTCTACTGTGGGAGCAAGCTCCTCTGGAAAAACTTTGTTACATTTTATAAAAGTTATTGGAAAAATAATGTATGAACTGTATGTATAATGTATAACTGTATGAACTGTTTGAAAACCTCTTGAAAGAATATTCAAAGTACATTAATGAGTTACAATGTAATCTGTTGAATGGTTTTTTTTTTGAAGTTGATGCATTTTTCACCGTTTTGCAGGTGGGCAGAACCAGGTGACAAGTGCTGGTGGATGGCCTTGGAAGAAGCCCTAGCAGAAGGCCCTATTTTTGAGGAATCTGATGAGGCCTGTGCTTGCACCAACCCTGGGGGTGATAATGGAGCCCATGCACCACCAGATGGCGATGAGCCTCAACAGCTTCAAGCCAAGGCCGCAGCGGTGAAACTCAACCAGATCAACCAGCATTTATTCGGGTTCTTCAATTGTGTCCTGAATCTCACTAGATCCGGTGTCCTGCACACAAGGACCCACGCAGTATGATGGCTGTTCCTATATATATTTGCGTGGTTAAAATAGCGACATCACTATTGTATATAGTGCTGACACTGAATCCAGTTCACCTTCCTACCTCGTATGTATAGGTTCAGAAATCGATCAAGTCGGTGTTGAGTGTTGCCGACCGCGTGTATCGACTGTTGGGTCCCAAATTGCCGACTTACCAGAAGGGACCCTTGTATATCAGAGACCCGGATAGGTTTTTTGTGGAGCACCTGGAAGTGTTTGTTGGGATCCTGGGAACTGCTTTGGTTTTGTCAACGAGCGCATTTCCCTGCGCTGCGCAGGACCTGGTGCTTGCCACTGATCATAAAATCATCATCACCAACCTCAAGTTTGCTGGGGTTTTCAGACAAGTATAACTGTTGTATTTTTTTTTACTTTTGTTTATACTGCTGCAAATAATGAGTTACATGCAGTTAGTAATTATCAAAATAAGTTCCCTATAATTTGTTGAAATACATGTGAGAATTATTTGAAGGATAAATATTTTTAAGGGACCCCTAGCTTCTTTATTCTTTTTTATCATGTTTTTTGAAGCTTCAAGAAATAACTGGGATTCCAAGAAAAAATAGCTGACCTTTAAAATCCGTTGAGACTGTATTTTATGGCAAAATTTGATCTGTATGTATATACAGTGCAGTATATGAATTGACTTCTAATTTTTTGCCTGTTTTTTTTTAGACATTGGAGCGAATGTTGGAGTCCCCACCAAAAACCCTGATATCAAAGCAGCTGCTCTTGCAAAAGTACAGGTGGGATAACCAAGTTATGCATATATTGTGTTTTGTCAAAATAAGTTAAAGAGTTCATATCTTTACTTTTTTCATTATTTTTTAGCTTATATAATAATAAGGGTAAGACTGGAGTGGGAATATTATGTGGAGAAAATTCGTGAATCAGGATGGGTAAGTTTGCTGTACTATATTGAGTGTAGAAAGGGAAACATTATTTGGGTATATATGAATAGAAGGAAAGACAAAAATTCAAAGTTCAGAAAATAATGTTTGGAGTGGATAGCCTGGTTTCATCATCTGCCTGGAGTTAGATTTTGTTTGGTTTCAGGACTGACAAACTCTGTTTGTTGAATTTTTTCCTGATCCTCTTATGACTGTTATGAGAAATGCTTTTTAAATATTGTGTTATTTTTTGCAGACATCCAGCAAATGAAGTTATGCTGTACCCAATCATGCAAAGCTTGATTGATTTTAAGAACCTGGTTGAGGCATACTGCCAGGAAAGTGTGCCTATTTTTGTTGAGGAGGACCTTGAAGAAATTGAAGAACTTTTGATTTTCTTCCAACTGACACTGGCTGTTCTCTCAAGGGAAATTGTGGCTTGTTGGATTTATGATGGATTACCTACACGGTTAGTATTGGAAGTTACACTTTTAACTGATGAGAATATAAATAGTATGTTGTATAATAGTGTGCCTAAGTGTAGGGATTTTTTTGGGTGAAGTCTTTAATTTATTTTATGGTCATATTTTAGAAAAAAAAAGGGCTGGTTAGTTTGGTGCAGAGATGCCTCTGTTATGAATGTACTCAATGTATTTCATATGGATAGGTATATATTCCAGCATTATCCCTGGCTTATTATCAGGATTATATTTGCTATAGAGCAGTGTGTTCCCAAACCTGTGGTTAGCGCCAGTGTCAGTCCCTGGAAGTTTTTTTGCTGGCCTGTGGGAAATTTTCTTCAGCATAATGAATGCATCAGAAGTAGCAAGGAAGTCTGTTATCTTTAACAGAAATTTTTGGAAAGACAATGGCTGTTGAAATTATATATGATTGAAAATAAAAAATTATACAAGGCTTCAGACAAATAATAATCTTCCAAAATTAATTATTTTAATTTTTCATTCTGAGCAACCTTTCTTCAAGCTCATCTTTCTAATTTTTAAAAGACACTCCTCTGAAGCTGTGGCATTGTTTTATCTTGACTTAATCTATGTAAAGAAAACATTAACTTTTCAAAGAGCTGCAATGAAGTCTTTCAAGCAAAACATTTTTTGTCTGCTAAAATTTCATGGAAATTTGCTAGTCTGCTGCGGGCCCAAAGTTGGGGAACACGGTACTAGATGATTTATTTATGGCTGTCGTTTTATGTACTGTAATAGGTGATACAGTACTTATTTTTATAACTTTCTCATTTGATGCATACCGCTTCTTCAAGGTATCAAACCTTGTTGGACGACTTTCCCCACCTCATAGCCTATGACCCGGAAGGTGATCCCAGGGAAAAGCAACTTCCTCCACCTGAACTCAAGAGGAACAGAGCAGACGCCCCGAGGCGCCTCCGGGAATTCGTCAGCTTCACCGAAGATGAGTCGGCCTTCGTGGCGCCACTGGCCAAGATGGCGGGGCGCCTGGAGCGGTCTTCTGGCGCGTCGCGCGACGTGGTCGACTTGCGCGACGACGAAAGCAGCGACATCTTTGGCGGCCAGCAACAGCAGGATAAAATGAGCAAGCCTGTGGAAACTGCGGCGGAGATCTTTGCCACCCTGCCTGGCTTTAACCAGCTGGCTGAGCAGCTCGGTGTGGACTTGGAGAAGCCCAAATTGCAGGAACGGGACGAGACTTATGAATGGGAGATCAATGCTGATTGCGGATCATACGCACCCAAAGGCGATGATGACCCGTTAGTACTATACAGCAGTACACTACTTAACAGTATATCTAAATAATTAGGTTTATGCCCCTAGAAAATGTTGTAGTGGAGGGGGAGATAGAGTTTACGAAAACCCTTTTCACTGAATGAGCTGCATGAATTTATCCAGTGGACTAGAAATTTTTTCAAAATGACAAATTCAAGAAGGGTCTAAATCTAAAACTTTTTTGGCAAGTTAAAAAATTCCAGATGAATGCTGGATGAGAATTTTTTGGGAATATATGGACAAGAAATTTTTCTGAGTGAGGTAAAAAAAATGTTTTCACAGTTAACTAAAAATGTTTTTAGAGTGAATAAAGACGTTTTCAGATTAAACAAAAAATTTTCGTAGTGGAATAAGAATTCTATCAGATAAATATAAAAGTAGATAATTCGCAAAGTGTGAATTAGAAAATTTTCTCTGTGGGCTGAAGACATTTAAAGGTAATTTTCTGTTGGACTTCGCTGAGTCAAAACCTGCCTATAATTTGAATTTCCAGTTCATCCATCGTCAATTTCCTCAAGTCCGATGCAAACTTTAAAACGTCCTTATACTGTAATACTAAAAACTTTTTGGGTTAAACCTTGTCTAGTCAAATGTTAATTATCTTTTTATGAAACGTCCTTAATTTTAGAAGATTAGGCGTATATACTGTAATACTGTGCATGAATAATGGACAGTTCTAATAAATTTGCTAGAAAATAATTTCCAATGATCAACCTCCTTTAATGGATACAATTTGCTGACTAAAAGCTATCATATAGTTGCATTTTTGGAGTACCTTTAGAACTTGACAAAGGCTCACTGCACATTTTTCTTGCAAAATAATGAAAAAGCAAAAATAGGAAATGACCATTTTGTGAAGACTGAAGAGCAGACACATCACTGGTTACCCTTGTACCCCAAGATTCATATATACTCTCTATAAGGTTTATTTTATTGTGTTGATGAAGTTATATGCCCAATGAATGTTATGTAAAGGCAAGAGCTTAATAAACTGTCAACATTGTAAGGCACAATAAATAATACCTTCTTCAGTGATGTCTCTTAGGAGAAAATAAAAATAAAGACAGGAAGCAATGGAAAGAACAGCATTCTCAGCAATGCCGTTGGTGTAATGAGGTTCATTTATATTTGAAATAGCCTGTTAAGTCCAAAATGCAGCAAATTTTAAGAGTGAATACACAGTTATAACATTCTAAGGGATCAAGGAAAAATAAAGACAGACGACTGGAGACAGGGCCAATTCAAGATAGGTCCAGTTTGAGACAGGGCCAATAATTTGGAACAGAAACTTTTGGAGAATCTTGAGACAAGGACTATTTGAGACAGAAGCATTATATCCTTGCTTTTATTCCTCTTTTGGTCCATTGTCATATACACTTTGATGCCCATAAAAAACATCAGAACATTCTTTATCATTTTACTATATATTGGCAGAGTTAAACTGCACAAAATATTCTCTCATTCTCAAGAAAAATTGCACACAATTATATGCATAATACCTTGTACTGTATAGAAAAAAATCCATAGCACACAAGTATTATAATGGAATATTTCTAAAAAAAAGCATATTTCAAATTTTTAAAAGATTGTAAAATTCCCCAATATAAAATATAAAATTCCCCAAGATCCACAAAGAATCTTGGGTAAACCAGAAAATTAGGTTTAAAAGAAAACAAAACTTGAATGTGCGGAGTTACTTTGGAATTGTCCCTCTCTCATATGGTCCTTGTCTCTAAATGTCCATGTCTCCCATTGTCTGAGTCTCTAAAAGTTTCTGTCTGAAATTGTCCATGTCTCAAATGTCTTGATTTGTCTGTATCCCCATTTTAAGGCATTAATAAGTGATACCCTTTTTCCTGCCAACTATTTTATCTGCAAAAAAATCAAATGGAAACAGGAAGCAATGGAGTGAACAGCAGAAACAGCAGCAGCGAGTGGCTTCCCAGCTACTGACCGAACCCGTGCAGGCAGTGGGAGCCACGATTGACGTGTTGAAAACATTCCCGGCCTCTATGCTTAACAAGGCGTCAGCAGCTGTGGACAGGTTCCCTGCCAACACACCGGGTGCCTTCAACACCAGACATGCTGACCTTGGTGAGGCCTTCATGACGCGCAAAACAGTGCTGGACACTAGGATGAATCGGCGAATGGCACCGAAACGAACCCAGTTGGGTGTTGCTTGCAGTGACCAAAAAATCAAGGCCCATCAGAAATAAAGGGCGATATAGGTGTAGTGCGCCGGAGAAATCTCCGTGTGGGAACAATAAGCAGGATGAGATTTTGCTTTATTCGACTTCTTTTTTATTTAACGGCGCGTTTTATTCATCGCTTTTTTGTGCGTCTCTTTTTTTCTGAAATGTAATGCTTTGAGCTCTAGGGAAATAATGGATGCTGAGAATTGCTCATATACTGTATCTGCAAACTTTTGCAATAACTGTACGTGTTAAGTGCGGTTATCTCGTCATTGCCGCGTGAGCTCTTGTTTTCTGACAGGTGTCACTGCTGTTTTTGAGAATGACCATGTGGACAATATAAATAATGTACCTGCTGCATGGATGCTCAGCAGTCACTTTTTTCTATAATTTTACTGTACTGTACTTTTACATCCATTCTGTCAATAATTGATTTTTGGAATATGGTTTTTATAGTACAAACATGCACACAGAGAGAGAGAAAGAGGTTGTGGAAATCTCTAAATCACTGCTATTGAACTGAAGATTGCCAGATTTGAAATAACTACTTGAGACATACTTGCACAGCACAGCAACTGTTTTACAGCAACTGTATTTACTGTAGTACTGCAAAGGAAGTTGTTCAGAAAAGCAGACAGTGGCATCTATATGAATGGATGTCTCAGAAATGATTTTCGTTCATATTGCCCTTTTCAACGTTTATGTATAATTTTCTTCCTTGTGGGTTATTGAGCAAGTTCACGTTGTTCAATTATTAAGTGCGCCGTTGAGTGTGTGTAATATTGTTCTGCACGCTTGTGATGTAAAGCTGAAAGTACTCACTGGATATGGACGGAAGCATGGTGAAGCCTGGGATTCCCATGCGAACGTGGGAATTTCCGGTCGTTGTCCTGTATTACGATGATCACTGACTTCGCCGCATTTCCGGCGTTTGTTATTCTGGAAAAATTTTGTGCGAGTCTAGTGCCGCGCGTTAGACAATGCTTTGGTTCCCCCCGAAAGCGTGATTTTTTTTGTCTATCCCATGCGGGTTGTTCCGTGTATATAGTTAATATATACCCTTCTTCAATATCTTGTGGTTCATTAATATTTTACAGGGGAAATTCGGCTTGTAAGATCATGGCCGAACTTTTCGCTGATGCACCTTTAGCGACGTGCGAATCGGACATAGAAGATTGGTCCGATTTCGGTGAATTTCAGAATTCTAATGTTCCCGATGAAGCAGATCTGCTCAACGGGAATGCCACTCCTCTGCGCAACCATAAAAGTGACAAAATACAGCCTAGAGGCAGAAAGATCAATGAGCCAGACAATTTCACGGAATCTTTCTCCGCCTCTCTGGAAGATCTTGTCAATACATTTGATGAGAAAGTCACGAAGTGCTTCTTCAACTTCGAAGAAAATGTTGAAAAATTTGCACCAGTGCAAGTTCGCAGTCAAGACGAAGTGATGAATGATTGCCAGTAAGTTCGCTAAACCTGCTATATCGATGTTTTCCGTGTTATTGTGGTAATGTCTTGTTTCAGAATGTGGTGGACGATAACTGGGAATTACGGCAACATTCTACCGATTGATTGGTCGAAATCCGTTGCAAGAGACATGCACATGCCGGCTTTGAATGTTGGAACACGTGATGATAATGATAACCTCGAAGCAATGCGTTCTGGACTGCGTAGAAAAGGCAGTGGAAACGGAAATCGGGACGAGGATTTCAGCAGCGAGGATGAAGCAGTCGCATCCGATCTGGATATGCATGCCTTGATTCTTTCCGGCCTGCCCTCTGCTAACCAGGAGCCCATTAAGGGGGCCGATGAAGTCCTCAAAGAAATTGACGACATGATGGAGGTACTGTCTTTTTGTGCCCATGTAAGACGCTTATTCCTCTTCTGACGAATTTTAATCAAGAGATCAGGATGCTGCGTAGAACAGCAGTATCTGGCGTATATCATTTGCATGCGAATTATGTGTTCAAGTGTCAGCAGAAAAGTTTTTGCGTGCATTTGAAAGCATGGCATTAACTCAGGGAAAACATTCCAGCCGCTGACGATAAATGTAAGATACAGTATTGTCTCAACTTCGTCGAGAAAACTACATTTCACGTGTTGAGCATGAAGGCATCTAGGATTTTTCTGAATTAATTATTTTCATTCAAATTTACACGCGGTATTCAGAATATTTCTTGGAACTGTACAGTATATCGACTCATAATTGAAAAGAGGCTCCAGAGTTCCTTGGAGAGCTTTTGGAGACGCTTCTTAGATACCTCCTTAACATTCATCACTTTCAGGGCTGGAGCGTTTAGGCTTATTTGATTTTAAATGACAAATGATAACGTAGGAATGATTGGCGGTATCGTGGGATTTTCACTTTTCGTCCGTATTTGAACGACTTCGGTCTATATTTTGAATATTTTAGAATGGAGTCAGCGATGAAAGCGGCGTTGATTCAGAGTCACGAGGATCTGAGGTCGGGGACGTATTCTCTTCTCCCGTGGTTCATCATCTTCGCAAAGACAGTGAGCATGAGTTAATTTATTGAATCTAAATTTCAAGATTTATGATATTGTTGTCTTCACAGAATTGGAAATGTTGACTCAACGGGAGTTGAACGATCTGTACACGGAGATCGAAATGGAAATCAGAGAACTGAGCGAAAGTTTGATTGCGGAGTTGGCCCTACGAGACGAGCTTGAATATGAAAAGGAGCTAAAAAATCAGTTCATTGCCTTAATGGTGTCCATTCAGAACAAGAAGCGCCATTTAAGCACTTCTTCCCACCATCGACGCACGCAAAAGGGGGTGGATAAAACGACTGAAACTAAAACAACCGCTTTGTCGGCGAAGTTTCGTGGAACGAATGATCCGAAGGTTTGGATTTTTTCTCAAATATATTCCAACCGAGGTTTAATAATTTCCGTATTCGTTCGTTCGCTGAAACAGTTTTGTTTTTGTTTTTTAGTATCTCACAACTATCATACCTTATCACACTGGATCGGGACCACCGGATTCGAATTCTTTGCAGATATTGATTAAAAGTGAGTTTTTTCTTGGCAGCGTTTGGTAGCCTTTCGTTCTTTTGATTCGATTAATGTGAAAGGATCAGATGGAGCGCCGTGAGATTATTCAAGAAAATTATTTCGGTTATTTTGCTAAACATAAGGAAAGATGAACGGCGCTCTTTGTCAGATTTTTTATGTGCATTTTTTTCTTGAAGTTGCTGCCTAAATGCGGAGTGCTGTGTGTAAACTTTCATCTCCGAACCTTAGTCGTGTCTTGAGTAAGAACTTCTAAATGATGTCATATTCTTCCTTGGTTTGCAGTACTGCGGGCAATCGACGAAGACAGCCCTGCAGTTCCCGCTCTGTTGACCGACTACATTTTGAAAGGTCAGTAAATGCCATCATGGCGACGCAACATTTTTTTCTGATCAACTGACAGAAAAATTCAATTTCCAGTTCTGTGCCCCTGAGCTATGCCGAAAGAATTCGGTATTCTATTTTCTGGTTGCCCTGGAAAAGATCCGGTACACGTTCAGGAATATCTTCCTTCAGCTGTAGAGACAATATCAGCTTGGCATCATCATGTTTCTCTCCTTTCAAGCACATCGTTCCGAAGTTTGCTGTCTCGTGTTGCACTTCGGTCGTGTGAGTTTCCCGACTTGAACTGTTTTTGTTTCGGTTCAAGTGGGTGCTTGCGCGCAAATGCTTGACCACGAGACTCTCGGCTGGGCTTTTCTTTTTTGAATGGGGGGCATGCGTGCGATTGAATTATCCTTCATCCCATGTTTCGCTTCGTTAGACTTCACGAGGTTAGTCTTCATCTTTTTTTCTTCTTTCTTGTCCTCTCACTGAGGTCCAAGGGAATCTGACATTTATTTATGGCTTTTTGTCACGGTCTGGAGGTTTTAATCCCGAGGGAGTGCGTATTCATGCGCTAACGCGTGTGGTGAATGTTGAATTGCGGATTAATTTTTTTGAAACCCGCGCGACTTTATAGATGCCAATTCTCTGGGGTACTGCGTTTTCTGCGAGTAGATCGTGTGTGGATTTCAGGCCCTGATGTGAGAGTGTCAGTTTATTGCTGAAAACGAGGTTTTATGTGCGGTTACCGTATTTAGGCGAATTTGAGAGCCATTCTGACTCTAAGTAAATAAGAGTGTGTCTAGAAGTTGGATTTCGAATGCTTATTCTGGCGATGGTTCAAAAAGTCGCACGTTTTGAAATTATTGATATCGAACGATAATTTAATAGCCCATTTTTTTTTTTTTTACGTCTGAGTATGATTTCAAAGCATAATCAGGGTTGAATGCTATGGTTTTTCGGTTAACAAACTAACAAACGTAATCTATTCCATTGTGAAGTACCGTACATAATCGATAAGAATTTTCATTGAGTAATGTTGGTGCATTACTGCATTTATCTTCGTAGAAAGGTGAATTGATTCCAGGCCCAAAAAAAGTCCCTTAACTGAGTACTGTCCTGGAAAATCCATTCCAGATCCCTTTAAAGTGTATTCCTTCATTTTCAACATGAATTAGTGAATAAATATTGTAGCTGCTCACGGAAACGTGCAACGAAAACGCGAAAAACGAATGAAAGCATATGTTCAATTCAATCGAGCTTTGTCTAGAAGTGTTTATCAAAAATGAAAAACATCATGCTGGCAGCCAACTTGGCAACTTCCATTTTTCAAGAAAATTCATTTTCGAACAGTCCATACTGTCCGAAGGAGGGTCCATTATCTGGGGCCAAAATCAGTGGCAGTTCACTTCAATAGTGAGTGAAATGCATCATTCGAAGCCATTCATTATCCAAGGTACGTAGGAAAATTACGATTCGAAGTGCACACGTGAAAAAGCGTCTGGTGACTTCTTAATCAGATTTTTTTTTGTGCGTGAAAGTTATCTTGAAAGCTTCATTCACTTGCAGATTTTCCAGGTCGAGGTACTAGAATATCAGTTTATATCTTGAAACTGATGGTGTCTTGATTTCGCCTGAATACGGTACTTGAAAAAAGTGAATCGTCTCACCGAAGTACGTCGATGGGTTTTAATTTTGCGATGTTCATTTAAAAATGAATGCAGGAAAGTCGGAAGTCTCTGATTTTTTTTTCTTTTCGTTGATCCGGCAGCTGGAAACTCTCGAGCACATCAATGAAATTCCTGATCTCCGTTGATTTTAATTCGCATTTCGCTTTTTGTTGTGTTATACGAAAACGAGAACTGTTGAAAACCTGTGTTGCTATGCGAAACCAAAGAGTTTGATACTGCCGGACTGTCCAGGTAGATTTTACGTGATGAAGAATTGAATCCTGGTTTCCGCTGTGGTTTTTGTTCAGTATTTTGAGGATTCAGAAGAAAGGGACGAAGTGGTTTGATGAGCGGCATTCGCAAAGATATGATCCCTTTCTTGCGTCGGTATTTGTTTTGTTTCCGTTGTTGATTTGGGGGATTTTATTGTTTCAGCAGTAATTTGTTTTCGACGAGCGTTCAGAAGCTGCTTATGTCTCGTGTAATTGTGTCTAATAAACCCGCCGTGGATTGTTAATTTCTTGTACTCCTTACAATTCAGACCACTGTGGAACCTCCGATATTAAGGCGAAAGATGATATCTTTTCCTGACTTGAAAAGAAAAATTGATCTTAGATAAATGTGCCACGCTCATATATTTCTCTAAATTTGCCGAAAAAATGCGTTAAAACCGAGCGTGAATCCGAATGATAATTGACCTCAAAAAGATAAGCATTTTTGGTTTAAAAAATAAAATGGTGCTAATCTCATTCAAGTGCACGTAGTACATGAGTAAAACTGATGCATTACGTTTTGCACGTTTCGTCTGAGTTGCATAAATTTTAAAAATTATTCAGTAATTAAACGTTACAAGTTGTAATCTGACATCATTCTAAGTTAATTTTTCCATTTTATAACCATGTTGAATGGTTATTATGATTTGTTGAAGCCTGATTGGAAGATGTTCTAATGTGGGCTCAAAACTGGCGAAATTTTATCATGAGAAATATAGTTTCGTTTGGGATGCGTATGATAATGGCTGTGCAAATAATTTCAGATCCCTTTTTTGTTGGTGATGTCATTGTGGAAGAAGCCAGCAGCGGTGTTGGTAAAGTCGCCGGCAGAACGAGTGAAAGTGAGGAAGCGTTACGAAAAATTTATGTGGAAACATTTGACAACGCTTTGAAACCCGGATGTTGAAGATGCTTAAATTTTTCTTTCTTTTTCAGCAATGGAACACTTTTGCCAGGCAATGGTGGCTTTATGATGCCAAGTGGCAAGATCCTTTCTACTCCGCTCTCACTATTGCAAAATATTTGGCTGGAAGACACAAACCCATATTTTCTCCCGTGTGTGAGTTTTGGAACGTTTGCAATATTTTATGTTTCTTATTCTTCCAAGTCGGAACAACATTTTCGATTGCATTCTCCCAGTGTTTTCGGCTATGTAGCGCATGAAGCTCACTTTTTTCCTGGGTTACTTTTAATTTATGAGTTACGTGAAATTCACGTAGACTAGACGACTAGAGGAAGAGGTGCGTTTTATTTCAAGCATTACTGTATTTCTTCAGTTTTAAATCTCTAACAGTTACTTCGATTTTCTCTGGAATTCGGGTAAACAACAAAATGCTTATACAGTATCTGATTCAGGGTTTGATTACAGGGCAAGAATGATGCAAATAATTTGTCTACCCTTTTCAAATAATGCGCAAAAAATATAAAAGTGATCTTCAGTGTCACTCCGGTTACAGGGAAAATTTAAACTATAAAAATACGTTGTATCCATTTTATTTGAAGTTCATCACATTTTATTATGACGAAATGGTGTTTATTTCTTCTTTGGTTTTCAAGTAATTATTTTCCGGTTTCAGCGGATTGTGGTGACCATGTCGTTGTCATAAACACGAAAGACATTGCCATGCCTGCAGAGGACTGGCGATTCAGAGTGTATTTTCACCATACTGGTTATCCTGGTGGTGCAACTTGGACGCCTGCCTATGATCTCCATAAAAAGGACCCCACCATGGTATAGTTGAAAAATTTTAAAGTTTAATTTGAAGGACCTACAAAAAAAAAACTGTAGATGACAGTTTTTGAGTTGGAGGAATACGGCCTGATTTGTGTGGGCTAATCAAATTAAAAGAAATTTATTTCCTGATGGCGCCAAGAGTTTATAATTCGTAGGTGCCTTACCTGCTGGAACAATTCCTTAAATCCCATGTAGAAGGAACCATTGTAATGCAAAGCTGCATTTGTTCTTTATCTAAAATTTTCCCAGTTTAATAGCACGAAGTAAAGCCAAGTTTTAGTCGAGGCAATTTAAAATGCATTTCTCTTAGAGAATTTAAGTTAAGGAGGTTTGTCTGGAAAAGGTTGGACTGTAACTTCAACAACACATTTCTTCTCGCATAATTTTTCGAAGGTTTAATTTTTCTTGTGCTGCTAATCCTCCCCCGCCCCCCATTTCCCTTATGAAAACTGCTGTGGTTTGATCAATAACTCCAGTGTTGATGGCGCGTTAATTTATGGTGCAGGTGTTGCATAAAGCGGTGTACCGTTCACTGGGCAACAATCTGTGGCGCAGAACGAAAATGGAACGCTTGCACCTGTTCAGCGACGACGAAGTACCAGCTGACGTTATGCAAAATGTATCGAACCAAATTCGGCAGTTGAGGAAAGTGCCGAAAAAGATTGGGGAATACAATGAGGAAGAGCTGGACGAATTTCCCAAGCTTTTTGATCTGCCGAAGGATTACTGCCCGGAGTAAAGTCTTCAAATGTTTAGTGATTTTTTGAAAGTGTTCACGTTGGACCTGTAATGAAGATAATTTGAGCAAAATTGTGGGCATCTTTTACAGAAGCAATTCGTCTATAACTTCCTTTTCAAAAGCATCAAATAACTTTTTTGCTCTTCCATTCAATTATTTCCCAGAATACCTAATAGCGCACAGGTCCCAAATATAGGAGTCGTGGAAGATGGTGGGGAAGTTAATTAGCACTGTTCTTGAATGAATTCAAACTGAGGATTAACGGAGTTGGACTTCGGCTGATTTAGTAAGAACGTAATTTTTTCTGAACGCATAAATTTTACATGAAAATTGAATAACCTCCCATGAATAAATTGAAAAAGATAAATTCACGGTAGGATATTTAATTTTCTAGCAATGTTTTGAATTTCATGCACAAGTGAGGGCAGAACTGTTCGCTGCTCCATTCTTAAAGGATTAGCATCGCGTTTCCCAATGCGATTGAAGGAAATCCAGCGAATCTATAATAACGCAACTCCAATATTGCTTGCATTTAGTGGCCATCAGTGGAACGCTGACTTTGAGGGTTCGATTGGCATTCTAAAGGGAGCACATCATGCTAATGGAAAAAAATGAATGAAAAACTAACCTGGAAAATTTGATAAGTATTTTTCTGTCAAGCCATTCAACAGGACTGCGCAAAGAAAAAAAAGGAAGCGAAATTCGCGCTCATTCCTCATTTGGTCTCTTGAATTTCCAATCTTCCTATTTTCACGGGCGAACTCTTGCCTCAGTTCTTCAATTGCCCCATTCCCAACACCCGGATTCCTCACTCCTCGCCAGATGTACATGGAATAATTCGCGTAACGATCTCAGCATATAACAATGCGAAAAGCAAATGCACACAAAAATTACAAAATCCCACGACAAACTGATTCCAACATCATGAGTTCACGAGTACATAATCGGTCAGCACTTGACAGCGGATGGCTTCGCAACAGAATTGCATGCATTGACTTCGGTTTCCGGCATAGTCATCAATTTTTGGATGAGATGGAAAGCGTCCTTCAGCCGCTTGTACATGTCAATGGTACAACCGTTCTGAGTGATTCCAGAAAACGAAAAGGTTCTGAAGTTATCGCCAGAAGGCAGATACGTCACAGCTTGCATCACCGGGCACAAGATGATCTTCACATGGTCATCGAAGTAGTTCATCTAAAAAATATTCCGAACATAAATGAGTAAACATTGAACAGTTAGCTTCCAACGATAACGCAACAATCTGTGACAATCGTTCTAGAAGATTCGTTGATACAGTATTGAAAGTGCGGCAGACAGGAACATTTCGAACCGGGAAAAAATGTATGTTCTGGATTGTGCCAAGGACCGTACTCATCATTTCAGCGCGTTTCTGCAGCTATTCAGCGTTAATTATTTATCACGTAGCTAATTGATTTAAGAATACACCAGGAACACGTAAAATTGACCTAGAATGGATCAGTCATTCCTGAAAACATCAGATGAGTAAATTACTGACATCTAGAGCCACTCAGCTCTTATGAAACCATAGATAAACATTACTAGATTGGCAGCCTTTCCGCACCCTGGACTTCTCTTCACAGGATTCAATGAAGTCCATCAATTACAACTCAAATGAGATCACATTTGGACCCCCTAACCTTGTACAGTATAGGAATTGACTACCGTATACTTCAGCATCTCATTAGAACGAATTCGTTTTTTAGGAAAACAGAAAAATAGAATCAATGCTATTCGAGTTTCCGTATGACAAATGTTCAATTGTAAGGAAGCTATCTTACTGGTCCCGATGGCCTCATTTCAACGATATTTTAATGTGCCGTATTTCTAATTTATCTTAAAGCCAAATCTGAAATAGTAATATACAGTAAAATCTCGCTCCAACGAAGTAGTTCAGACCCAGAAGTGGCTTTGCTCCAGTAAATAATTCTTCATGAATAATATCAATCAACAGTGTGGCTGTTGGAAAGGGGCCTAAAAGAGAAATAAGCTGTAAGCAATAATTCATTGAACCGAGATTCTACTGTGCACATTTGAGAGAATACGAATGTCTTTGCAAAAAAAAATCTTGCATTACCTGGATTGTCCCGTTACTAAGCATCATCAAAATGCAGCGGTTCGATCGATACCACTGCTGCATGACTGGGTATCTGGCCAGAGCATCGCCGTCACTTTTAACGTGCTTCGCACCAGCTTTGACGAGCCGCTCGTTCATGTAGTCCTTGAAATAATTGATCAACTTCACCTTCTTGGCCAAAGGCTGCGGGTAATTCTCAACGGTATGATACTGTTCCGCCCAATCGCGTCCAACATAATGCAAATCACTGTGGGAAATCATAAGTTCAATGAAAATGAATTTCACAGAAAAAATCTAAATGCTGCAGGGGTTTTCCCCTTGAAAAAATAAAAATCAGTGGATCATCTAAAGAAGACTCAGGCTTATCTTACAGTCCACATTTGAATGAGGACCAAGTAAAGATCGACTTTCTAAAGGCATTGCGGAGAAGTCCTTATGAATGATACTACTTCTAATTGACAACGAATTTCACTTATTCATCGCGACGACTACATGATCAGGACTGACTTAATTCCTATGGGGTATCAAGAGGACAGGAAAGACTCCTGTTTCGATGATAAAACGACATCGAATAATTCTTGAAGTCGATTCAAGAGGGTGGAGAACAAAAAATGTACATCATACACTAACAACAGTCTTAATGAATACAGTACTGTGAGAGGAGAAATACGGTCCAAAAAGAGTGCACTGCTCGAAACTTCAATTCATTCGATATTTGTTCGCGCAGCCTGATAGGATCAACAATTTCAGGATTATTACAAAAATAATGGATATACACAATGAAATAAAATACGAAGAACCCTCTGGTGACGGACCAATTCCGAATACTACAATACTGTATACTGCAATGCTGTTGTCAGAATTGAGCAGCAAAAATTCTGCATGCGCGCAAGTTCAAACCAATAGATGACAAATTAAAGTGGCAAAGAGAAATCATTCCAAGTACAGGTGAACCTTGCTAAGTCAAATTTTTTTCAAGTCCCTGTCTGGATTCCCGTAGAAACAATGTATTAAAAACCTCCGTAACTCGAAATATTTTTCTCTCAAGCCTCTGTAAGTCGAATTTTCTAATGCCTTTTTGTTATCATTTCCTTGAAATAGTGAAGATAAAATCAACAAAATACATTAGTTTACGCGTTTTGAAATAAAGTGAAGGACGAATTGAACAAATGAACCCATGTCTAAAAGTTCAGCAAGCTTTAAACTCATTAAGAAGCAAGATTAAGCACAGAATATCCTTATCTACACTTTCCCATTTTCCTTGGAGCAAAAATATTTGTTTCCTTTACCCCAAATCTCAAAAAATCTAAACCTCCCTGAGTCGAATTTTTATCTGGTCCCTAGAAATTCGACTTAGAGAGGTTCAACTGTATTTACAAAAAAATGGAACTTACGATCCATTCGGGAGGAGGATCAATCTGGTGCGATCGTTGAAGAGCACACCATAGGAATCATCCGACAGCTGGTAACCCAAGCCGTACTTGTCGGAATAGTCGACCCATTTGCTGACCCATACCATGGGAGCGAGAGCAGGGTCCTCAGCGTCATCTACAAAGCATTCCATCCTCTGTCTCAAAAGATCAGAGAATTCCGGGCAGAGACATTAACTTACCCAAGTAGGGAGAGTCTTGACCAAGAGGAACTTTCGGCCTCGAGCTGAAAACATTCTGCAATTGTCCCTGTAGTTGCAACAGCATAGCGCGGTAGAACATTTTCGGAACTTCCGTATCTGGAAACAAGTACAGTAAAATACTGTATTACACATGAGTAAATAAATAAATTAATTTATTTTCCCAGTTAGATAAAACGAGAACAGTAGTACGATTCACGCTCTCCACGCAGAATTCACTAAAGTCAAATCAAGACTACGCAGCAGTTTTCTCCAGGTGCGACGGACAATGAGTTTACGTACAGTTCTCGATCGCCCACCCGGGTGAAGGTAAAACAATTCAACGATCAGAACTTCGATAAGAAAAATATCGCACCACAGGGATTACTCCACGCATTCATCTTTACACGATAACAGGATATGAAAAGTTATTTGAAGCTTGAGACGAACCTTTCAGAGCGGGACCAGCAATCTCCTTCCCAATGGGCCCAGCTTGCTGAACGTCATTCTCCTTGGCATCAATTGCAACGCGTTCGGGAATTGAAGGAGCAATAGGCTTCATGAATCCCTTTTGCGGAATAGCAGTTGGAGCCTTCGGGGCAGGCAGCTTGTTCTGCTGCATCAAAGCTGTTTGGTTCATCAAACTGACCGTATCGCAACGAGGAGCCATTGTCAAACACGACGTTGGCAAACTCTTCGGGAAATACTCTGCGGAAAAAGAAACAGTTTTCAAAAGTTTAAAACGATACACTAAGGTTCATAAAATAGAATAAATAGCCAAGCTAAGGCTTCTTGTACAATCAAACATACAGAAACAGCTGGAATAGCATCCGAGAAGTACACGTAGACCGTGTGAAAATTCAAAAGATAGCCATCGGTGCATCGAATGGGCCCGGAATGACGGCAGATATTTCATTTTGTAAATTTATGAACATTATTGAAGTCAACACTTACCGTTGAGAAAATTTGAAGCAAGGATCTGGGCAATGGTAGGTCGTTCGAAAGGATTATCCTTCAGCATGCGTTTAATCAGGTCCACTGCGGACGGGCAGCCTTTCTCCAAAGTTTCAGGGATGCTATATCTATTCTTTTTTATTCTCGCGTACGTCTCGTTCAACGATTCCGTCTCAAAAGGTGGTTTCCCCACCAATAGAGTGTACAAGATGCAACCCAAAGCCCAGATGTCGACTTCGAAGCCGTGTCCAACTTTCGTCAAAACTTCAGGAGCAATGTAATTTGGTGTACCACACATCGTCCTGAACCATAAATATAAACTTTATAATATCGTTGAAGTGTTCAATCCAAAATAATCAACTTGCATTTTCCTGTCTCCGTTCTTTTCAATTAGTGTGGCGAGACCGAAATCAGCGATTTTCAACTCAAGATCATCATTCAGAAGAAGATTTCCAAGCTTTAAATCCCGATGAACAACACGGCTTTCATGAAGGTACTTCAATGCATCGCACATTTGATGCATGAAGTACCTCGCTTCAGGCTCAGTGACAGTTTTCCGCCGGCGGTGCAACTCCATCAAGGTCTGAGGATACGTAAAAATTATTTCCGGGCAACAGCATTATACAATTCAATCATCACTCACCCGCTTCCGGCAAACCTCCAATACAATGTACACATTTTCCGCGTCTTCGAAATTGCAGTGAAACTTCAGAACGTGTTTGTGATTCAGCGATTTATGAATAGCTATTTCCTGCTTCATCTTCTCCCTCTGGTGTAGCTTTTGAAGTAAAGTTTTCGGCACTATCTTACCAGCAAACGTTTGGTTGGATGCCACGCAAGTCAGCTCATACACACGGGCGAAACCACCCTGTGAAGAATCGTCTATATGTTTGCACGCATATGGATAGAACATGTACGTACCTTGCCAAGAAATTTTCCTCTGCGATAGCTCTTGCCGGTTGCAACGTCTCGGATAATACCATCTGCAGGCAGTTTGGGTTCATCCTTGGCTTTGCTCGACATTATCACGAAGTTATCAAGACACAACAAAATCCGCGAAACACGAGTGAATTGAAATCTGCCGAAAAATAAAGGCACGCTAAAATCATCAAATTTAAAGCGCACTGAACTAAGTCGAGCCGATCTTCCTCCTCTCACACATCAATCAAGCCGTAAAAGAAAACACTTTACGGAAACGTAATCATCATCTTCACGCATCTAGTAAAATACACAGCCCTTCCGCATTTGAATGAACTCAATTCACATAAAACCTTCCTGCATCACAAAACACGGCCACCCTGCTCCGCTCACAAAACCTTCCTCGAATTTGAACGTCCGCGCTTCCGTTAACGCGCTCGGAATAGGGAAACGGGCGCTGATTGGGTAGGCTGCCATGCGATCAGTGATGTCAGAAAACAATTTTTTTGATTCGAGTGACAGAGCAGCCCTGTTCTTGAAGCCACAAATGACGCCGCGCAACCGATCAGCTGCATCAAATCCACCGGCAAGGTTACCAATTTTTTCCCAGAATTGAAGAAAATCTCAACCCCAAAAAAACAAAACGGAATTGAGGAATAGAAAAATTCAGAATATTTCCCATTTTAATAATTTTAAGAATAAAAACACCGTAGTGTTCTTTCAAGCAAAAATAGGATTCTGTGTTTCCTATTTTACAGAACGGAGTTCGGTAACACTGCCTCCATGACAAACACGTGCTTGGTTCCGCGGTCCCCAGACGAAGGTCGCGAATGAGTATTGTGAAGAAACGCCTACAGAGGTTGAGAAGTTCGGCGGTGTGAGGGTATTGAATGATCTGAAGTGAGAATTCGATCGCCCACTCCATCTGAAATGTGTGCGATGAAGCTTACGAGGAAAAATCTTTACCAGTGACGCAGGATGACGAATCATCATCAACACACTTGGTTTGTGGCTTGCGGCAATTTTCCGCTTGCGCGATGCCGCGTTAGGGGTTAGTGAAGAATCATGAAATGCGGAGGTGCAGGGTCTATCACCTGCTGCCTGACTTTGCTTCCAACTTGGTGGCTTCTTCTGAACGATGCCGTCATTTCGGCATCATCTATTTCGGAAGAAGCAAATTCCTTAGAGAGCTGTGATCGATCCCGGGTAATTTTAAAGCAACCTTGGGGAGTCTTCGGAGATGGCCCAGGCAAATATCGCCCGAATACCTATTGTCAATGGCTCATTATTGGTGAGTATTTTAAGTGTTCGTTTTTTGACGGCCTCTTCTAATATAAGTCCATTTTTAGCCAATTCCAGTTCACGGTTTATCCATCTGAGTTTCCGAGAACTGAAGACCGAATGTTCATACGATCATGTATTTGTGCATGATGGGGATTCTGTGGATTCACCGTTATTGGCTGGGTTGAGTGGTGATACCGTCCCGCGTCAGCCGATTGTTGCCTCGTCGGGAAAGGTGAATGAATTTCTACTGCTGCATGTCACGAATTTGGAATAAAATCTCAATTTTCCTCTAGATGCTGGTGCTATTGTTCAGTGACACGAACTATTTCTTGGAGGGATTCAATGCTGAGTACTCCGTCTCAGATTGCATGTTCAATTGTAGCGGCCATGGATTGTGTGCTGACCATGAATGCGTTTGTGATGAGCTGTACTCTGGTGACGCGTGTGAAAATCCACTATGTCCGGACGACTGCGGTGAAGCATTAGGACGTGGTGTATGTGATCTCGACAAAAAGAAGTGCAGATGTTCTGTACACTTTGCTGGGACGGCCTGCGACCTGCCCGCGATCAATGACGACAACGCCCGGTGGATCATGCTTGCAAGAGGGTATCAAGGGTCGGACGCTTTCATGCCATCGACTGCAATGTCGGGAGTTTATTCCACACTTCGAGACACCTTTTACGTCTTCGGGGGGTACGATCTCAACAGTGTGAACGATCAACTATTCGCGTACGATTTCTCCTTCGGTTTATGGGTGGAGATCATTCCTGCGGAACCCAGTAGTGCGTTGCCTTCGCGCAGGAAATACAATGATTTAATAAAGTTTAGTGTGGACAATAACACCGTCAGTGTTAGATTACGCGATACGCGGCAAGTGCGGGAGTACAAGCGGTACTTTCCTCGTGGACGCTTCGGTCATGCAATGGCTTATTTAGAGCCGGATCTCGTTGTGTTGTACGGGGGAGAATTCAGTGACGGATCTCATTCTGATGAATTATGGACGTACAACGTTACATCGAATATTTGGATACTAGTGAACACTACGGGAGTCAAACCACCTCCACTTTCCAAACACACCCTGACGATTGTCGGTGACAACACTCTTTACCTTTTCGGAGGTAGCAAATCGTATGGAGAGTTTTCGTCTGACATGTACCGACTCAACATGTCATGGAATCCGTTGAAGTGGGAACGTGTTCGGTTCCGTGGAGGGAAAGCAGAAGAGTTGCGTCTTGTCGGTCATACGGCAGTGTATTACGCTGCTAGTAATTCGTTGATTGTTTACGGCGGTATTGCTGTAAATCTGGCCAAATTTTCGGTATTGAGTGATAAAATGTTTGTGTTCGACGTTGAAACGAGTTTCTGGAGTGAACTGTCCTATCCGAGGGGTGACCATTATGATCACTTTGTTCCAATGAAACGTGCTTTCCATTCCGCTCAAATAATCGGAAACTTCATGGTTATTTTTGGTGGATACTCGCATCATCACAATCAAGAAGAGAAATGCTATGATGATCGACTCTACTTGTACCATCTCGGCTGTCATACATGGATCAGCCCCTCTGTGTTGAAAACTTCGCAAGATTCCTTAGCTCCTGGTGAGTTTTCGTTGTGACCGTGCCGAAGCCGGTAGATAAATTATGGTGGCGGAAGAAAGATACTGTAGGAGCAAATGCTTTCTAATCGAATTTATCTTTTCAATCGAAGGTTGGTATGAAAAGCTAAAAGTGTATTTCTTTTATATTTTCAGGCGTGTTACCGAGTTGGGTTCCTGTGGGCAGATATTCCCATGCTTCTGCCGTTCGTCTCAACCACACCTTGCTTATAGCTGGTGGCTTTCACGGGAATGTTGACGGAAATTTTATTGCTTTGATATTCCCAACGTCATTCGTGAGCAACGGATCGAAATCAATCGCCAAATGCTCTATGTAAGTTTTAACGATTGAGGAATTTCTAAAAATATTCAAAATTTGATTTTTTTTTCATCTTAGGTACAAAGATCGTGCAGTTTGTTCATCCAATCCCGAGTGCGGCTGGTGCGAACCAGAGATGGTTTGTTTAGACAGAACTGCTGGCGCTAATTGTACCGGAAATTTGCAAAGTAGCCATTGTCCTGGTGAGTAACACCTTCGAATACTGAGTCTCGTGAATTTTTTTTCAAACGTGAACGTTTTTTTCTGTATTAGGAATATGCCCATCGATCACAGATTGCGTCTCATGCATGATTCATCGACGAGACACATTTGATGATCACTCGGTGGCCGGCAAGAAAAAACTGCTGCAGTGTCATTGGTGCGTCCAGAACGCCTATTGTCACGCCAGGCATGGTAAGGCTTTATTTTGTTGCGTGAAATGAGTTTTTATTGTTTTACCTTTAAATGAGCTATTCTTTCATCAATTTCTTTTTATTTTCGGAAAATCTGGCTTTTTTGTATTTAAATTCGTGAGAGCGTGATATTTAATGACAATTATGTTGCTAAAGTACTATTTTATTATGTTTCTGTTCTTCGAAATGTCTTTATTTCACTATATTCTCGTCCGCAGTAATTCTTGTGACCTATTCTAATGCTGTATCGGATTCTGTGATTTAAAATGCAAAATCAAAATGGGACAGATGCGAAAATTCTCATCTACCTCTAATTGAATTATGCGTGGATCTTTTATTCCAGATGTCGGATCCTTGTGCGGAACAGAAGACGAGACGGTTTCCGGCACCACTGGTTGGTGGGGTCCAAAGGGCGACGAAGTTTCGAGCGTGGAAGAATGTGTCCGTAAAGATCGACGACCGGGTTTAACGTTGTTAGTGTACAAGCATCCAAAAGACCTGGATCATCCGGATGAAGTTTCCATTATCAATTCTACAATGGAGACGTTCACCCCGCAGTCGTATTTGCGAGAAACCGGGCCTCCGACGGCGAGGATGTTTGGCTATTTGCATCCCTTGGGAAATAAACCGAGTAGCGGGGAGCCGGATTTGCAGGTTTCCATGAGCGTCGCGAATGCCGTTGGGGTATTGAAAATAGGATCCAACGATTCGAATGCTTCCTTGGTGAGTTCGAAATCTATTATTGTATGAAGTCGAGTTGAAGTAATCTTTGTTTTAACACTTTCCCGGTCTGTATATCGCTATTCAAACCTCATTATCAAATGAATCACGTTTACTGTACCACTTTCACAATTCGGCAATGTTTGTTCAAAATACTGTTGTGAAAATGTGCGAAGTATACAGTATTATCAATGGCATGACATCAGGCATTCCGGAATTGAATTTAAAATAAGTTTCTTGTTTAAGGTAGAGTGAAAGAATATCATTCACGATGACGTCGAGAGAGAATTATAAATTTTGGCTTTTCAAAAGCAGACGAAGTTTCTTCTCTTAAATTTTTTTTTTAAATAGATGTAAGATTCTCGAAGCCCCTGAAGATTTCTTGATGCATATTTCCGAGATGCATCTATTTTCTTGGAAAAATTAGTCGAATTTCAGCACTATATTATTTAGGAGGTGGTCGGCAATCAAACAACCGGTCCAACGAGAGAAGTTGTTCATAGAGTGACTGCTCGGCGTCCCGGCGGAGGACCTATGTTTTCCAACTCCTCACGTGGAAGCCGGTATCTGTTGGACTTCGAAGTTATGCAAAAACCGTCAGGATCCTCAACTTTCAAAATGAGATTGGATTGGAACCAGATATCTGGTTCCGGTTTCGGCATCCCGCGGTTCAATAAGGTTAGTTCATTGTTATGGCATCTCAGTTTCATTCAGATGCATTTTGGGGTTAGAAACATTTTGATCAAGGAATGTGAACCGTAGTGAAAGTGTGGCGATAAGATCCGAAATTCCGTGGAAGAAACGCATATGAAGTGTGGAAGAGGTTAGAATCGTTAGATGGTTCCTTATGCATTAATTTGGGTGTGGCCTATATTAGTGTTGTTTTAAAAATTGATCGAAACGATTCTGTTCTTTTTTTTTAAGTGCCCGAAGAATGAATTATTTTGAACATTTTTGGAGGAAGTGCGTTTTAAATTTCCTTCGAATAAATCCATGTTGAAAGTGTTTTCAATGATGTTAAAACAGCTCTATATTCTCGTAACGCCCGAATTCCAAGTTCCGAAGGTGAACGAACAGCATCCGTGCAGAAGGGTTCATAAATATGACATGTAGCAGGGATTTTCACATCGGAATATCGCAGCCTCGGTAGCGCAGTAGGCAGCGCGTAAGTCTCATAATCTTAAGGTCGTGAGTTCGATCCTCACCCGGGGCACATCTTTTGCAACCTCTCTTCGTAAATCAAGCTGGTATAAACGTTTGTATACTTCACTGTACATTTGAACCTCGATCACTCAAAGCTGCCGAAGTCGATTTTTCGTTGCTGGTACCTTGAAATTTGACTTGGAGAGGTTTAACTCCTTTATTGATGAATTGCGGGGAACATGATTTATCAACCAGAATTTTGGTTGTAAGCATGCGCGTAGTATACGAGTAATTACGGGTAATTTTTTGAAGGCTTATATTTGAAGTGTTTTTATATGCTGTTTATGCAGGAGATAACCTACGAGTTTTTGGAGCCCTACTCCAATGGAAGCTGCAAGAGTTTTCGAAATTGCTTGGCTTGTCTGTCGGACGCGGAATGCGCCTGGTGCGACGCCACGGCCACTTGCCTCCGTCGCAACGATGCCGGCACTGCGCAATGTGGAGAAACGCCGCTGCATCTCGGCGAATTCCTGCGTCTAGATCCGTCTCTATGTCCTTTGTGCTCGGACCACATATCCTGTTTCGCTTGCGTGTCCGCCGGCGCCATCACGGGTCGTCCTTGGTGCGAGTGGCTGGTGGAAGAAGCCACGTGCGTTCGTCGCGGGAAGACCCCGGAATCCTTGATCGCCTCGGGCAACCTCGCCCTCGCTGTTGCCCGGGATTCCACCGAGTGTCCGGTGCCGTGTCACGCGCGCCTCACGTGCACGGATTGTCTGGACTTGCCCGGCAAATGCTCGTGGTGTGCGGCGCGGAAAGAATGCTTTGTGTTTTCCGTCTTCACGTCCCGGTTTCAGTATGCGCAATGCAGAGACTGGACTGATGAAGATGCTGCGCTTCAGCCGCATGAGGACGCTGTTGGTGGACCTATGTTTGGAGGGACTCGGTCCGAGTCGGAGGATAGCAAGTGCCGGAGGTGCGAGACGGCGTGGAATTGTTCGACGTGTTTGAAACGACTTGGTTGTGGTTGGTGCTACAATCAGGACAACCCGACGATCGGGGTATGCGTGGGGGGCGATTTTACTGGCCCACGGCAAGGTAATTTTTTCTATTATTTGGTTAGGTTTCTGCCATCTTGCGAAGAAAACGAACGGAAGTAGGAAGGGCTGTAAGTCAAAAACATGGCCCGCTCGGTTTTATTAAAACGCCTGGCACCCGCAAAGGAGCATTTTTTCTCATTTATATATGAAAAACTTCACATCGAATTTTTGAAATTAATTTGAAGCCGTATTTTATTATATTTTTGTGTGTCAGCATTTTAAGTTTCTTTTGGCGGTATAAAGTACACCCAGAGGGCTCTTTCGTAATCATTCGTGTTGAAAATTTTAAAATGTTCCTTCAGCTTTCAATGTCACACTTTTTTTTCTTCAAATTTTTTGCTGTCGCCTTTTCTTTTTGCTTTGTTATGATGTAATCTATAATTATGACCGAAATTTGTTTGCAGGGACATGCGAAGATTCCATACGACAAGCAAGACGAAATTCTACGATGGAGTTAGCTCCCTCCAGTCGCGGTGATCAGCCAAGTGCCATGGCATTAATTGCGATTGAAGCGAAATCGGCAAAAGAAGATTTGAACGTCACACTTTCTACTGGTTGGGCTTATGATGTGTGTTCAGACGTGGACGAGTGTCGATTGGGTTTGCATGACTGCCACCCGGATGCCGAATGTTTGAATACGCGTGGGCATTTCAGGTACAGGATATAATCAGTGATACTGTAGAAACATAGTGAGAAGGACTGGCGTGTGATACCTTTTTTCCAGTTTTTCAAACTTACGTCGTATCCTCAGCTTTTGTTGTTGAAAAATGATGAACTATGCTTTGGTTTCTAAGTACAGTATATTTCGTTCCCGTTCTTATTTCAAAATTATGTAAAAATGTTGACATTCTAACGAAACGAAGTGTTTTGAAAATATTCCCGTTGGAATTGAAATTTTTGATCTGTGGACGCGCTAGTACTTACGAAACTGAAGTAAAGTACTGTACAGATTTTGACAGTGGTATCAGCTACAGTATTATTAATTTATTATTCAGGTTTTAATTGACGTGCTTGGTCGTTTTTGTGTAGGCTTTTTACGAATGCAATATTGACTTTCAATCTGCTCGTTAGATGCGCTTGTAAGCGAGGATTTGCGGGCGATGGACGCAGTGTGTGCGAGAGAACTTGCTTTGACGAGTGTGTGCACGGGCATTGTTCTGGGGCACCTGAATTCAAGTGTCAGTGTCCTTTGGGATGGACCGGAACGGATTGCTCGCAAGACTGCAAATGTCGTGGCCATTCGACCTGCAAACTTGGAATAGGAATATGCGACGAATGCAAATTCTTAACTAGAGGTACTGTAAAATACAATATGTTGTTTTTTAATTTTCTAAACAAATGGTCGTAATTATTTGTTTGTGAATATTTTGAAACGTGAGGAGGGGACGGAATGTTGTTTCGTAACGAAGGAAGTCGTTAGTTTCAAAACTTCGAAGTTTCGATGTTACTTTTCTTTTGTATTGTACTACAGTCGAACCTCTCTGAGTCGAATTTCAAGGGGCCAGCGAAAAATTCGACATGAGGAGGTTTTGAGTTATGGAGCCAAGCATTTTTGTTATGGGAAACATCGAAGAATTGCAATAAATTGTGAACGGTAGTATTCGGGCCTTGAATTGCTTCTGAAATGCGTTGACAGGATGCTGAACATAGAGGCAGAAATTCTGCCCAATTTAGTCTATAACATCCTTTCAAAACACATCAAATTCCGTTTTTATTGTTTCTTCTTTCCTTGATGTATTCATCATTGTAAAATAATATTCTGCTCTCTCATTTTCACTAAAAGTATTGAATCAATTGTAATAGGATTACTTCAATCTGCTGATTGGGTTTTTTTCTTGTGTTACGGGAGATGCAATGGCAGCTAACTTCGATTTAGTTCAAATGATTTTCCGAATTTTTAAAAGACACGAAAAAAAAAATCTACGTTCGAAATCCAATTGTTGAGGGTCTTCATTGGTTCCTTCGCTGCAATCCGTTGTTTTTGAAAACGTCAATTGTTCATAATTTTATAAAAATTGAAGAAGGCGGGGAAACTTCATCTGAAAGTCGGTTCATCCGTTTTTCGAAACTCAGTCTTTAGATCGAAGTGTTGATCAAACATTTTTGAAATGTTGATGAATTGAAATTTTAAGACGCGTAACGGTTTCTTTAGGTGAATTCTGTGACGAATGCGTTCCGGGCAGTTTCGGAAATGCGTCGTCACTACAAGGGTGTCGAAGATGCTTCTGCAACGGCCACGGTGACGAGGACAAAGGCGTGTGCGACCCAGTTTCAGGGACCTGTTTTTGTCGAGATAACACCGCCGGCAGGGATTGCCATCGATGTAAAGAAGGATTTTATGGGGATCCGAGGTAATTTACCGCTCTTCGATCGATTTCTTGATGTACCGAACTCTTAAATTGTATCTAACATCTCACGGTTTGATTCAAGGCCTTGTATGCGGTTCCTTTATTCAAAAAACCGCGTCATTTTTTTTTTATCGGTTGCATTGTGGTTGAGTGAAACTTTCATGCGATTGTTAATGTTATTATTTTCTCTCTTAGAAATGGTGGATTGTGTTACCGGAAATGTAAGCCGCGAGATTTTATTCATGGGACGGATTCTGGTGGACTGGGTGCCTTCTTCGGAAGTTCGGACGAGGAACATTGTCTTTGGATTGTATCCATATTCGACTCGCTGGAAGAAGCCACGTTGCACCCACCCGTGTAAGATATACATTCATAAAAGCATTCAGTATTATGAGATCAACCTGTTTTCTCTTCTATTTGTGTATGTCTTATCCGGTGAGGTAACTGATTCGTTGAAGTATTCGCCTTTTTTTAAGCCGATAGTTTTTTTTTTTTAATAAGTACTGTGTTAGCCCAAAACTGGTCCTTCAAAAAAAATCTGATCTTAGTGTTGAAGTCAATGCCAGGGCAGAGAAAAAAATTTTGCAGTTTTTTTTTTATTCAGATTTTTTTCCCTTGTGATTGTATACGTTCAGCATGCATTTTGTTGTATGCCATCAGGCTGGGTCAAGTAACTGTACCTACTCCTATGTCGAATTACTTTTGTCTTGATATACTGTAATACCATGATTCAAATACTTTACAGTAATGTTGTTCCGGTGTTTCTCTTGGCATTGATGATGTGGGCGACATCTGCCTGACATTCCGGAAGTAAATTTCAGCTATAATATGAAAATGAATAATTTTATTTCCATTTTCTGTTGACGATTACGGTTATTTCATGTAAATAAGAATTTTTGCGACAGAATTTATCTTCGAACCTCAGAGCTCGAAAAACAAAACTGTACTCTCTGCATGATGCCGTGAGCAACCTTCGACCCCCTAGGCGTGTTTTCTGCAGTTTTTAATTTCAAATGGCATTTTCCCCTGCGTTGAGAAACTTCTACCAGAGATGATATAGCAAGATCTAACATGTGGATGTTCTTCGAGTGTTGAAATGTGATACAGAGCATGAATCCACAGAAATCCGGCGATTATTCAACTTACAATTCGTGAAGACATCTCGGTAATTTGCGGAGCCAACCACGTTTACGTCTACGAC